AATTTTTCTTGCATCAATATGTTGCATTTTCACACATAGTCAACCGCTTATAAGGAATAAGTGATTCCTTAGGGGATTTTAAAGATACCCATTATTGGTGACCAAACTTAGCTGAAAGCAATGATCTTTTCCTATGGGAAAATAACATGGGAAATATTGTTTTCCACTTTATCTAAAAGGAATCATTTATTCCTTTTAAGGGATTAACTGTGTGTCAAAACACAACGTATTGATGCAAGAAAAATTAAAAAAGCAAGGATGGAAGGGGTTGAAAATCAGGAAAACATTTCAGAAAAAAACATGTGGGTGGGTTGTTTGCATCTACCCTGTCTCAAAGTCGAAATTATTTTCTCATCTGTAGAAGTGATTTTCCTGGAGGTAATGAATTCGCCTAACATATGCAACTGTTTAAATCCCCAGGAAATGGCCAAAATCAAACATATGACTGTCCAAAATCTGTTGCGCTAACTTCCCTCCTCCTTTGCTAGGGGAGAACCCCCAGTTCTGGTCAGAATGCACTAAATGATGTTCAATTTTCGAAATTTTCTGGGGGGGGAGAACTCAAACCCCCTATTCTCGCTCTGAAATTGGTCAGAATGCATCAAATTAAATGATGTTAAATTTTCGAAATTTGCCAGGGGAGAACCTCCCAGACCCCCATTTCTCGCCCGAAACTGGTGAGAATGCACCAAAGACGTTCTTCCCCCAGACCGGCCTCCAGATCCCCCTTTCTCGAGCTTGTTCGCTGGGGGGGGAGGGGGTACTGTCGGGAGTGGTTCGAGCCCTCCTTACAAAAAGCTGGCTACGGGCATGGACGCATCCCCCATGGGAAATTCCCTGTGGGTGCCAATGGGGTGCGCGTCTGAGGAGGGGCGTATATAGTCCACGAACATCCTAAAAATTCAGAAGTATCATATGATAAATTCGATTTTTATCCTCCTCTCTTATTTTCAATTAGACTTGCTGATTGTTCGATCATTTAATTTATCTGAAGCCATTAGACAAAAAAAATGTTTCAATTTTTAGAATATTTTTTGGCTTATATCATTTAAATACACAATTTCTTAGAGTTAGATCCAATGGCTTCCCAAATCAGATTTCTATTTATCATTCCTCTCTTGAAACGGTCCGATTTAATTTAGTGTCGGGCCGAGGGCAAACCTTTGAATGATGAATATATGTAACCGTTGATATTTTGAACGTACATGTATCAAGTTTAGATTCAAGGTACAAAATAACCAGTTAAGTTTTTTTCCAAGAGGTAGATAGGTTTGAGGGAAAAGAGTACTGTATATTCAAAATCCGGATCAAAACAACATTATATTGTTATTTGTTGTCCAGTTCTTCGTATTAATGCCGAATTATGCTGTTTGTTAGCAACATGATGTGGATTGATTTCTATATGGCAGGTTATTTTGATTTCAAAGGCCTATGGTAATATTGTTTTCATCAAATTATAGCTATTTATCAGAGATATCTAATATGCGGAATTAAAAATAGTACTTCATAAAACCTAACGCAACTCCATAGACTGCATTCAAGGCCCGAAATCAAGATAAGTCCCTTGAATATCCTGTCTGTGAAGAACCAAAAACCGCAATCAAACAAGTATTATGTGGTCTAGATTAATGATCGAGGAAATCAATTCGTGGGAATCATTATTATTGAGTTGATTGTATTTTTTGTTTACAAGAAAACCTTTCGTGCATATTGTACATTTAAGGCTTGCGCTAACCCGATATGTGAGTGTGTGGGGGTTTTGTTGACAGATCGCGATTTGGATCCCCGGGTTCGGATCATAAATTATTTTCACCAAGGCGCTTGCACACTCGTGTATCATTTGTCAGTCTGTAAAATATTCGTCATCTGTTATTAAAGTTCAATGCGTTTCTGAACCCCGCTATTTCATATCATAAAAAACTACACGTAATGTTGTTAGTCATTTAGGCCTATATTTCGTAATTTATTCTTTGAGGTCTATCCGTTACACTTAATTTCTCAGTTTCTAAACGTTTCATTCAATTTTGCAATAAAGGAGATTGAAGACTACAATTAAAGTGTATTTTTTACCAATCTTTTAACTTTTTTAAAAGTTTTGGATTTTTGGGAGTAACGAGGTTCGGAGTAATAGCGTGTCGCTCCCCCTCCCGCCCCCACTCATTTTTATGTGTTAAACCTCATTTGATTTTTCATCAATTATCGTTAAATCACACTCTTTAATACATAAACAAATTCAAAATTATATATCTTGGAGAAATAAAATATATATTTCATAATGAAAATATTAATTTATGCAGTTGGTCAGTATTGAATATTAAGTTTCACAGTCTGAAACCTCAAGGGCGGGAAATTGGATTAAATAAAACGAAATATAAATACTTAGTCACATCATATCAGTGCAAACAATTAACTCTGATATATATTTTTCTATGCGATATACACCTGATATTGATATCTTTCCTCTGACAATGTGTTATCTCATGGTCCTTTGACATCATCAAACTTGTGATTAACCAAAAGAGACCAAAAAGATTGTAATACGCATCGGTAAGTCAACAAATCTAACCGTTAAATAAACAAACTTAGTTGTTCGTCTGCTGGTCAGAACTTGGTATCCGATTCGGATACCGACTTTCTGAGAATACTAATGATATGTAGGATCACCAGCCGTGATACTTTTCATAAAACAGGCATCTAGTTAGAAAATTATTGCAATTTTGATTAATATCGTCATTCACAGTATAACCCGCCTATGTTTATTCAAATATGCATTATTCATAAAATGTATAGACTAATATCATCTTTTCACTCTTGATTTGAATTGGTATCTTGTATCTAAAGTTGTCTTCATCTATATTATTGGATTAACATGAGCCTATGTAACCTAAACGTATAAATACTAGTTGCCAGTCTACAACTTGAACATACAAAATGTAGCATATTCATTACACACTATATTAATAGAACAAGGTAATCATGTCATACCAATAGTTAGATGGTTAACTTATATTAACACAAAAGAATAATACACGATAATTGAAAAAATAAACCTCGGTATTCGGGGCTAAAATCCAAGGATACCTGTACCATTACTCCAGTATACGCTGCAATACCATATCGGATACCTGTACCATTACTCAATAATAACCGCAACTACGACCATAATAACAAGGTCAATACCGAGTTTATTGCAAGTTATTTTATACGATTTTGTCTTGTGTTAAAGTCCAATGACGCTAGGAAGAAAAGCTATTGAAAACGGTGCCAGAGTATCAGAGTCTAAACTGTGCCATTTCTTTTTTAACTTTTTAATGTGAGACGATAATAGTGAAATATAGTGAGACGATAATATTTACATGTTTTCAGCATAACTCTGAATGTGTTAATGTTATCAGGATGTATTGGGTCTTTTCAATTTGTTTTATAAAAAATAATGTTTCAATTTTTTGTCCGCTGTGACGGAGCAGTTCCACAGTTCATGTTTGCAACTGCTCCGTCACAGCGGACAAAACATTAAGCATTATAATTTTTTTTTATAGAAATACATCAATATTTCATTATTACCTTCAGAGCTATGCTTAAAACATATGTAAATATGGTTGTGTCACTATATATCATGCCATTAAAAAGTTAAAAAAGAAATGGTACATTTTAGAGTTTGATACTCTGGCGTCGTGTTCAATAGCTTTTACTCCTAGCATTGTGGGACTTTAAATAGAAGTGAAGGTTACTCGAAAATGATAAATCGATTGCATGAAGTAAGTAGTTTTCATTGATATGACGAAACATATGAGTCAAAAAAATAAAGTTTGAAGTATTCATAGTGTTTTTATAAAAAATAACATGCTCCGTCACAGCCGACAAATCTTTCGATACCAGCCTATGCAGTGGGAGTATGGATAGTACATGTTTTGTGAACATTAAAACTATGCCATTTTTGCATTATTGTTTGCTTGCGCATGTGTTTGTATATATAAACAGACGAAACGGTTCGTTTTTGGTTCGTAACTGTTTTTCGAAAAACCGTTTATGTAACTTAATAAGTGAGTAATTAAATCGACGATTCTGTTGTCTTCTGAACTATTTGTTCGCAAATATGTACATTTTCTTAAACATATGATACTAATACACGTTTGTGTGAAAAATGTCGTGGGAATTCTGCCTACAACGTGTGAAAAAAGGAAAAAATAAAAATCGCACCTTTTATGTTCCAAAATTTTGTTACCAAAACGAACCGTTTCAGTAACCAGCGTAATCGAGTGGATCACCAGTGAAATTGATGGCTTACCCATAGCATATGCCATATCTAAAAACGAACATATATACTGTTACGCGGTAAACACGATACAAAAATATGTCATATTCTGCAACGAATATGGCATATTCACTTGCGGTGTATGACAGATTCACCTGCGATATATGGCATACACACTAACCAATGAGAACGTGATACGGAAGTACGCAATTTTCAATTGCATCGATTGAACGAACAAGTAAAACGTTATAAATTATTATAATGATTATCGAATCAACAGTACTGTGTATCGAATATATTAACTTAGCAGAAGTATCAGTCACCAAGCTTGCGTAATAAACTTACTCAATGAATCCAGGATTCATATATTAGTACTCGACGCACTAACTATATCGGTAATCCAGCGTAGTTTTACATTTAGAGTCGATTCTCGCAACCAATCAAATCAAGGCTTCTGTATCACGTTTTCACCTGCGGTATATGTCATATTTACCTGCGGTATATGGCATATTCCGCAAGTGAGTATGACATATTCCGCAGGTGAGTATCGGGTATTCACTGAAATCAATGTATCACATATTCACTGCGGAATATCGCATACTCACCTGCGGAATATGCCATATACCGCATGTGAGAATTGCATATTCACCCGTATCACAAATACCGCGCAACCATGTATGCCATGAATGTATGCCATATACCGCGTAACACATACAGTAAAAATTTCTAATTTTCAATTTATTCAATCACTTCAATATATTTATGTTTGTTATTTCCACTAGGGTAACATATTTGTATATCACTCTATGTTTTTGCCGGGGGTCGGTAAACATGACAACGTCACGTCACTTCACATCACCAATTCCCACCATTGCTGAGATGTAACCGCAGACCTTAAAATAAATAAAGTATTTATGAATTTTAAATTAATAGACCTCTTTTAATTGTGGCGATTAAAATAAAAGTAAAACATAAAATTAAATTAAATAATTGGGTGATGGCGAATATTAAAGTACAGTAAACGTAATGTTATAATCAATCAAAAATGATTTATATCCAAGTCTGGTTTCTGAAAGTATATTATGATGAAATAAAAAATACGTTTATTAAGTGTGAAAGTTAAAATATTATTAAGCAATTTAAATGGTAATTTAAAGGTAAAATTAATACATGATGCAATTAAATGTGGAATTTGTTTCAAAAGGTCAACATAAATTATAAGCTTCCATATGATTAGTTATATACATGTAACGAACGGGGATATGGTATGTACACTTCCCGGATTAGCCAATTGTACACCCTTTACTCCATGAGTTTACTAGTATAGGCCAACTTAAAACACGGTATACTGTAGAAATAACTCCAAATAACTACAAAGCAATTCACCCGCGACAGCACTTTGGAATCCAGCGTTATAGTCGCATGCCACTTCGTTCTGAATGTAATCGTTCCTATCATTTTTGTAATTGTCGTTCTGATCGGGTCCTCCAACCAGTGCGCCCACAAGAATGTTGGGGTTTGCTTTGTTTGGGTCAGACTCACATGTGTACGATTGACCTCCTAGCCAAATGCACGAGCTAAAAATAGTCCAGTGTTTTACAAAACAGACATTACAGATAGTCTCATTTCTACTAGATATTCTGCTTGAAGACATCATGTTGAATACGTCATCATAATCGGGTGTATTCTCATTGGCTTTTAATTACGTTGATAAATGCGTCATTCAAAAATGCCGCTTCTTTATTGGTTGACTTGGCTTTCCGCGAAGAATCGCATGACCAAATATGGCAACCCTAAATAAAATAGTGATATAAACAAAGTACTACACGTGTTATCTCTCAACATTCATGAACATTAGCCTGGGAAGTGCCCGGGGTCGGGAATATTTGACCAAATTTATTGCCCCCGGGGTGGGGAAATTGACACATTTATTTGGTCCCGGGGTAAGGAATTAGACAAAAAAAAATTACCCATCCATGCCCGCGTGGGGACACTGTGCCAAAAAGGCTATATAGTAATAGAATCTCCTGTTAACTATGCTCTAATATCAACTGTCATAGTGTGAAATATCTCCCGTATCTCCTGTGTTGTAGAGACACAACCTATACCAAGAGATTTGGCGGACAACTAGTAAAGTTAGTACTATTTTCAACTCTACGAAAAATGAGCTAATATAGGCTGCGTTATATATCTAGGCTAACAGTTTGCCTACCACTCTATTGGACCTATAGAACCAGACATACCCGCCGATTCTATGGAAAACAGCTTCTTCTGAGTCTCCCGCAAACCTTTGAATAAATGCAATGAGATCATACCTTCCTCTGTGATGAGGTCTGTCGGGGTAGTCAGGTGCCTCGCTGTGGTTGAATCCCACTACAAAGCTCATCGGGGACCCATATCCGAGCATATAATGGATTTGACCCTCGGCGAATTCCAGGTATTTTGTGGCATCGCTGGTTGTATCTGCATATTTACTGGCGAAGAGCGTGATGAGAGCGGCATTAGCTGAAGCAAATAAAAATGCTGTTCTCATGAATATGAAACAAAAAAATGATGGTACTGGATATCGAATCCCATTTCTTATGTATATGCGTAGTACTGGCATAAAGAACAATAGAGATAATAGTAGGGAGGATTAGTTATTTGGTAATTAAAAAACCAATGAAGCTGAGGACGTATTTCACAGACCCTCAACTTACATCACACTGTCCTGGTTTTAATTCTTATGAAATATAAAGTGATTAACCTGCGTATCTGTTGGGTCCCCACTCACGAAGCCAAGCTAGGCCACATGGGGTCAAGGACTTGCCAGCCCAATTGTCGGCAAATGTCATTAGGGTAGCTTTATGTGCATTGTCTTCTTCAGCCATCAGTGCATTCACACCGGGACATTTCTCATCCCACGAGAATTCCTCCTTTACGCCATTGCAATTCGAGATCTTGGCCTTGTAGGCAGGATCATTTGTTGCTTTGTACAACCATGCAGCTCCCCAAGCTAGTTCGTCATTATAGCCACTCCACGAACTACAGCGTAATATAATCAAGAGTTACGTTGAGTTAAAACAACTACAGGGGATGAAAAGTGTAAAATGTTGGAGGCGATCTTTTCTCAAAATCACGCCAGCAATGCGTGATTTCCAAACAGAAATCCTTTTAAAGAATTGAGAAATCTGATGATTGAATTACTCAGACGCGAGTAGGTAGTTACCACTTTCGCCACCAGGTGGCTGATTCGGGGGAAATAACATGGCAGGGTATTAAAAATTCCCTTAAACTTGAATAATCATCAGTTTTAGTGGTTCACTTTTCATGTTTCCTTTATATGTATCTGATAGTTATACAAATTAAAACATGTCTAGCAAAGGAAAATATTATCTGCCTAACACAATAAAAGTTATTTCACTTTTTGTGATTTTACAACATGGGGTCTATGGGGAATCTCCCCGATCTAGAAATCATATTTTCAAAAAAATTGAATTTTCAAAGTTGATAAACTCTTTTCAAAACCACATTTCTAGATGTAAATTCACATGTAGATTCCAAAGATGACATCATTTTGACTGAATTTTGAATTGTTAATGAAGTAAATCAATATTATTTCTACTCGCATCTGGTGTATTGATCTAATTGATCTAGTTTGTATGCGAACGTGTACAATTATGACTCCAATGATGACTGTCCGTTCTCATTTGGTCTTTCAAGCGACCCAAATATAATCGTTTTTCTAATACCTTTATACTCCATCGGGTAATTAGCCTAAAGAACTAGGGGAAGAAGTCAAGAAACTATAATTATTCACGTTCACGTGCAAGTTTGTGGCAAAATCTCACTAATATTTTTGCTAGATAAACTTAAAATCGAATGATAATCCTGATTGAGGGTGCATTTTCGTATGCCAGCGGGCGCAATCCACCCGCACAGCAATAACAGCTCATTCAAGCGTACTATAAATAATACCCCTAGTCAGTTACACTCTTTCCGGTCAATCGCTGGAGCACCACAGGGGTGCCATTGACACAAACGTTGGTGTCTGTGTGCGTTTGAATGAGTCGTTTCTTGTTAAAAACATACGACCAAGCAATTTATACCTTGAGGTCCACTGATCGTTTTCATGATAAAGCTCATTAACTGCTGTGCGGGTGTATTGCACCCGCGTGTATACGAAAAAACAGCCTAAGTCAGTACTGTTTGACTTTTAATGAGAAAAAAGGCATGATATGGAGTGAGAGCAAATTCTATCAACTTGTCTGTATCCTGTCACGTCTCATACATCAACACATTTTGATATGTCGAAACAAATACAAGGGGAAATATTAATTTTTGACATTTTAACGCTCCGACGCACTGATCCCAATCTGTTTGCTTACTTCACTGTGGCTAGTCGATCTATGTGGATGCAGTCATTTATATGCAATGTATCGTGGGTACTTGCGTACATTATAGGGAATGGGATCATTGCAAAAATATGACAGCAAATCGAAGTGAGTGATCTCAGAGTTTCTACTTAACATAGTGACTTGAAATCTTGCATACATATTCAATATACATAGTATGACAATGTGTGAAAGTTTCAGCTTCCATATTCCTGTTATAGGGAAGATATTTGAAAAACATTTCGTAAACGTCAACATATATGTATAAAATGGATGCCACTATGTATCATTTGGATTCATAACGGTAACAAATGGATGCTATATTAAATTATACTTTAATCATGATGATTTATTTACTGATGGACAACTGGCCAGATTTCTTTGTATCCATTGTTTGAATAAACATTTCTCACTCAGTAAAGTGATTAGCCACACCATTACAAGACACCCGCCTCATGAAGAATTGAAAATACTATATATAAACCCATCAACTGGAAAATGCCATTACAGATGAAAAAACTATGGTTTTATCCCTAATACTTTTATTTGAAAAACGGGTCCATAACATGTAACGATGACAATGAAAATGTTGAAATTAGGTACGCCAATGAAGTGAATTCAGAGCCAAAGACCCATCAACCCACTGGAATACCAACAAATCAAGTTTACTTGCTATCGCCCTCCAGGAATGAACCAAATTGAGGCTGACCATTTTATTGATCTTTTATCTGAAAATCTGAATGAAGTAGTGAATCTGAAACCAGATTATCTTGTCTTACTAGGTGATTTTAATGACTCTTGCACTTCATGGGACTCCCAATATAATCAAAGCGAATTAAGCAACAAACTTGTTGATTTACTTTCTCATTTCAATCTTTATCAAATGATCCAGACACAGACTCGAGGTAACTCTATTCTTGATCTTATAATAACAGATTCCCCAGCTTTTATTTTGAATTCAGGGGTAGGTGAACCACTTGCAAATCTTGACCACTGCTTCATTTTTGGCACACTCAGTTTTAAGCGTTAAGCAAGACTTACATATAAACGAACAATATTTGACTACAAAAACACAAACTTTGTGCTTTTAGGCGACCATCTTCTCTCCTTACCATGGGAGGTAATTTATTTTCACAACATTAACATAGATGACATCTTCGAGATTGGTACTTGCTATTTTGGTCCTGTGTGAATTTGTATGTACACAGAAATATCATTACAGTTTCAAACAGAGACAAACCTTGGATGACTAAACAAATAAAAAGTCTCATTAAACAGAGGAATTCTCTTCATTATAAATTCAAAATATCTAACAATTTAAATGATCATGAGAAATTTTGTAGAAAACGAACCGAAGTTAAACACGCAATCATCCAAGCAAAAAAATTACCTTACTAATTCCAAGGACGTCTATCAGACGTCCTTGCTAATTCACTTAAAACAAAATTATCCGACAATCAAACCTCACCTAAATTATACTTTACTATTTTGAAAAAATTATATGGCTCAAAAATTTCGAGAAGTATACCTCCTCTCATTGAAAATGATGATGTTATAATTACTGACATTAAAGCCAAGGCAAACGTTTTGAATAACTACTTTGCCGACTAAACTATTTTACCACTTAATCAAAATGATCCGCCTCTTCCAAACTTGACATATATTACTAATGCAAGACTTGATCTAATTCAATTTGAAGAGCATGAAGTATTTAAAGTCCTTTCTTCTCAATATATCTAAATCAAATGGTCCAGATAATGTCTCAAATAAACTTTTAAAAGAATGTGCATTAGGACTTGCACCATCATTATGCGGTATTTTCAACCATTCTCTTTTAACTGGAATATTTTGAAAGAAGCAAATGTTTCGCCGATTTTCAAAAAAGATGATACACAAATCAAGGGAAATTATAGGCCAATTTCATTACTTTCTTGCATTTCCAAAGTTTTTGAGCGTCTTGTTTTTAATGTTATTTATAGATTCTGTTTAATAAACAACATACCGAATCTCAAAAGCTCTGGTTTCAAACCACTTGACTCAGCTGTGAATCAGTCAGTGAACTTAGTGAACAAAATCAATAATGGTTTAGATGATCAAAAATAAATTCTTGTCTTCCTAGATATCTCCAAGGCATTCGATAAAGTTTGGCACCGTGGTCTTATTTTCAAATTACAAATGCATGGGATTTCTGGCCAACTCTTGAAATGGATAGATAGTTACCTTTCAAATAGAAAACAACGGGTAGTTATTGATGGAATCGAATCAGATTGGCGTTTGAAGCTTGTGTTCCTCAAGGGTCTATATTCGGCCCTTTATTATTTCTTTTTTATATTAATGATATAGTAGCATCAATGGAAACAGATATTAACTTATTTGCAGATGATACATCTCTAATGGAGATTGTATCAGACCCATTAATCAGTACAAATAAGATACAACGTGATTTGGCACGCCTGGAAGCATGGTCCAAAACATGGAAAGTTACTTTTAACGCAAATAAGAAAAACTTTTGACCATAACTCTGAAAAAGAACAAATTTCTTTACCCTGATTTAACTTGCAACAATACCATTTTGAGGAATGTCGAAGAGATTGTCACCTAGGGCTAACTCTTCAGTCGAAAATGAACTGGAACTCTAATATAAATAAAATTGCCTCAAAAGCAAATCGGCGCCTATCCCTAATAAAAAGATCAGCTTTTAGATACAATCTTGATAAAAAAAACACTTGGAAACTCTCTACTTTTCGATGGTAAGATCTGTCTTAGAATATTGTGATGTCATATACAATAACTGTACTGACAACCAAAGCAAAATCTTAGAAAAAGTTCAGAGGGATGCAGCAATTATATGTACCAGAGCTTATAGGCACACTAACTGCAATAATATTTTGAAAGAGCTCGGCTGGGATACATTAAAGAAAAGAAGAGAAATGCATGCTCTATTCCTGTTTCATAAAATTTCTAATAAAAATGCACCCCACTACCTAAGTGACCTGATTCAACCATTCATCCAAAACCCCAACAGAGATATTTACTCAGAAATATCCATGATTTTAGGTTACCCCACTGCCGATTAAAAATGACCTCCTCCTCCTTCTTACCTTATATTTTAAATAAATGGAACAATCTAAGCAAAGAACTCAAACGCATCAGCTACCTTCCTCTTTCAAACACAAATACAAACTATTCCTTGTTTCATAGCCTTGCCCAAGTCGGTCTCTTTTACTTCTCTTGATTTCTATTATAACCGCCTTGTACCCAAGAGAAAGCCACATGCTTTACCGACCCAATGTTTTTGTCGGTAAAATTTGACCAATCAACGACGGTCCTACATTGCCGGACTAGGTCTTCGTGCATATCCATCGCGAATTCAGTTTTGATTTCGAATCAACATTGAATTGCATTATTTCATTTATACGAGTATTAATGACTTCTTACATTCCAATGTACATTTAATAACATAATATATTGTAACTCTCAAGAAACACCTGATCAGAACAGATAACGGTTTGATTGGTCAATCAGACTGAAGTCACAGGTCGTGTCCATGCGATCTTGTCAATCAATAATGTTTCGCGATAACCTTAGGTAGCGTAGGTATTATGGGAATCTCAGAACCGCTGAATAATATCAGCGATGATGCATTGGATTGTACAAGGTGGTAATAATTCAAGATCAAATAAGTAACTAAATACCGACTTGGGTAAGGCTACACGTTTCAGAGCCATTAACATTCCTTAAAAGTGACAATGAGCAGCCAACAGATAGACCATCTGTAAATCTTGATGCCTACAGATTCCTCGAAACAAATGACCCAAATTCAAGAATAATATTATCTATTTACAATTTTTTTGAAATCGTGGTAATTGGAATCTTTCCAATTTCCAATATAGCATTATTATTGTTCTTGGACACTGTGGATTAAATTATTAAAAAACACACATTCAAAATGAGTCAATTAAAACCTAGCCAGTCTGTTCATTGAATCCATTAAGAACGTCTACTAATCCACATGATACATCATAATTAAATTGCTTTTTTAAAGCGGATATTTCATACCATAACGCCAAAAATATTATAAAACGCATTGTATTTGTATTTTACTTCACATAGACATATTTGTGTACGTGAAATAATTATATTACTTGATTTTTTATTCCCCATTATAAGGTAAACCTATGGCAACTTATACATACCTTCTCACAGCTATGAGCAAGATGATAAAACTGGTCGAATGAACTCGTTTGAGTTATCTATTCTCCGTAAAAATATCAGAGAATGTGTGTTTATAGCGTAGCTTTGGTTTTGTAAATCAATGAAGTCTGATATACACGGATGAGTAAATATAGATTATTTAAACAGAAGTGCAAAATGCTTCCATTGAAAAGTACAGAGGCGGGTACTCACGAAACATTACATGTGTCTGACTGCATCCACATAGATCGACTAGCCACAGTGTACTTGTAAAAGGCTGAAGCATCCCCAATAGAATCTGAATATTTTCCCTTGTAGGTTTCAGCAAAAGAATAGAGAGCCTTTGCGTTTTCCAGAAGTGTATTTGCGTAGGTTAAATCTACAAATATAAAGTTTTAACTAACCTTATTACACTGAGAATAAAAAATGAGCATAATTTATAATTTTGTGTGAACATTTTTTAAGATTTGATTATATAGCTCTAAAGTAAAATTAACTAATAAGGAGGTTACCTGTACATTGCATGGGGTTCAGATTTTAAAAAACTGTCCCATTTTTTAAATGGAGCATAACAAAGTTTCAAGTTAAATTGTTTGACTTATTCTTCTCAAAAACTGAAATATCAAATATTAACGATTGTGATTTTCGCGGGACAAAATCAAGACTCTGATTCAGTAAGGCATGCTTTTTTAAAACCGGATTCAAAATTCTCTGCGGGATACGATTCCAGTTCTGAACGACTGTGAGCACACGAAGTTTGAGATGGAGGTTTTCACTGTTGAACGCCATGAGTGGGCCTAAATCGCCCCATACCTTCTTGATTGGGCTATATTCGAAAGAACATCATTCATCCTGTTCGGATATCACTATCCCTTTTCTATTTGTTTGTACCTTATTTAACCTTGGTTTTCAGGCCAAAATTATGCAATATAAAAATCTGAAAAGTAAAACTGTAAATGGTTTAGCTGTAAAATATTCCATAAATATGAACAACGATGTAGGTTAGTACCTGAATCTTTGAAAAGGATGTATCCAGCCGCTAGTGCTGCAGCTGTCTCAGCTGCAAGGTCCGAGCCAGGACTACTAGTGGAGAGATAAGCGATAGGTCTAGCCATTGTCATTGCTTCTGCTGGACCCCAGTAGTTGTGATCAGCTTGTCCATTGCCAATCTAGGCCAAAAATAAAATGCATTAAATACTAACAACATGTTTTTCTTATCACATTATCTCTTTCAAAGCTTTGAGAGAAAACAACTAAAGTGGGACGCGACAATAATGAACGTGAAAATCAGGCATGCAATTAAAAGACATCTTGCGTTTTAGTGAAATTTTCAATGAAGTACCTGTCCATAGAATTTAATAGTCTGTCCATTGGAATCCATTACATTACACTTTAGGAAATAGTCCAGTGCCCATTTAACCTGATCTAAAGCATTGTCAATTTCTGTGCCATATCCACTCTCGAACTCAATCATTCCCCAGATGAGGGTCGTTGCCGACCATGCCATAGGAAACCCGAATTTTACGTGGTCTCCAGCTGAAATGTATTTAAGTTTAATTATGCACACGACCAAAACATTTTTACGGGACGTTTTAACAGAAGAAATGGGTCATTAACAGGACAAATTGTCACCACCTAGTTATTCACAATATTGTGAGTTCAAATCTTAAGTCAGATTTGAACTTCTGAGAACTTGTTTGAGCATGAGAAAGTCATTGAAGGTCTAATCTCATATTTAAAGTCAGATTCTGAGAATTTGTAGATGATTTTGAAAAGATGAAGTCAGTCCAAACAGAACTTGTTAAGTTGTTGGGAGTTGTAAGAATGTGTAACAGACGCCAGCCAACGAACACCAACCAACTGCCGTCACAAAAAAGTTCGAGACCATAACAAAAGGTCACCACTTTAAGAGGTGACATAAAAATCAAAGGAAAAGAAAGTATACCACATGACATCTATTAAAAGAAAACATTTGGAACTCGATCATGAATTCAAATACCATTTGCATTCGTTCGACTTTAATTTGCTTCTCAAAAGAGAGGTGTAGTTTATAACTATGCGCGCAGGGTAGAATTCAAAGGGACGCGTATCCTGGGGTAACTCCAAGTTCCCATTATGTTGGTAAAAATACATTGGGTACAGGTTTCAGCCCAAATATCCAGCTCAGTAGTTTCAGGAGTTCGAGGTGGTAGTCTGAGTCCACTTACCGTCATACCAGCCTCCTGTTAGATCACGGGATCCGTCTATGTCGCTCAATGCTGAGTCGCCTCTCCAGCTGATCCTGTTATCGGTGGGTAGTTCCCCGGACCTTTGAGCCTCGTAGAAGAGTATTGATTTGTGAAGAACATCCAAATACTCTGCGGTACCTAAATATTCAATATAGCAATACGAATTTACAAAACCATGTTGACAGGTATTGTTTAGGAAAGCAATCTCAAAGAGAAAGTCAGATTGGTGACCATCAAAACCCAAAATCAAACGAATTATGATTAAAATGAACGGTTTCTTAGGGATATGATGAGTTGGCGAAGGGAATTCTCAAACAAAATGAAAAATGGCCTCAACGGAAATGAACTTGAAAAGAATGTGTGTGACGTATAAGTTTAGAAAAATGAAACTAAGATCACTACTCTGAAAGAGCTGACTTCAAGTTTTTCATTTATGGGGTTGATTAAAATAAACTACAGTGCATACCAGGAACAACGTCTGTTTCATATGCACACGTTGAGCCACCAGTTGAACCCCCTGAGCCACCAGATCCACCACCTGTTGAGCTCCCATCACACGACCCTGGATTATCTAGTGCGCTATCATCAGCATCGGCGCAAACTTTCACAGAGCTGGGATCAATACTGCCATCGAATCTGATCAGAAACTTGCGCTCGGAACTGGAACTATCATATTGCATGCGCACCTGATTGCCATCTCGGGTACATTGTCCACCTTCCCATTGCTTTGATTAAATTATGAATTGTACATCATTTTGTGTCAACTGGAATAGTGTGCCATTCATACACCATAATTGTGTCAGGAATAAATCAAACAATACATAAGTATACTGTATATGTCTTTGATCTATTAAATTAATATGGATTAACGTACCTCAAAGGCATATATATCAACGTTGGTAGATAGGCGGATGGTGTAACCGGTAATTTCAACATATGCCTCGAGACCCCCGTTCCAGGAAGCTCCAAACCTAACATTTCTCCATTCGTTACCTTACGTGTACAAATATCAATAAATCAGATACTTTTCAACCGCTCTAAACCTAATTCAATATTATCTGCTTCTCCACAGACAATACTTCATTGCTTGATAAACTTAATATTGTAAAATATTGTTTAAATGTTACATGATTGTACAGTATACTTGCACAAGGAGCTTCATAACAATGACAAGTGTGAAGCAATGCAAACTTATAAAAAAAAATTACCAAAAACGATTAGAAAATCAAAAATCTGATATGCAAATTCAAATGATTTTCTTGGGGGTAATACTCAAAGCATGTCGTCTGATAAAAGTCCATCATCTGTTCGAAAACCTATGCATACGTTCGAAAGGTATAGATTTTATAATCCCTAATTGTCCTTTTGGTTATATCTGCTTTTTGAAAAATATATATGAGTGTCCAGCATTTTGCCCACTTTGTATATAATTGTATAGTCCGGTCGTTCTTTTACTATGTGCGTGGTATTTAATAGTATAAATACGTCGTAGTGTGTCTCTGAAAGGTCACAAAATAATTACTTATTGAGCACTCTATAAACATATTACATTTGACTATATATAAACTCGTACAAAGGGCCAACTTACAGGCTGTCCCAGTTGTAGCACTTGCTGTTGGGGTTGCCGATGGCGTGGTTGTTTGGGTTGTCGATGGAGTGGTTGTTTGGGTTGTCGATGGAGTGGTTGTTGGGGTCGTCGATGGAGTGGTTGTTGGGGTTGTCGACGGGGTGGTTGTTGGGGTTGTCGATGGGGTTGTTGACTGGGTTGTAGACAGAGTTGTGGATTGAGTGGTTGAAGATGTAGTTGTAGATTCTCCTGAATAAAGAATCGAAGCATACATGATGTCTTGGAAGTATGGAACCCCCACAGGCAGACCAATACCAAAGTCTACATGGCATGTGCCATTTGTATGTTTAAAGCTTATTCAAAGTTCCATTGATTTGCCAAGTATCATGGTTCAACTCACAAATAGGAAAAAGTTACAGGCATTTTAAAACTGCCAAAGCTCAAACCGTGTTCTGGAAACAGCCCTGACCTGAATGTAAGCAAAAATATGGGTGCTTTTGTCGAGGATAGGATGGATGTTGAGTTGGAAAAGGATGACTAGGGTCAAATACTTCAAGGGATCTCTTCTAAAATGCCTTAAAAGGGTTTTATGAGGATTACAAAATGCCATACCCTATTTGAAGCGCGTTTGAGGTCATATCTGAAAAGAATTGCTGTTGTTAACATGGCCAAGGGAGACAAACCGACTTTAATGAGGTATGAAACTGAATTTTAATTTTGATAAAACACTAAATTTTCAAACATAACTTTGGATAAGCTTTAAAATTATATACATGAATGAAACATACTATGGAGACATTATATATGTCTGTCTATGGGGATCCCATACTTTTAGGGACACTCTGTATAATACAATTATATCAACGTTGTTTAATACAAAATCTTTTTAAATTTTACTGATCGTATAGAAATAGCACATTCTGACATATGAATAGAATACTTGTTATTTACAATATACAGAATAAATTGATAACTCTAAATCTAGCTGAGGGAGGAATTGCATCAAGTTTAGGATAGGAGTGGTATTAGGAGTGGTATTGGACTTCTGCGTAAAATTCATGTCTGGTGAATGCTAAACATTTTCCCATTAATTGTATACAACTACATGTATGGGATAACATACAAATAAACTCATTTTACCTGGCTCTGAAGGTCCGTTCGCCCATCTCACTGTGCCGGTAACAGGCAATTCAGATGTAGCTTGAAAGGTGAACTGGAAAGCCTCGCCATTTTGGAAGGTTTTAGAATATTTATCGCTTATCTCCCAGATCTTGCCACCAGATCCTGCCTGCATAGTGGCACTTGTGGTCCATTCCTAAAATCGCATTGAAACCGTTCATAGATTATATTCAGACAGAAGCATGATTTCACCAGCATATGAGGACGTAATAATGGCCTTCAGGACTGTCAATAGATGGCGAAAATTCAGTGGGTTTAATAACATACTTTAACATGTAAAAGTTGCTCAAAAAATTTCCCAAGATACATTTATTGAAAATATCCAAAATCTTTTGATTTTGAATTTTTAAATATGTTTGTAAATAAAAATGAAGGAAAATATGATAATTATTTGATATGTGTAGTGAATTTGAAGTTTTACAGATATATTTACACACAAACCAATGGGCCAGATTTGAAGAACAACCTAGTAGTTCACTGCCATCTATACGAGTCCTGGCTCCCATTGAGATACGAGTGAGGTAATATAAACAGCAAGTATGCATTATTTCCAATATTAGTTTGATAGTAGCTATTGTGTATTCTTCATCAAATATTTGGCCTCAAATTGAATTTATGATAGAAGCACGAAATGGAACAGTTAGACGCGCTATAATCATTCTGAGTAGACAACATGTATAGTAGTCTCAGTGTTCGAAGCATCGTTCTAACATCCTTAAAGCATATCAATGTACTCATCTTGTCATTATCTATACAAAATGAGTGACTCTAGAACCAAACTGTGTGATTGGGAACTTTACGTTACGCGGAATATGGCATATATTCATGGTTGCGCAGTATTTGTGATACGGGTGAATATTCCGCAGGTGAGTATGCCATATTCCGCAGTGGATGTGTGATACATTTGATTTCAGTGAATGCCCGATACTCACCTGCGGAATATGTCATACTCACTTGGGGAATATGCCATATACAGTAAATGAGTATGGCATATACCGCAGGTGAAAACGTGATACAAAAAGCCTTGATTTAGTTGGTTGCGAGAATCGACTCTAAATGTAAAACTAAGCTGGATTACCAATATAGTTAGTGCTTTGTGCACTGATATATGAATCCTGCATATATTTAGTAATTTTATTACGTGAGATTGCCGAGTGATACTTCTTAATTTGTTGATATATTAAATGAACTGTACTATTGATTCGGTAATTATTATAATAATTCAAAAACTTTTACCCGTTCGCAATTGACAATTGCGTACTTCCGTATCACGTTCTCATTAGTTAGTGAGTATGTCATAAACCGCAGGTGAATCTGTCATACACCACAAGCTAATATGCCATATTCGTTGTGGAATATGACATATATTTGTATTTTGTTTACCGCGTAACACTTCAAATAATTGACAGAATCACAACAAATTTCCTAAAAAAATGAGACTGTTTACACAATAATAAACCATATTATGTACACTCCCCTCCCTAAGTTTGACAACCTTTAGCTCCCCATTGAACTACGTGTAAAACCTCTTTACGTTTGACTTTTTGTTTGCTTAACCTGTGATGACATAACTTATGATATTAATGGAAACGTAACTTGACTTTATTTCCAAAACCTCCAAATTTTCCCAATTTTTTTCCACAATTACAATAGGTCGAAAATCGATGATAAAGATACATTTTTGAAAATCGTCATTCCCATGTAAACCAATGGAAAATGATGGGTTCGGGGTAAATCAGAAATCAGGATATCTATTCAGTAAAAGATTCAGCAAAAATATTCATATAGAAAATTGAATTGTCTAACTTTTTGCACAGTTTTTTGGTTTAGTTTACTTGATGAATACTAAAGTTACAGAGCTTCAAAGTCATTTTTGAAAATCATTTGTCGCCTCTTGTGTTATTTCAATGGGAGAGGTTTTTTGAAAAATAATTTTGACTTTAAAGACCTATAACTTTGTTGAACCTGAAGAAACGTATCCATTTTTGTTAAATAAAGTTAGCAAATTCAATTGCCTACCCAACTTGTATTTTTGCAAGGACTCGGATGGATGGATATTCTGTCATATGACTTGTGGCAAACCTACCATTTCCAATTGATTAACATGGAAAGGTCGATTTTCAAAAATTCAACTTTATCATCAATTTTCGACCTATTGTAATTGAGGAAAAAAGGTATTGGGAATAAAAGTCAAATTACGTTTCCATCAATAGTATAAGTATTTTCATCGCAGGTTAAGTAAATAAAAATTCAAATGTAAAGAGGCTTTAACACGTAGTTCAATGGGGGAGCTAAGGTTGCCAAACTTATAAAGGGGGGTGTAAGTCCAAGATGGGCGACAATTCCTTTTACTATTTCACAAATAGCTTGCAAAAGTATATAGAGCAACAGGTACATATAACATTTGCCTTATGGTTGATAAGTATAAAAAGTATTTCGAATAATAACCCTCTTGGGCGATAATTGTACAATATCAGTGTGTAACTCTGAAAGATACGTACTGTTATGGCAGATACGTACTGGACCACTGAATTCAACGATAAGTTTCCAATCAGTAGACTTTGCCTCGTTTGCTGTTATGTTAACTGCAAAGTTTGTTTCTGTGATTGAAGGCGATGAGTTCCATGAGTGAGTCTTAATGAGATTCCCGGCTGAAATCAAAGTGAGAGCATGTGCAAAGATTACTCCGCATAATGACGTCGACATATTCGTCTAAAAGTGCTTCAAAGCTTGTATCGGCAGCTTATATTGCTTTCTGCCCTTAATATCGGTTCTCTTTTGTCTTGCTGTAACAAAAGTCAAGCAAAATTTTCGTATTTCATAAAATTTTTTGTTTGAACAGACAGTTTACATTTAATAATTGATAATTCTTGGAGGTTTAATAAACGTCAAATTGGCAATAAAGTTTTTAATATACAAGTTCAGTAAATCAAATAAAAGTCCATCAATAATACTGCCCGATGTAACGTATGTGGCTCAGATCATATCAGTCTGCTTTTTTAAATATATATGAGTGTCCAACATTTTGGCCCAACCTGTATATAATTCTATATTCCGACCGTTATTTACTGCATGTGTGGTTTGAATATTGCATATACGTTGTACGCCAGATATACATGTACATTTATCTATACCATGTGAAATTGTTTAAATTACAAAAATTGCTCGAATAAATATGCCAGTATCATTATGCAGTCTATGTCTCTGATGAAAGGTCACAGTTGACCCTTCTAGTCTTTACACACATTGTGCTTAATTAAACTAGAAGGCCCAACTTACAGGTTGCCCCGGTTGAAGCGCTTGTTGTTGGGGTTGTCGATGGAGTGGTTGTTGGGGTTGTCGATGGGATTGTTGACTGGGTTGTAGACAGAGTTGTGGATTGAGTTGTTGAAGATGTAGTTGTAGATTCTCCTGAATAAAGAATCGTATCATAGTATTATACAATTATATCAACATAGTTAAATCCATTTAATCCGATATACATATACATCAATAATCAAATCTAGAGAAAAACTGCGTCAATATACCAAAAAACTCATTTCAAAGGGCAATACAGTGAAATACCAAGGGACCAGGAATGAAATAGCTAGAAATGACTTCCAGTGAGAGAAAATTATACGCACTGAACGATATCTCATTTTCCAGGGAACGTTATATTACTGGGCTGAAATATCCATTTTTACCTGACTCAACAGGTCCATTCGCCCACCGCACTGTGCCAGTAACGGGCACTTCAGATGTAGCTTGAAAGGTAAACTGGAAAGCCTCACCATTTTGGAAAGTTTTGGAATATTTATCGCTTAACTCCCAGATCTTGCCACCAGATCCTGCCTGCATAGTGGCACTTGTGGTCCATTCCTAAAATCGCATTGAAATTTGAAACCGTTCGTATATTATTTTTTCAGAGAAGAGCCTCATTTCAAATATTGCATGTCGAAGTACATGTAATAAAGATACGAATGATGTAAATGAGTGATTGGGAACTTTGAATGACAGACAATCAAAACACATTAATTTCTTAACCAAGATATAAACGTGTACAGCATGCCACCACCAATGGGTGATCATAAATAAGTTCGTCTTCCCTAATCAGTTGAAGGGACGAGAATCTATGATAAAATAAATCAAAAATAACTGCCTCTAACATTTCCCTAGAATAGCTAAAAATGAATCAGTTTGAAATTTTCTTGCACAGAATCATCTCTGAAATTTTGAAATCGATCCCTCAAACGGTTCGCCTGGAAACAACGCATAAACAAGACTATACAGACAAAGTTTTAGAACAGAAAATCCATATTGACAACCTTTGCATTTTCCAGAATGGCAAAAAAACAAACAAGTTCGAGATTTCCAGAATGAAAGAAACATCCCTGAAAAGGAGTGGTATCCATATGGAGAACTGAGTTTAACGATGTTGTTCTCTTAAACCAATCATTGAAAACATTCTGTAAAAAACACGGTATTTTATGTAATGTTGACTGATTGACAACAATTTAATGTGAAAATTATTTAGAAATATTTTATATATATTAACTGTTTTTGTTAACATTTTTTGTTTTTTAGTGCAATCGTTTTTGCTCCTTTCTACCAATTCTTGAGAATGAAATAAAATGTCTTTCCGAACCTTGTTGAAACAAAATAGCATATACAACATGTTTTAGACCTCTCAATGTTATAGTTATACAAAGGAATTTTTGGTTGATTTTAAAAAAGTATTCAAAGAATTAAAACAAAATCCCCCCAAAATAGATAAAAATCAAGATAAACCTTTTATTTCATTAACAATATTACTTTTTTAAAATCAACCAAAATTTCCTTTGTACAATTACAATATTAAGAGACCTAAACATGTTGTGTTTATGTCGTTTTGTTCCAATGAGGTTCGAAAAGATGTTTCACTTCACTCTGGAAACATGATACCAAGAACAAAACAAGTGTTTGATGTGTTTTCTAAAACAATATAGATGAAAGTATATATATATATTTTAAATTATATTGTTGCCATTCAAAAGATGAGCATTAAATTGACGATGTGTTAAATTTTTAGATTTTTTATGACTGGTTTAAGAGAAACGTGTGTTCAAAAAGTTCTCCATATCGATACCACTCCTTTGGAATCAATCCATGTCCTTACAGGTAAAACCATAGGACAGAAAAATCCCAAATGGCTGCCTTAACATTTAGCACAGATGTACAAAAACTAATAATTATCAGTTCAAGGCTTTCATACAAAGAACCATCCCTGAAAATTGAAATTGATACGTCAAATGGTTCGCCAGCTAGAAGAAACTTTACAGACAATTAGATGCTAGGACGGAAAATCCAAAATAGAAAGTATTGGCTACTACCTTGACATTTATCCAGAATGCCCCGAAATTAATCAGTTCGAGATTTGTATACAAATCATCCGTGAAATTTTTTAATCGATCCGTCAGTTTGCCAAGAAACGCGTATTAGATTAGATTTTACAGACCTCACATAGCAGATTTTACAACGGAAATACAAAAGTATAAAAAAGCAGATATAGTTTTTTGCAGAACATTTTTACAAAATTATCGAATACAAGTACTGTTATGAGTTACATAAGCTTTTACATACAGGACACCTGAAATTATTTATAAAGCCACTAAATAATGAAAACGCGAAAACATGATACAATGTATTATCGATAGTTAACTCTTTTTAATCATATTAAGACATTCAGAATGGCTGCCATGACCAACATGTCCAAAACCCGATCCGATATGAAATGAAGTAAGTTTAAGAAGATGTACATACACGTCGCACGAAACTGGGGACAATTAGCGTAACATTATGGCGTCAAAAACTAAGACAAAACAATGAGCAGCATAGGGCGCAAACAGCCTTACAACGTCAAAAACGACAAGCGTCACATTTTTGTCAAGTTTAGTCAACCTAAAAATAAAATACTTTATCCTTATCTAATCATGACGAAATTCACAGGGTAGCAAGATCTCGAGGACAATATTTCTAAAAAAATTTTGAATTTTGAAAAACGGTCAAGAAATCCACTCGGGGCGTTGGTAAAAATTGATATGTATGGAATTTGTGGTAAAAAATCGATGCGTCACATTTAGTTCAAGTCTCGAAAACCAGCTCTTATTTTAATATTATTTGCAAAATAAACAAACTGATTATTGTTTTGTAAATTTCGCCATGACAATATTGTGCAGTTAATTTTTCTTTCAAATCAGACTTAAATTAAATTAAATAAAGGTAAACTTATTGCTCGTCCCATTCGCCTTCAAAACCTTACACAATTTTGAAAATTTTAAAAGCGTTCATATACGATAATTTGAGCGGGAGCCGTTAAGCAATTGTGACGTCATAAATGAATATGTTCCATTGAATAAATTGTGAAATTTTAGTGGGATTTTGATCATTATTTCAAAAGTTATCTCAATTTCAACGAGCCCTATAAGCGTAAAGTGTTACGTCTTACAGCGTATTTGACGATGTCTGGATATTTTTAACTTTAAAAAAATGTTGGATCCCATCAAAATTTTGAAGGAAAAATAATTTCACTGAAATGCGAATAAAAAATACTTTAAAATGATATATAAAACACATAGTTAGCTTTTTAAATAAGGCAGAGATTAACGCTCAAAGCTGAGATTAGCCCGTATTTCCCGAATTGTCCCCAGGTCCGTGCACGTCATAACAACGTTTTGAAAGTAACTCTGTTAGCCGTTTTTCAGACTTCAAAATGGCCGACAGGAAGTAAATATCGAGTCGTAATTTTCTCTACCACATCTGAGTCTACTAAAAAGGTTTCCCTGAAATTTTGAAAGTGATATCTGTTATAGTTTTGGAGAAAACTCGGATGGACAGAAAGGCAGACGATTCTAGGCCAACAATATGGCCCCATATTATGGGTGGGGACATGAAAACATAGACTGTTAAGTCACATTCTTGAATTCCAAGATGGCCGACAATTACTTTTACTATTTTACAAATCGCATAGAAAGTACATAGCAACAGTAATATATTACATTTGCCTTATGGTTGATAAAGTTAATAAGAATTCTCTTCGAATAATTAACCCTTTGGGCGATTATTAAACAATATTTGTAACTCTGAAAATACGTACTGTTATGGCAGATACTGGAGCACTGAATTCAACGATAAGTTCCCAATCAGTAGATTTTGCCTCGTTTGCTGTAACGTCAACTTCAAAGTTTGTTTCTGTGATTGAAGGCGATGGGTTCCATGAATGAGTCTTAATGAGATTCCCGGCTGAACTCAAAGTGAGAGATAGTGAAAGGATCACTACGCATGATAATGGCGACGACATCCTCGTCTAACACTACGTCACGGTTCGTATTAGCAGCTTGTATTGCTTCTGTTCCAAGGTTGCTTTCACAAAAGTCATGCCATTTTTTATTTTATAAGAATTTTTGTTTGAACACAGTACAGTGTGTCTTACAATTGCTAATTCTTGAAGGTTTGATAAACGTCAAATTGGCAATAATTATTTTTCATATTAGTTAAATTAAATAAAGGTTCATGAAAAGTATAGCACGAAATGCAACGCATTCATGGCAAATTAAGAATTTAACGTTTTTAGAAGGAATCATTTTCTTTCAATTGAAAACACCTTATTTGCATTATATGCTTTTATTATCGGTTATTGTGTTTGTCTGAGAGAAAAAAATTGCGACACATTTAATGAGAACAAGACAAATTAATATTTTCATTCGAATTATTGAATTAAGTTATTACGATTTGAACAAAGTGATGGTTTGTGTTATTTGCACATTTCCGATCATGTCAATTATTAGAAAATGCTTTATTTCAAACCAACACCTACATGCGTTTTTCTGTCGTGATTCACGCATTTTCATAAGTACAGGATGGTCCAAGAAAAAGTGAACCGTTGGAACAGGCTATATTTTTCTTATTACTTGCAGGAATACTTTCATACCTTCACATGTTGTAGGGGAAGGTCTAAAATTTATGTTGGTACCATACATTCTTCTTAGTCTTGAAATTTGCAGAAAGCATAAGCCCTAACCAAACATCACTGAAAATGGATAAAATGTGAACTTCAACATCTGCGATTCTTCTTGGAACTTTTTTTTAGAAAAACCTAAAGTTTTCTGACTTTGTTTGGTTTTGAATTCCGCATATTATGGTGTAAACATTTGCATCTTACCTCCATTAGTTGCAAAGGTATTGTGATGCAAAGAAATGTTCTAAGTTTCCAAAGACGAAAGCATCTTCCGGTAAAATCGCACAATACCCTTATATGGTCTCAAAATGTCAATATCTTCATTAATCATGGCCCAATTCTAATGAAATATGGCTCAAAACACTGAATATTAGATTTCCTTTTGATTTGTGTAAGATACTTACATGAAAGGCTTCTCAGATTTCGGGTCACAGGGGGTAACTTAGCCCCCTCCAACCGATTGTGTAGGTAATATGCCCCTTAATTGTTGAATGGTAAAAACTGCTTCAAAATGGTCAATGAAAGTTTGAAATGTGTTTTCTGCTCGAATATTGACCCATTTGTCATATCGTAGGGTTTAAACCTATACCTGTCACTGAAAGTTATTTTAAGATCACCCAATGTGTTCCAACAATTTCCGTGAATCACATTGGTAATATTTTGCACAATATCTAATTATAGGCATGTTTGTTTAAGTCTTGTAATTTCTTTAAAATTCAAGACTGAGAATAAATTATGGCATCAATAAAAAAGGTTGTATTATGGAATAAATGGGTTATTTCTGGTCGGGATTGAATATGGATTTTGTTCCTCGGAAAATATGATAATGACCTTGTGGAATATGCTGCGCTCCCTCGGTCAATATCATATTGTCCCTCGGAATAAAACCCATATTCAATCCCTCCCAGTAAATAACCTACAGTATATGTATTAAGGAAAATACAGCCTGACGCAGGGGTTTACTTTTTTGTTCATCCAACGTGGCGTTCTGGCAAATGCAATGGTCAAGGACTAAAACCATCCCTTAATGAATTTCAATTTGGAGTCCGACGTCTTTTTTATTTTTCTAGTTCCGGTCAAGGCTGTGTCATACAATATAAACTCTCGTAGATATTTGCATGTACTTCCCCTCACGGTATCTCTCCATTGTTAATCATTGGTGATTACTAACAATTGTAGTAAATGACAAGTTTTACATTTCTCTTTTGTTGCTTTATAATTAGCATTTCGAATATATCCTCCGTTATAAGCCAATTGCTGATACTAAAAGTGTCACTTGAATGGTTTAACTATTAGTCTAGTATCTTCTTGTACTCAATCGGGTGGGTACATACTATAAAGTGGAGGACCACAATTCTACACGTTCACGTACTGAAATAAGAGATTCAGGCCACGCTTTTATTAAGAAACCGTGAACCTGAACGCACACGCACACGTTTGAGGGTTTTCAGTTAAGTTTTGCATGTGTAAACCACGTACGTGAAAGTAACTTCGATTAAACTATGGCATTTTTTACAGAAGATAAAATAAAACGGTCATATTTTGGATTTGTCATTTCACTATTAAAACATTTTAAGGTCGATGAGTACATTCTAAATTTTTATGCATTCCTCCTTGTACCGAGAATTTTCTTATAATATGTGTAACGACCCTTGGGCATGTCCGTCGGGGAGCTGTAGTGTAACGATCCAGCAGATAATAGACTCGATAGAGAGTGTGCTAGATTCAATGTACGGGAATCGAGCCCAGGACCTTCCGCTCTCGAGTCAGACGCTCTACCCCTGAGCCATAAGGGCTACCCACTACAGCTGAGACTAGTAGCGACTTGCTATCGAAGGCCATTACAGATGTATAACAAGGCATTAACATGACAAAATGTCACCACCTAAAACAATTTGGTCAATTTAAAGCAAGTTGGAAAATACCTTTTGACCTTAAGAAGGTTTGATTTGAACTTCTTAGAACATGTAGATGATTTTGAAAAAAAAATTCGTCAATTTGAAGCAAGTTGAAAAAATACCTCTTTGACTTTTTTTGACATTGAGAAGGTCATTGAAGGTCAAATGTCAAATGTAAAGTCAGATTTGAACTTCTGAGAACATGTAGATGATTTTGAAAACAAATTAAGTAAATTTGAAGCAAGTTGAAAAAATACCTTTTTGACCTTGAAAAGGTCATTGAAGGTCAAATGTCAAATCTAAAGTCAGATTTGAACTTCTGAGAACATGTAGATGGTTTTGAAAAAAAAATTAGTCAATTTGAAGCAAGTTGAAAAAAGACCTTTTTGACCTTGAGAAGGTCATTGAAGGTCAAATCTAAAGTCAGATTTGAACTTCTGAGAACTTGTAAAAGTCAAATTTGAACTTCTGAAAAGATGTAGATGATTTTGAAAAAAAAAATTGGTCAATTTGAAGCAAGTTGAAAACAGACCTTTTTGACCTTTTTTGACCTTGAGAAGGTCATTAAAGGTCAAATGTCAAATCTAAATTCAGATTTGAATTTCTGAGAACATGTAGATGATTTTGAAAAAAAAAATTAGTCAATTTGAAGCAAGTTGAAAAAAGACCTTTTTGACCTTTTTTGACCTTGAGAAGGTCATTGAAGGTCAAATGTCAAATCTAAAGTCAAATCTAAAGTCATATTTGAATTTCTGAGAACATGTAGATGATTTTGAAAAGAAAATCTAGTCAATTTGAAGCAAGATGAAAAAATATCTTTTTGACCTTTTTTGACATTGAGAAGGTCATTGAAGGTCAAATCTTAAGTCAAATCTAAAGTCAGATTTGAATTTCTGAGAACACGTAGTGAAAAAATTTTAGTCAATTTGAAGCAAGTTGAAAACAGACCTTTTTGACCTTTTTTGACCTTGAGAAGGTCATTGAAGGTCAAATGTCAAATCTAAAGTCAGATTTGAATTTCTGAGAACATGTAGATGATTTTGAAAAAAAAATTTAGTCAATTTGAAGCAAGTTGAAAAAAGACCTTTTTGACCTTTTTTGACTTTGAGAAGGTCATTGAAGGTCAAATGTCAAATCTTAAGTCAAATCTAAAGTCAGATTTGAAGTTCTGAGAACACGTAGATGATTTTGAAAAAAATTTTTAGTCAATTTGAAGCAAGTTGAAAACAGACCTTTTTGACCTTTTTGACCTTGAGAAGGTCATTGAAGGTCAAATGTCAAATCTAAAGTCAGATTTAAAGGTCAAATGTCAAATCTAAAGTCAAATCTAAAGTCAGATTTGAATTTCTGAGAACATGTAGATGATTTTGAAAAATAATTTAGTCAATGTGAAGCAAGTTGAAAAAAGACCTTTTTGACCTTGAGAAGGTCATTGAAGGTCAAATGTCAAATCTAAAGTCAGATTTGAACTTCTGAGAAGATGTAGATGATTTAGAAAAAAATTGAAGTCAGTCTAAACAGTATTTGTTAAGTTATAGGAAGTTGTAAGAAATTGTTACAGACGCCGGACGGCCAACCTCCAACCACCAACCGCCGGACGCCAACCTCCAACCGCCGTCGCAAAAAACGGAGACCATAACAATATGTCATCACTTTTGGTGGTGACACTTTTGGTGGTGACATAAAAACAAGAAAATAGAGTGACTTACTCATTTTGTACTCTTTAAATAAACTAAAACCAATTTCTTCACACTCTTTTCTGGGTACATTATAGTGTGCACTTTGTGCAAATGTGAAAGATGTAGACCGTATATGAAACGAGTTATTTTCCTGAAAATAACATGACGTGACTTCAATGAGGACTGCATAAAAATTCCGAACGTATGGATCGACCTTAAACTTTGTAATTAAGAACTCAACTTTATCAATATCACTGGTCAGTATCAAGCGAAGATTTTGACCGTAACCTTCGCATCAAAGTACCCTTTGCATTCGTTTGACTTCACTTCTTAAAAGAAAGCTTCGTCTTCGTGTAGTTTAACTAGACTCTGCACGCAGGGTAGCATCAAAGATGGCGGATGGTAAGTGTCGATTTCAATATTCTCAGTTTTCATCGAATTAAATTTTGTTATAGTTGATATAATGCTTTGACATCTTAACGATATCAGGCATATATGGCATGGACACACTGAACTATGATCGTTTAATCATATACAATGCGCAGGCTCCACAGTTCGACGATATCTTCCATCGCTTAGGGGAGGGAACTGGGCTTTTGGTTTAAGTTACAGATCATAACTGATATGCGGTGATGCAGTATCTAACGTTAGTTTATAATGGAGATCTAAGATATCCAGTTACCGTGTACTGAAAACTAACATGACCGTTACCGTATCATACATTTCCACTTACCTTCCTTTAAACGTTGGAAGATATCGTTGGACTGTGGAGCCTACGTACGATATATATATGGGCAAATTATCATACTCAAGAGTTACCCTGTCACATAAGCTTGATTTAGTTCAAATATCAACGCATAATGCCATCTATAGAGTAGTTTAGTTCGATGAAAACTAAATACATCGAAATCGAAACTTTCCGTCCGCCATCTTAGATGCGAATGTTGCAGCCGTTACCTTCGCTTGATGATGGAAAATTACAAATAAAACTACTATGTTTACTGTATGTAAACTGTATTGCGAATAAGAAGACTTCATTTTCAAATGGGTGTGCAAGCTCATCAGTTTCTGCGTTGTTTAGTTCAGACAATCAGAATTACCAGAATAAAACAATGATATATTGACTTTTACTTGGCATTCATCGTTGACTACACACCCAAAGTAAGCTCCTAGTCACCGAATAGACACTAAATAGCATTTAAAATACCTCAATTTTGTCCATCGATGTGGAATGCCCTGTCGGATATCCTTCCATTTTTGCGCTGAACAGCGTTCAATAGTGCCATCGTTTTGATTCTCCACTTTGATATCAATCCACATTGGATACAACTAAAGGCGTATTAATTTTGGCACTAATCTGCTGACTATGAACAATTAAACAAATGGGAAATGGATTCTTATTAGCAGTCTTAGTTTTAGATCATAATTATCACTTCGATATTGAAATTACATTTACAGTAGACAGACGACATAGTTTTAAATTATATTTTATTACTCCACTATTGAAATTATATTTACAGTAGCTGACAGACATAATTTCAAATCACAATATGTTACTCCGCTATTGAAATTATATTTACAGCAGACAGTTACACGGTGCGTATAAAAAACGCAGTTGTTATTTTGGAAGGCACAAAACCAGTGATAACAGCATTGATTTCATTCAATGTACAATAAAGCCATGTGTCTCCATTTTCCAATGGTATATCATTCGTTGATATTGGGCCATGGTTGGGCGAGTAATCATTCCTTTTGTAAAGTGGGACAAAATTAGCTTGGGATCAAATAAACATCGCGAAAGTTAGTGTACGGGGCCCAATTCAATATTGGAAGAAAACCTAAAACCAATGATGACTACATCAATTTCATTCAGTGTACCAAAAAGCCATATTACTCCTCTTTGCAATGGAATGCCATTCATCCACAGGGAGTCATGGCTGGCCGAATAATCATTAAATTCGCAAAGTGGGGTAAAATTCAACCCGGACCCAAGTTTTAAACATTGCAAAAGTCAGTGCATGGGGCACAAGGGCACTTGAAAGAAGGTGTTGCAGGTGTGACATAGACAGTAGTGTTCATACTCATACTCTTACAAGAATACATCCTATACCCCTCTTAATTGCCACTACTTTTTTGCACATAAAGATGCGCTAATCTCTCCATGTCATGCATGGTTTAGCCCGGAGTCAAATGTGGGTTAAAGTGGAGAAAGGAAGCCCGTTGGCAATTCTTTCTCCAGATTTTGCAATATCTGGTGGAGGAATGGTGAGCACAGATGCTCTTGAGATAGCTCCAAAAGAAAAAGTCACAACAAAAACAGTCAGGAGCACTTCCATTGGCACTTAGCCCTTGCACTGATTTTTGCAATATCTGAAACTTGGTCCAGAGCCAACTTAGACACACTGTGCAAATGGAAGGATTTCTCACCCAACCATGACCACATGTGAGTGAATGACATAGCATTGCAAAGAGGAGGGACGTGGCTTAATGGTAAATTAAATTAAATTGATGTAATCATCACTAGTTTTGTGATTTTACGAGATAACTGCTTGTTGCGTTTTTTTATACGCCCTGTAGTTTTGAATCATTTATATTACTCAACTATTGAAATTATGTACATCAGACAGACATCAGACATGATATTTTACTACGTTGCTATTGGAATTATATTAACAGCAGACGGTCATAGTTTTAAAACATATTTTATGACTTCGCTATTGCACAAGTATTGTAATTTTTAATCATATTTTATTACTCCGATATTGAAATTATATTTAGAGTCATCGTTTTAGATTATCATTTTTCATGTTGGAACTTATAATATATGAAAATATGTTGTTTTTGTGAAATACTTGATGACGTAGTAACTGATAGAATTTTGCAAATTAATAATGTCAATTCTAGCTGAAATTAAATTTAGCCATGCATTTGGCACAGGCGAGGCAATTGCCTTACAAAAACTTTCCAGAAATATATTTTCAGACGTTTTTTAACTAAAACTATCACTTGGTGAAATCAATAAAATAATATATAAAAATATGTTTTATTTTCGGATATTTGTGTAAAAAGATGCGTAATAATACAGTATTTCCATTCAGTATTGTAATTATTATATTATATTATGAAGGAAAAAAATATAATCAGCAAAATATACTCTATTATATAGAGATTAATATAATATAATTAGAAATAAGCGAGATCCAAATATGATGATTGCAGTTTATTTAGAATTTTTTTCTATTCTAAAAAATATTATTTTCTTGTATTTTCCAATCTGAACAGAATATATCAAATTATATTGTATTATTTGGGTTCTAAAAAATATTATACGCGATTATTCTCGCCCAACTTGATGTACAATCCATCTGGTTAATTACTTAACCAAACAAAACAAAGAATGCACAGCATGGCAGTTAATAGGTTTAACCGTTCTATTGGCCTTCTCATCTCCATTACTTACAAATGTCACACATACATTTTATTTTGATTGTTCTATTTCTATTTGAATCATATTTACAAAATAAATATTTAGAAGAAATTAATAAATTTAATTTGATTAAAATTAATGTTAACAATGGAGTAAACATGTGAAGAAAAGTCATCAATTAAAAATCAAAAAATTAACTTTCCGATGAGTTAATCAATTCAATCCAAATTTTAATACAATGTTAATCATAGAAAGAGGGACACTATACCATCAAATAAATATGAAAAACTTAATTTGCAAATTATTATTTTTTGTGGAAATTAGAAGAATCAGTTCTAGATATTAATCCATTAACTCTAACAAACGGATTAGTTATCAGTGAACAAAACTCATTTCATAGAAATTGAAAAAACTTAGGGATTAAGGTATTACTTATATTGCTCTGACATCAATACATGTATGTGAATGGTGAAAATCTGCATGATTTTGAAAGAATTGTTGGCCAAGGGGAGGGGATCGTTACTCGATAGGTACGGGCCTGTATAAAATGCGTAATGTACTTGTATTTAACTGAAAAATTGAGCAGTTCTGTGTCAAGACTATTTTTGTGGTTGGCAAAGTGAATACAGGTGGTTGTTTGTGTCTCACTCTGTGTAAGAGGGGGCCTTAAATGTTGTTTGTTGTAAACTTAATGTGGCAGAGAAACAATGGAGTGGAAACCCATTGATTAAAACTTAACTTTCCGTTGAGTCAATCAATTAAATCCAAATTTTAACACAATGTTAATCATAACATAAGGGGCATTATACAATCAAATAAATATGAAAAACTTAATTTTCAAATAATTTTTTTGTGGAACTCAGAACTGTTGGCTGTAGGAAATTAATCCATTGCCTCCAACAAACGGATTAGTTGTCAGTGTTAATGAAGCTCATATTAAAGAAATTAAATAATTAGGGATTAACATTTTACTTATCATATTGCTCTGACATGCTGTATGTCAATATGCTATTTACATCAGTTTGTTCTACCATGCACCAATTTGCTCAAAGCGTAATCATTGCTTTGTCAGATGAAACATTAAATTGTGCCCACTTCTTTATTTTCATTATCAAACAACTAAACATACAGAATCTCGCACCTTTTGAATATATATATTTGGAAATGGAAAACAAAGAAAGTTGTAATAAAAAGAAATGATCCAATTGTAGTAGAAACAAATGTATAACATCATGTACTAATCTGATGTTTATATCCCCCCCCCCTCCCGGGATATCCCCGGTTTATATCTCAGATATTATATGGATAACAGAAAACACACGAATTGTGAAATGTGAGAGAATACAAGTTCTTATTTTGTTTTAGCATGGATTAACACCACTTGTATCGGTTAACCTAATGGACGTTTCCTTATTTATTATCAGTGATTTGTCAGAAAAATCGGAGCAAAACATACAATATATTACAGGCTTGTAATAAGTTTTAGCCAAGGGGATCAATTTTCAAAACAAACCAAGGGTTCACAATTGATAATAGGATTTTGAAAGAATTTTGGCAAGGGGAGGGTGATTTACTCGAACCCAACGACCCCCCCCCCCCCCCTTCCTTGCCATGGACCTGTATCAAATTTGTAATGTATTGATATATAGCAGTTTCGTGTCATCAATGTTTTGTGTTGTTTGTGAAGTGAATAAAGGTGTTTGTGTCTGTGTGAGAGAGGGCTTTAAGTCTTGTTTGTTATAAGCTTAATTTGACAGAGAAACTATTGATTTAAATTGTGAGGAAACCAAATGGAGTAAAAATGTGAGGAAAGCCATTGATTAAAAATTAACTTTCCATTGAGTCAATCAATTAAATCCAAATTTTAACACAATGTTAATTATAACATAAGGGACATTATACGATCAAATAAATATGAAAAACTGAATTTGCAAATTATTTTTTGGTTGAAATTAGAACCATCGGCTGTAGAAATTAATCCATTAACTCTAACAAACAGATTATTTATTGGTGTGAACAAAACTCAAATCATAGAAATTGAATAATTAGGGATTAAAGTTTGACTTATTATATTGCTCTGGAATGTCAATACATGTATGTGAATGTTGAAAAACTATATGAATTTGAAAGAATCGTTGGCCACGGGGAGGGGGGTCCTTAAGTATGGTTCTGTATAAAATGCGTAATGTGTTTATTAATTATTGAGCAGTTCTGTGTCATGACTGTTTTTTGTTGGCAAAGTGAATACAGGTGGTTGTTTGTATCTGTGTAAGAGGGGGATTTAAGAGTTGTTTGCCAAAAACCTAATGTGACAGAGAAACAATGGAATAAAAATGTGAGGAAAACCAATTAATTAAAAATTCAAAAATTAACTTTACAATGAATTAATTGATTGAATCAAAAATTTAACACAATGTTAATCATAACATGAGGGACATTATACAATCAAATATATATGTAAAAACTTATTCTGCAAATTATTTTTGTGGAATTTTTTAGAGCCATCAGCTGTAGAGATTAATCCATTAACCATAACAAACGGATTAATTACTTAAGTATAAGTATGAATGAAACTCATTTCATAGGAATTGAGTAATTAGGGATTAACGGCTCGAAAATAAACGCGTATAATCGGTTTTTGATTGCAGATGCCAACATATTATTTGCTCCTGACAAAAATATTATTCTATATTATATGGTATTATATGTTGTTCCCTTTAAATAATACACGAATAATATTATTAAATCAAAAATAATTCTTCAAAATTCGTATTATATTTTTTTCCGCTATAATACAAAAAATAACTGCCTATTATACTGGAAAAAATATTCTCTATGATTCTCTCTTAATGCAACTTATTTTGCAGTATATTAAACATTTTATTCTATATTATTTTTACATTTTTACCAAGTGTATGAGATCTCATACACTGAACAAACCACAAACAATACCATGGCTCGTTTTCGAATTTTCCTTGATTTTCCTCTCTTCATTTTGAAAATACATGTCCATTTGCATTTGGTTGGTCCGTTGTTGACACCTTCTTTCGTTCTCGTAATTGTGCTCTCAGACTTGAGAATTCGTTCACCAAAGGCACAATGATGATGAAGAAGGCAGCGGATATTGCCCATGTCTCCGCTACATACACCTGAATGATGGAGAAAAACACATGTAGTTGAACAAATAATTATAAGGATCGGGGAATGTCCCTAGATTTGAATATTCCATTTGGAATTTCAGGGGAAAGTGTAAGTATTAAGTATTAAGTAGATGATTTGTTAAACATGTCACTAGACAAACAGGTTGGAAATAACACATAATAATCAGTGATTAATGTTTTAGAATAATCATTAATAAGCAGACACAGTCTGATCCTGACCTAATTATAACTTTTAAAGGCTAGATACAATGGGAACAGGCATGGCCTAGCGATAATCACTTTTGTCTTTACTGAATAACCGACCAACTGATTATTGTGACTGATTAAACTTCAAAGGGCTAATTACAAATGACACTGCTGGAATACAATCTCTTGTCTAAATAAAATGATCAACCTGTCTGTGATAAGAAGTATAAAGGAATTTAAAATGTATCTAATATATTATACAATTAGACAGACTGGCTATTCTAATTCGTTATGAAAAGTCATTTGTTTTTTCCACTACAGGATGTTTCTACTACGGAAGTTAATTTGTTTCTTTTAGTCTTTAATAGAGGCACTGTCCCTTGACACTTTTATGAAATAAATGAATTTTGTGATGGACTACAATTGTATATTTTTACATTACATCATTTTCATTTTAGGTCTCTCTTATTACTTGTAGTTGCATTGCAGAAGTCTAATGTTATTCTCTCCGTGTGCCGAAAGTACTTATACCCGTAGCCAAGGGGTGGGGTGGTTCAAGGAGTGCGAGTTAACAGAATTCGAATTGAATACATAATAAATACGTAACATATAAATATATAAGTACATAATGTCTAGTCAAGTCTTCTTACATTTTTTGAACTTCAAATGCGCCTTTTGACGTGTGGTAACAAAATACAAAATAAATACTTATGTTTCTCCAGCTTGTTTTTATATTAATTTGGCAATAAAACATGCATAAAGAGATAACAAATTGCGCACTGTGCGCAACCCGAATCCCCTCCCCGATCGGGTCGCGTTTGGTGTGTATGTAATAATGTACAAAAGAAATGGAATAAAGACAATTATGCCCCCCCCCCTATTGCAACATTTTGTCAATTAAAAGTATTAGCTCGGAGCATCAACACACGTTTGATTGAAATAATTTAAATAAAAGTTCCAAATGAATAAAGAACATGAAGGTTCTGTTTGACATTCGAGAAGAAGAATCTGTCCAGTCAAAAATAGATTTCTAATATTTGATCTTGATAAGATGTATTTATTGATCCTTGTTTTTAAAACTACGGATGGTTCACTCAATTCTGAAGTAGCCTAAACAAAAAATAATCCTATACACGACAACTTGGTTCCCATGATACTGCCTATAACCTATAATACTCATTTATCAAAACAAATATTAATTAATCTGTCTGTCTGATTACATTTTGTTCCCTGACTCAAACTAAGCAAACCCCGATTACAGTTCTTAATTCCTCACTTGAAACGATTTAGCCAACATGATACAATATGAAATTTGATTAATTATACATGTACTGGTATAAAGCCTATTGTTATCAAAACCCATAAATGCTCACAATATAAATATAGTTTATTGATGGCCAATAACAGATATCAGGGGCGTAGCCAGCTTTCAGTCGGGGGGGGGGAGTGCGATTGCCAAAAATATTTTGGTTTTCAGTCGGGGGGGGGGGGGCGAGGAGGATGCTAAATAAAGTCTAACATTAAATGAAATTCTAAAAATGTGTTTCTTTTATTTTTTGTTTGGTTGATAATGAATTAAAAAATGATGTTTGAATAAAAAATTCAATTTCGCAAAAATTCATATTCTTTAGCTAGACAAAGGCTATAGTTTGTTTATTCAACGGATAATAATTTGAAGCGCTAGACGCATAAATGGCAGACGATTCTTAATTGCTAATGAAAACAAAGCGATAATCAGTTGGGTGAATAATCACTTGACATAATAATCAGTTGGAATTTTTGCCATTGGCTACACATTAATAAGAATTGATTATCGTAATAACCAGTGAAAACACTGGTTATTGTTGATTAATGAGTCTTGATAATCAGCGATAACCAGCAATAATAGTCTCGATAATAGGTTTTAACCAGATAATAATCATTTATTCACTGATTATTTGTGATTAAAATTGTTTATATTTGGTCACTTCGCCCAGTGGTACAGTTGATTATATAGGGATTTTGAGAACAGGGAGCAATTTTGATATTTTTCTTGGTCCAAAAATTCCTTCAATATGACATTTGACCTCTAATGACCCTTACAGAAAATCAAGTTATCAATTTTGACCTCATTGAAATCTTGTAAGTACTCGGCATGTAAGTGACCAAACATATTTAGTTAAATTAAAAGTACACATTATGAGATGATGAGAAAAAGATGCCACGCACATTTTTCTACCCAGTATCTCTTTGTCATATTCAGTACCTTATATGCCACTGTTTATGGTATAAAAGTAATATATTGAAGATTCAATCAACAATTTGTTCGATATTTTAGAAATATTAAACCATAAATCACTTTTCATAAATGAACGGACTTCAAAGAAAGTTGGCTTTAAGTTGCTACATTATCGAGAAGTCGAAAAGTAGAGAAATCCATAGCGATTGTTTCATGCATCCAAGGTACATACCCAGCCTCGAAATGCGTCCAGAGCTAGCGTGCCCGTGGATAACATCGCAAGCGGCCATATTACAACAAGGATCAGTGACAAGCCAATTGCCCCAATGTAGCAAGTTATCTTCACATTCCTGAATACGGTCTCGACCTCTTTCATTGATGGCCTTTGATCCAACTGATGGGCCCCAGAAATAGACAATTCTCTGCAATTAGAACACTCAAAATAAAAAAACGAGTAATAAAACGAGTGTAGAAATAAGTCAATTTGAGTGACATAAATGTAATGAAAAAAATAGGGCGCAGGCGTCTTGAAAATGGCGTTTACATTTAATGCGTTACATTTTGTGATCATGAGAAACTGCAATCTAAAGATAAAATGTTTTATTTTAGGCAAATCGTACAGGGTGTTCAAAGAAATCGCTATATCTTGGAAAATACTAATCCAATTATGTTCATATTTTCAGGAAAGAAAAACGAGACTGTGTATGTATAGCCCCTGTTTTTAGTTAGTTGTAAAACATGATGTCATGGACACTTGCTCAAAAGACCAGCAAACTACGAAAAACGTGAATGGAAAATCACTATATCTTGGAAAATACTGATTCAATTATGTTCATTTTTTAAGGAAAAGAAAGAAGAGACTGTGTATGTGTAGCGCCTGTTGTCAGTAAGTTGTAAAACATGATGCCTTGGACACCAGCTCAAATGACATTTGTACTAGGAAAATATGAAAACGCAGTCAGAGGTGACTGCCACAGCAATAAAACCAAATAACTTTATAACCATAGTGTTTTGGCACTTTAGATTTGGCACAAATTATCCTCATTTAATGTGTGGTAAATTTGTGGAGTTTCATCAAAATCACTGCAGTAACTTTACAGTCATGGTCAAAATCCCTTCTCAAGTCTCCCTGAACCAGGGCGTTTGACTGCGATTTGAAAGCATTTTGACCATGACTGTAAAGTCCCTGAAGTGATTTTGATTTCTCTTTACAGATTTACCATACAGTGAATGAAGATGATTTGTGCTAAATTTTAAGAGCCAAAACACTATGGTTAGAAAGTTATTTTGTTTTTTCCTGTTGCAGTCACCCCTGACTATGTTTTTCGTATTTTCGTAGTACAACTGTCTTTTGAGCAGGCGTCCAAGGCATCATGTTTTATAACTAAGCATTTACAGGAGCTATACATACACAGTCTTTTCTTTGTTTCCTGAAAATATGAACATTATTGAACCAGTATTTTTCAAGATATAGCGATTTTTTGGGGTTGCGTTTTTTTGAACACCCTGTACTTGAATTTATTGAGTTTCAATATCGCGAGGACACTTCTGTGTTCCTTGCAAGTACGTAGTAATGCGTAATACAGGGTGGGCCAAAAAAACGCCACTTTTTTTTCAAAATGCTATAACTTTTTTAATTTTTGATATTAAATCATAATTTGCATACCAAATGAAACTTGAGGTTGTTATCTAGCCACGGATAATACATTATACAGTTTTACTTGAATAAAATATGTCACCAGCGTCTCCCTTAAACATTTTCATGAGAAATAGGCATTATTTGCAAAATGTTCCTGAACTGATACGGCCTGATGATCGCTAAGCTAATAGCCCTGATGCAAACCCCAGTGAGTATAGGGTATGGGAAGGTCTCCAGGAGATTGTATGAAGGCACCCAATCTAGAAAATTGCTCAACTAAAGCTGGGAATTTAGACAGATTGGAAAAAACTTAGCTAACATTTCATTGATACTGCAATATCAGCAAGGCGACTAAATCTAAAATATATCATCAATTAGGGTGGCGGACCAATTGAACTCCCCTTTTAGATCAAATATAATCCAAGTTGAATGACTTGTTACATTATATCATTGCTGAGAACCCTTGGCACTATATAACTGCAAAATTTGAGGTATGTAGGTTGGAAAATAAAAAAGTTGTAGTGTCTTGAAAAAAAGTGGCGTTTTTTAACACAAGCAAATGCCTTTCGCTTGAAATAATATTGAATATATGAGGATTATGTTTTGGGAGGTTTTGGATATGAGGTACTGTACCCAAGGGGGATATATAGAGATAATCCTATATAAGGTTCAGGATATTGGGATTATCCCGAGGCAAATATAATATATCTGGTCGAGGGCCGCAGGTCCCGAGGGGAAAATATGTTATATTGGCCAAGGGATAATCCCAATATCCTGAACCGAATATAGGATAATATGTTTATCCCATACCAATCAATTGTTCAATCGTGGAAATATTGTAGAATATTCATGTCTAGTTTTGTTTTCTTGGCCGTGGGCGAATTTTCCTGTTCTCTCAAATATTCCCACATTTATTTTCTCGAATTTTTGATTGATTAAGTGGATGCTCCTTCCCTTTTTTAAACCATCAAACAGATCCCGATTGACTGTGTTTTATCCATTGTCGATTACAGTCATTACGCGAACGTTACAAATTATTATAGGAATATGCTATGGTTTTGAAAAAATATCATTTATATCCATGAGTGGATATTGATATCTTGATGAGTGAACGCAGCGATGCTTGCAAGGTTAATATACAAATATTTAATTCTATTGAGGTGAATACCTGTGCATCTTTCACAAGTGATATTCCACGAAGCCCGAAGGGCAAGTGGAATATCATCTTGTGAAAGTGTCACAGGTATTCACCGAAAATAGAATTAAATATTTGTTTTATTATATCACTGTCATAACATCTTCTATAATTAAATAAGTCATATGTTAAAATTGAAATACATTTATATTTCTTCTAACAATATAACAATAAATACAATAAATATCAACTACAAAATTGTATAGTCAATAAATATCAACTCCCAAATTGTAGTATTTTAATTTAAGGTTTCATGTTAACACTATAATTAATTGTAATATTGCAATGGGTCCATGAAAATGGAACCATTGTGTTCATACTCATAGTATTGGACATGTGGGAAACAAGGTTGGGAATGTTTTTCAAATGTCCATCCATGACCGTTGAATATCATTTGATATTCAACGGAAGTCACGTGACTTCCCTTGAATATCACTAGTTATTTTTTAGTCACATGTAGGACATGGACCAATAAGGTCGAATATCATATGAAGATATATTTGATATGTGGATCAAGATATCATATTTTAGCAAAAAATATTCAAACCATCGAATATCTCTTCTTGAATAGTGATATTCGATGGTTTCAAAAGTGATATTCGATGTAGATTCGATGAAGATATCAATATCCACTCATGGATATAAATGATATTTTTCAAAACCATAGGATATTCCTATAATATCTCATATTCAAAACCTAGCATCACATAATAGTTTCGCTACAGCAAGATACATGGTGATCCAGAAGTAATGTCAGCGGTCTCGCCATTTCGATACTACGGAACCAAACTTATTGAAACTCTGCACAAAACAATATTAATGAATTAATATTCAAAAAATAAAGCTCCTTATGTTTGATTGGTCGATTTCATGGTCAATAATGGTAACCCAATGTGGTGTCAACTTTTCAATTATTTATGCTAGTTTTTTAACTATATTATCAGATAATACATGGTTTATGACAGGAATATAATTGCACAGGATGCTTTTCACTTTGTAAATGAAAAGATACAAGTAAACACGGGTCTGCATTTTTAAATTAGTGGAGCATCTTTATATTTTGATAACACAGAGAAATCTGGATGTGTCAAGTTGAGTCATCTTTCCTAGAATTCGATACGTCTAAAAGTACTACATCTTGGAATTAAGGCAGTTGTTTACTGGCAATGGGTGGCTCCATGTTGTATAGCATAGGTGCAATGATTTGACGAGTGTCCAGCGGCAGGGTATACACTTCGTGGTATCACACTCTTGAAAAATGAGTTTTTTACTCCCTATTGATATATATTTTTATGGATTTGATAAGCTATACTCAGTTCTGGCAGATTGTATCTATTCCAAGAGCAATTATCCCATACTCTCCTATTCACAGATATGTTTCTTTTTAAGTAAAATCTAAGTCAGTGACATCATCTGCTTTTGTTTAATTAATAATTCCATAGCATACATAATTATGTCATGGTCGGTTATTATAATATAATTAAAAATATATACACTTAATCGTCAAGTAATATTTTTAGTCCTCAGGGTAGACAAGCACCTTAAAACGTCAATTGATCTGCTGAATTTCATAATTGTTTAAAAATAGTTATTCTCACTCAACTTTCAGATAAACAGAGCTTACCAAAAATTTCAAACATGCCTTAGTTAATTGTCCTGTTTAGAACCCCTAGTTCTTACCATTGAAAATGAATCTTAGCAATACTATCCCACATGAATGAACTTGAAAAATATACTTGCCTGGATAGGGAACATAATATTCCCGGTTAATATGACCCCGAAACCTCATCAGATATGGAATATCTGGATAAACCCCGTGCGAATATACGAGGGGTGGTCAATAAGTAATAGACGCTTTTTTACACGGATGCTTTTTATGGACCAATCTCTTTGATTTTTTCACCAGTGATACATCATTCAACTATCTATCAACTCTGAAGCTTTGAAGACAAGATATGTACTGCGTATTGATATATCTCTATTTTCGTGAAGGGGGTACAGGTACCCCAAGACCGACATTTACGTCACATATTCTGAAGTAATGCCAATTTAGCATATCAATTAGATTTGAACTTTTTGATATGCCAAAAGAGTTGTGTTGTTTGAATATCATGTTGCCTGTGGTAACACATAAAATATTATAGTATTGTGATGTCAAAGTGTTGTATGGTCAGGGTTTGCAGGTTGATTTGAGAATGCACTGTGGAAGAAGGGGCTAGTAAGAGGAGGTAACACCATACTCCATGTGGATAATGCCCCTGCCAAAATATCTCAAATTGTGCAGGATACAATATCCCTGGACCTGAACATGAAGCCCTTGGTCCTTGCAGCCTTTAGTCCAGATCTGGCCACACATGACTTATTTATTTCTATACTGCTTATTTCTGTAGAGAAAGGATGCAGGTTTAATGACATTGATGAAATAAAACCAGCTGTGTAAATGCAGCTTGCTACCACGTCAGAGAATGGATTCAGCCTTGGAGTGTGTAGCGCTTAATGGAACCTATGTATAGGGCCCTGTAGAATGAATGTGGCATGGATGCCACAAAATGATGACAAAATATTCAAAATCAATTATGGCGTATCGAAATGGTGTAATTCATAACCATCATGCTTCGTTTTGTTCAACTTGCATTAAGCTGCATTGCACGTTAAATGAGCTAAATAGCTTCAGAATGTGTGACGTTATGTCGGTCCCGGGGTACCTACACCTCCTTCACAGAAATTAATTGATATATCAAAATATATTCCATGCTTCGTCTCCAAATCTTCAGAGTTGATAAGAAATTGAATTATGTATCACTGGTGAAAAAATTAAAGAGATTGGTCAATAAAAAGCATCCATGTAAAAAAGCGTCCATTACTTATTGATCACCCCTCGTATGTTTGATCATTCATTGGATTCCTCTTCTTTGATTTATATAATTATAGACCTCATTACAACTCATCTTTATTACTTTATATATGCTAATAATTTATGATGTAAAAGGTATATGTAGAATATATAAGTAGAGGCTTTATTCCCTACAAAAACGTCCCATGAAATTGAATATAAACCCATCTGCCCTGTTTGTTTGTACCAGATACTTTAGATACGTATATTTTTCTCAATGTTATTGATAAAAATTATGTCATCCTTGCAACCTGCGGAGGAATCTTCCCTTCAAAATGACACGTCCATCTACATGAGTTATAGTTGAACGTCTTCGGAAATTAAACATCTTCAAAAATAAATTTTTAGCAAATGGTGTCCATTTTTTTCTCTGTAAAGAGGTCTCGATTGAATGGCACGCATTGAAATCTCATTTTTCTCGACCCTTTGTAAAATGTCTCTTTCTTGTCCAAACAAGTGAAAGTAGAATAGTTTTTTTTGGTGAAATTTCGAAATTTCTAATAACAATCCTCTATGACTAAAAGGCCTCGCATTTACGTTGTGTGGCACATTATTTATCTATGTAACAGAGAATATAAGTACTAATTTATAGTCACTGTCGAGCAACGTCTGTTCACGGCTATCGTTTATTCTAGTATACGTTTAATTTTTGGCGCTAGAATAGTGTCATTAGAGAGTTTAAGCTTGCCTAAAAATCGAAACGCCAACCTATATGTAGGCTTCTAACCAATAAACCCATAATCATTGTGACATGGTTCACCCTTTTGTCCCAGGAGACCAGGATATCCTGGACGACCATCTAATCCAGCTGGCCCCCGGTGGCCACGTGATCCTTTCCGTCCTGGCAACCCTGGAAATCCGTCTCTTCCTGGAGATCCGTTCATTCCAGGTAAGCCGTTTGAGCACTGAGTTCCCGAGCTGAGTTCGCCATTTTCTCCTTTTGCTCCTTTTTGACCTCTTCGACCACGTCTACCAGTTGGACCAACGTCACCTTTTAACCCCGGAATACCGGATTCGCCTTTTAATCCACCGGGAAGTCCTGGTTTTCCTGGTTCACCTTTCAATCCTTGATCACCTGGTGGACCCCTCGTCGATTGTCCCTTGTCTCCACGTCTACCAGGTAGACCGTCAAAACCAGGAACACCGGGATCGCCCTTCAATCCTGGAAGTCCGGGAAGACCGTCAATTCCAGGGTATCCTTTATCCCCCTTTTTACATTTAACCGTCATTTCTTTTTTCAGTTGCGCAAGTATTACATTCAATTCACCTATTGTCACAGCATTTTCAGAATACAAAGCATCGACTGCCTGTGGATCCCGAATATCGTTTGGCTGAGCATAAATGTTAAGGTAAAATGTTGCTGCAAAAATTGCAAACTGAAGCAACATCGTAGACATTCTTAATCGCGTTTGTTCTAAGTGACACATGAAACTGCACATTATCTTGGCCCCGTATATATGTAATTTGGTATCAAATTCAAAATAGTTAAAGATGTAGTCCAATCACATGTCAATCGAGGCTTGTGTGTTGCGTTTGGTATTATATTTGCTTCCCGGTCATCTAAACCCTTAGTCAACTCAACCCAGTAAAAATCAACCCGAACTCTACTCAACCCATGTAAAGCTCAACCCTGTAATGCCTGGGTCACATTTGCTCAGATTCATTGGCCGGCGCCCGGCCGATTGTAGTATTTTGTTCAAAACTGATTTCAGCTTGCTTCAAATTGACCAAACTTTTTTTCAAATCATGTACAAGTTCCCACGAGTTCACAACTGACCTCAAATTTGAGATTTGACCTTCAATTTTGAACAAAATACTCAATCAGCTGGGCAACGGCCGATGAATCAGGACAAATGTAACCTAGGCTTAAAAGACAACCCTTAGATACGGTTTAGTACTGGCAAATTTGTATTAAACTTTAAATAAAAAAAGTTTTTATAATTTTGTGTCCATTTTGATTTCCATTCTAAGACTTGCCTTGTATAGTTAATAATTAGTGCAATCTGCAAAGCTCGAAATTGTTAACATGGTTCACTAGGATTGATCATGTTGGACTAATGGGATAACAGCAACTGAAAAACGCAGATGCGAGTAGGTAGTTTCACCACCAGGTGGCTCGTTCGGGTCAGATAGCATGGCGGGTACAGTAGAAAGTTCCCATTAACTTTAACATAATTAGTTTAAGTGGTTCAATTTTCATATAACCCCTATGTATCTAATAGATATGCATATCAAAATATGTCCAGTACAAGATATTTTACTTTGTGATTTTGTAACATGGGGTCGGTCTATGGGGAATCAACCTGAACCAGAAGTCAGGTTTTCAAAAAGTTGATAAACAATTTTCGAAACCATATTTCTAAATGCATTTTTACATACAGATTTCAAATATGAATATCTAATGACGTAAATCAAGATTATTTCTACTTGCATCTAGTCTTTTAGCAAGGAGTTATTATAGGGAATTAAGAGTGGTTTAACTTATTTCGCACGTCATTTTATTTTGATTTTAAATCTCGTTAAAAAGTATATGTTGTGTTGAATTCGTGATTTACGTATCTAAGGACATTTACCTTTGTATCAGTAGCTGGCACACTTGCAATCAATGCTATCATTTTGCAGCATACAGTTTAAAACATCTTCAATTGTTACTTGATAATGCAATTCATTTATTACTAGAATATAGGACTCTACATTTTTATATAAACGTTTTCAATTTAGTACAATGTTTCATGATGAAATCTACTATAGATCTATCTATCTATTATTTCATTTTACGAACTCAAATCATCCTTACCTTTTGAAAAAAATGATCTACTATATGACAAATGGCCACAAAAAATGTCAGCCCCATTGATTGACATTTAGACCCCCCCCATAACTATGCTTGTTTTGTATGGGGTCCGCCACAATTATAGTTGTATTACAATATCAAATAAAACTTGAACTAGTTTGTAGAAAACAAATTTGAACTATTTAATCTTTTGCTGGAAGCTACAAATAGGTGAAACTAAAAAATGACTAAAGTTGCATATTTTTTCCCATTAATTGCAATGTTTTTGAGACTAATACAGAAATCGGTCTATAACTTTAGGGTATTATTCAACTCTACACTAGCTGGAGAAAGCAGAACAATAGCAAATATTTCCTTTATGCTATGAAATAATCTTATAGTACCCCCAGAAATCATATAAATTGAAGTCCAATTTGGCCTTTAAAATTGTTTTTACCACTTTAAAGCCCATCACCTTATATTTTTTACACCAACTAGGTTACTCCAAAATAATTGCCAAAAGTTATTTCTTGTAACCTTAGGGAAAAAGTGTGCAAGCTACTGATACACGTAAGATCCATCGCTATTTTCTAAAATGTTCATGTGTCCTAATTTTATTTTTGCATAATATAATCCTTCGATCTTTTAAAGACCCCATATTATTCATTTATTTATCATTTATTATTTAGACGTACACTTTTATATCAGTGGCACACTAAAAATATTTAGGTGCGTCTACAGTTAAAATACATACACCACTTTGGCTTATATTGCATTCTTACCCAATGTTATCGAAGTGTGATATGTGAAACTTTTTTTTAGTTTCAAAAGTGGTTTTTGAATGACTTTTTGTTCAAAAAATTGTGAATTTATTTAAAAATAACTATAAGAGGTCACACGTATCTTTTAATAAACCACAATTCGTACCAATGCATAGCATTCATCCTCGCATGTTTTTGCCGAAATAATTAAGAAAATCGGTTCATAAATAAGCCAGAAATGAACTCATCAGTGCATGTAAATGGTTCAGAGAAAATGCAAAAACATAATATTTTCTTCCTTTTAACCTGGTTAGACAATCAACATTGGATTATTATTGAAGTTTAGCATATTAAGGAAAGATTGACTATTTTTCAACAGGTTTTTGCCACCTGAGTGAGGCATAATGCCATCACTAATGTTGCAAAATTGTTTTGATATGCTAAAACATTGAAGTAGCCAATTAAATATGGCATTTCATCATTGAAATGGTGTGCCCTTTGTTCAATCTTTACATTAGTGTAAAAAGATTTTTTTTAAATGTATGAAGAAATATTTGATAATTAAAAAATGTCAACTCTTTTTAAAAAATGGCGGGAAATTTGAGTATTTGAGAAATAAAATGCTCACAACTTTTTTTCAATTTTTTCCAAAAATCTCTAACATAGCTTTTGTCAAAGTCATGACAAATAGTAAATGTATGATAAAAAATATTTTCTTGGATATATTTTTGGGGTAAACTTTACATGGGGACTTTAAGATAACAAAGGCACTTGCATCTCAAATCTTAAATATTGAATAACAGCAGATTAACATTTGATCAGATTGCTCAATGTCTATTTTTAGAAATGAAATTAGAAATTTAAGGACATAGGCATGGTTTTGAAAAAATATTGCTTTCAACATTTTACACTGTCTATTTCAACCCTCTTTTCAATTATTTATGATAGTTTTTTCTAAACTATATTATCAGATAATACATGGTTTATGACAGGAATACAATTGCACGGGATGTTTTTCACTTTGTTGTTGAAACAAAGACCATTAACTGTACTCTTCAAAATTTGACGAAATAAAGAATAAATGTAAAGATCCAAGCAAACACGGGTCTGCATTCTTAAATTAGTGGAGTATGTTTTTATATTTTGATAACCTAGAAATCTGGATGTGTCAAGCTGAGTCATATTTTTTAAGATTCGATATGTTTAAAAGTACTATATCTTGGAATTAAGGCAGTTGATTACTGGCAATGGGTGGCTCCATGCGATAGCATAGGAGCAATGATTTGACGAGTGTCCAGCGGCAGGGTATATAGTATACACTCCCCTCCATAAGTTTGGCAACCTTTTTTCCCCCCTTGAACTACGTGTTAAAGCCTCTTTACATTTGAATTTTTATTTACTTAACCGGCGATGAAATAACTTATAATATTGATGAAAACGTAACTTGACCTTATATCCAATACGTCCAAATTTTCTCAATTTTTTCCTCAATTACAATAGGTCGGAAATTGATGATAAATTTGATGAATTTTTGAAAATCGTCATTCCCATGTAATCCAATTTGAAATGGAGGGTTCGGGGCAAATCAGAAACCAGGATATCTTTTCAGTAAAAGTTTCAGCAAAATATATTTTTATATAGAAAATTGAACTGTCTAACCATTTTGAACACTAATATAAGTGCTTAGTTTATTTGATGAATATTAAAGTTACTGCGCTTCAAAGCCATTTTTGAAAATAATTTTTCACCTCCTGTGTTATTTCAATGGGAGAGGTTTTTTGGAAAACAATTTTGACTTTAAAGCCCTATAACTTTGTTGAACCTGAAGAAACATATCAATTTTTTGTTAAATAAAGTTAGCAAATTTAATTGCCTGCCTAACTCGTATTTTTGCAAGGACTCGGATAGATGGATATTCTGTCATATGACTTGCGGCAAACCTACCATTTCCCATTGGTTAACATGGGAATGTCGATTTTCAAAAATTCATCAAATTTATCATCAATTTTCGATCTATTGTAATTGAGGAAAAAATTGAGAAAATTTGGAGGTATTGGAATTAAAGTCAAATTACGTTTCCATCAATAGTATAAGTATTTCATCACAGGTTAAGTAAATAAAAATTCAAAGGTAAAGAGGCTTTAACACGTAGTTCAATGGGGGAAAAAAGGTTGCCAAACTTATGGAGGGGAGTGTATACACTTCGTGGTATCACGCTTTTGAATGAGTTTTTTACTCTATATTGATATATAATTTTGATGGATTTAATGAATTATACTCAGTATTGGCATACAAAGGTTGAAAGATTAATTGTATTTTTTCGAATAGCAATAATCCAATGCTCTCCTATTCCCTGACAAGAATGATCAAAATTTGAGTAAAGGTCAGCGTAGCATCTGTTTTGTTTAATTCTGTAGCATATTAAGTCACCACTTTTGATTTGGGATTTGAACTTCAATAACCTTCTCAAGGTCAAAAATGTAAAAAGGGTAATTTTTCAACTTGTTTTACCGATCAATTTTTTAAATTCATCTGCAAGCTCTCAGAAGTTAATTATAATCTGACTTCAGATTTGAGATTTGACATTCAATGCCCTTCTCATGAACGTAAGAAAAGGTCAGAAAGATCTTCTTTAAAATCATCTACAAGTTCTCATCTCAGCTCAAATCTGACTTTAGCTTTCAGATTTGAGCAACTAGGTGGTGACATTTTGCCCTGTAAATGCCTTGTATAATTATGCCATGGTCATTTTAACATATAATGCATACATTTTATCGTAAAGTGATATGTTTTATACCTCATGGTAAACAACCACCTTAAGACGTAAATTGATCGGCTGAACTTCACTATTGTTTCAACAAAAAAATTGTTTTTCTCACTAAACTTTCAGACAAACAGATCTTACAAAAAATGTCAACATGCCTTAGTTAAGCATTAGTGTCCTGTTTAAGAACCCATATTCTTACTATTGAAAATTCTAGCAATAATATCCCATGTGAATGTACTTGTTGAGACTTGGTCAACTTGGGTTCTTCTGAGAAAATGAGGATTTTGTATCTATCCCCATGATGACATACAAGATGTTCACAAAGTAATGACACTAGGTCTCCCATTTCTACAGTTTTCAACCAATCTTTCTAGATTTTGCACATATTATCTGGCATGTAATAATGATTGTACATACCAAATTTCATGTCTCAAGAATAAAAATATTTCATTTTATCATATAAATTCTGATTTTGTAACATGGTTCTTGATACAGCACATATTATAACGTCACACTTAACATTAATTAGGAATCTTTAATCCTGAGCATAACTTCTGCAAAAGTGACAATATTTATGTTCAGCATAACTAGCACTCTAGGTCCATGCCTAGTGGATATAAAATTCACTGCAAAGTAATTTGTATCTGCTTCAATGGATTTTTATTGTTGTTTAGCCACCCATTCTTGGAAAACGTTTGTTTGGTCAATCTTATCTAATCTTATTTCAATCTGGCTACCCTTACAATTTTCTCACCAGAAGGAAAAGTCTTTAGGAGTCCAATAACATGAAAATGTAGTCCATTTGTTGAATAATGAGCGAGGTCTAAACCTTTAAATCCTTGACTACTCTGCATTCTGTCAATTCTCTATGGACTACTTTGCAGTATGACATGCCTATTACAGCCAGTTTCCTCCTGTTTTCACAAAACCAGTTTTCCAGTGATGTGATGTTTTTAACTTTCGCCGACTTTCCGAATCATAGACATCCCAAAGATCTTCTTTAGAACTAGAACTATTATGATTTCAAAATATGACTGAACCATATTACGAATGTAACCACTATACAGGACATATTCTAAATAACCAACTGGCATAAAAACGGAGAATGCATAGCTCAAAATCATGTAAAATTCCATCATATTATACATCGTTTCATCAAAATTGAGTAAATTTGACATCTGGGTCAAGGCACCTGTCACCAAGTTAGTATGGCAACTATTATTTCATTGTTTTTGGAGGTCATGAACTTTAAAACTTTTCAAATAAACTCATAATTACACGTTTAAGACATGCTGAAATTTTAAGGAAGCTTCCTTCAAATAGTGACAAAATGGAAGACCTAGTAAACATGATTGTATCCCTATGCTAAGTCATTAATCAATGGTGAATATTCCCATGTTAAGTCAATGCACCCTTGCTGATATCTTCATTTTCTCAGAAGAACTCATGCTGATCGAGTCTCAACAAGCAGATTCATAGTTCAAGTTATATCGAATATCAGTAGTGCCTGGCTGGCACAGTAGAGTGGAAAAACTTTAATTTTTGGAGACAAAAAACAGATGTTTTAATTCAGGAAGGCGAAAAATCTTATAATAAAATATGGTGAAATAGAATGTTAATATTAATGAGATTTCGCTCATAAGTATAAACCATCTTATTTTTATTCGTATAGCTATACGTTATAAGTATAAGTGAATTGAAATTGGCGTTTCGCAAAAATATGTACTTGTACGTATAGAAATGTATATTTCACCGATCAATTCTAATGCTCCTTTTACCAAAAATTGATTATTTTCTTCTCTCTAATAATACACCCCATGCAGACAGATCGCCTAAAATTATAATTCGATGCGAGACTCGACATTCACCAGAAAAGTAGAAACATTTTGTCACCCACGAAGCAAATTAATTTTTACTGCTTAAATATATATATGGTCAAGGACAATTACATTGAGGGTTAAAAGTATGAGAATAGCACATGACGTCTTGATATTTCAAGGTAACTCGTTCGAAAAGTGATGGCGGTGCTCGAAAATACGATGAAAAGATAAAACCGTAATGAAATATTTGTAGATTTCTTTGAAACATATCGAATTTTCGAATTCATAACAGAAAAAAACATGTATATAAACTAAGACCTGGAGGTCAGATTCATAGATTAATAGTTGAGTTTCAAATATTAATTGTATGACTTATACGACACCAATGTTAATGCTACCAGGGAAATCGGACCTACATGCCTTACTATTTATACATGTTTTTCTGCTTTGAAAAACTCAATATGCGATGTATATTTCTTAGTTTTCTAAAGAAATCTACAAATATTTCGTTGCGGTTTTATCTATACATCGTCATTTAAATCACCGTCATCATTTTTCGAACGAGTTACCTTGAAATAATACCTCTTATTAGAAAGATTGCGCAACTCACTTACAGCATAATTATTATTTTCGTATAACTTTTGATTAGAAATATATTATAAATCGTTGTCTATAAGTAAAAATATCACACTTGTGGACGTCTAGAACGCTGCGCAATAAATTATGACATAATCGTCATAATTTATTACGTTATACGGGAATAATAAACATGATAAGTGAGTTGCAATCTCTCCATTATGTAATGTACCTTGCGTATAACTCAGTCCATGGTGTTAGTGGATTGTCAATATCTCGTGTACTGTCCCAAATCATCTGTTCTTGTTCTTCAGTGATTCGGCCACGGTTCTGTACCAAGGTCACGACAATTGTCAAGATCGCACCGCCAGCTATTGCCACGATATTACCGACGAGCATTGAAGTTTCAGCGCCTAAAATATGGAAAGCATCACAATATAAGTGCAAAGAATTTTACATATGTGTAATGCTTAAAGGAATTTGCTAGACCATTTCTCTCCTGAAGTGATAGTTAGAAACGTATATATACTTCCAATACACATGGAGATAATTTGGTCAATATTGCTCATTTAAAAATTAAGTGCTCAATTCCAGAAGGAATCTATACTTTCATAAACAATGGGAAAGCACCACAAAATAACTTTTAGACAAATGATTAATAGACCAATTTGGAAAAGTGCATTCAGCTGGTTTTGTCCTTCTAAATACCTCCTAAACTTATGTTATATTCAGATTCAGGAGTCATGACATCACTACCTGTGCGAAATCCTAAAAGATAAAAGCAAAGTGAAAATGAAAATGAGCACTATTTTTGAATGATCGATATTGACAATATAAAATATCTTTCCATATTTTGCTAAATATGGAAAGTTCATATGTGCTTAAAGCTACCATATTAGGAGAGGAATGGTCTGACAAGGCTGAAAATCTTATCTGTAAGTGGAAACGAATAAAACTTCTGTTATTTCTTTTTCTAAAGTATTTCGCCATACTTATGTAAGCCCTGACGTATAATGACAAAAGGCAAATCTAGATATTAAAAACACATTTTCCAAAGTGGAAAAACTATGGTGTCGCTTTCGTTGCTTCAATTGTTACTAGAACTCCGTTAAAATAATGTATGAACATTGCCAGGAATAAGCATTTCTCAACGTATATGAACCTAATGCAACACATCAAGAGATAACAGGCTATGACCCTGGAACCAGTTCCAAGAAGAACTTTCTTATGATACCTGTGTTACTGATGAAGTCTGAGAGTCCCCCTGGTCGTATTGCTGCCATAGTCAGCCAGGATGTTAAGCCGAGTGTACAGCCACCTATTGCCCCTGCCATCATGGCTTCACCGGTGAGTCTTGACCAAAATATACACAGAGCTAATGGTACAACTGCAGAGCCAATCACGACTCCCATGAAAAGGTATACCCAACCAAGGCTCACCTACAAAACACGATACCATCGTGCTATTTAGTGAAATACATTTTGGACTTTGTAGGATGGCATTTGAAAGGTTTACAATATCATGTTCGGTAGTACGTGTTCTCTTCTATGTACCCTTATACATAATTCTTAAAACCGAATTTTATTTTGATTTCTCCAGTTTCAATGGCGCCATATTGGATTCTGGCCCCATGTACTGCCAAAGCATTCTATCGGGCAGGTGAAAAACTAGCACCTCGGGAATATCGAAACTATACTATTACTTTCCATTACAATTATTTCCATTTGTGTAAGTTACAACCCTTGTTCGTTTTAAACAATCTTACCTGTAATGCGTCCAGTACCAATGTTAGAGGTATGATGAAGAGCGTAGATAACAGCATGACCCAATCCTTCAGTCCGTTTGTGTTCTCATTGTATTGACGATACCTGCCATGTGTTGGGCATTTGAACTCGGGTGGTAGCGGTTTTGAAAACTCAGCTCTGTTTCTGCATATACAGGATAGGATAAAATCATAATCTAATGGGCGATAGGAATAATTTCAATAAAATGAGAGACAATTAAAGGTAAACTACATGTACACTACTGCCATCGTTACATCTTATTGAAAATTAAGTTTTTTAAGGTGGTGTCTGTCTCTAAGGAACATTTCCACAACTCCCTGTTTTCACTACATTACTTTATTTAAGGGATATGGGACTTCTGGTTGACAACGTTTTGAGGAGGGGTTGTATGGGCGAATATGTCATGGTTAACCCTTTGAGTGCCGGGGGTTTTTGGAATTGTTATGACGTCAAAATGCCACAGAATTACGACTAATATTGATGAAAAATGTCGATTTTTATGTTTTTGCCACTCCATGATATTTCTTCTACTGGTATCTATCTTGATGATATTGCAAGTGTTAAAATGCTTTATTTTCACTTTTCACTTAATCAATACATATTTCAGTTCTTAGAGGGGTTTTATAGCTAAAATTAACATTGGAAATATCGCACGATTGAAAGAAAAAAACTTTGAAAACTAAACGTAATTACTTTTTAATGGCAATTATTGTTTCTTGCGCAACACATTTGGCGTAGCTTATTAAATATTTTAAGACAATAATTCAAATTAAAATATGATACAAATATTTATCCTCTTTCTTTTATTATTCCTTCTTTCAAATTAAAGAAATTGAGCATATACGAACAATACACATGCTATGCACAAAAACAATGAATAAATATACAATATCAGGATAATTCAAATTCATACAAATTCAGGATAACTTTAATTGGCTGAACATTTGTGATGTGTATAATGAACCATGGTTTAATTATGAAAGCCTACTTGTACTTGTTTGTATAAATCGTAAACGTGAAGCTAGTACCATGCGAAACAAGTGACCAACAAAATAGTATGTATAAGCCACATCTTATACATTACGTTATATAAACGAATCATGTCAATATGCTAGTCTGTTAGTATTTTCAGCACACATGGTGTCTGCAACAGTCCAAGTGAAGACCCTTGGCACACTTGGCGAATGCATTACGGAATTTACGCCTCCTGCCTGCATCTTTATCACTCCAAATACAAACGCACCAGTCCTTTTCCCGCGTTCCAGGAAGATTCCGGACCCTCACGATCGGCTGGTCAATGATGGATATCTACAACTAGGGAGGCGATGAAGGCCATGTGAAAGTCTAACCTTGAAAGCAGAGCTGCATTGTTTTCATTAGAAATTTTATTAGCATTGAGCAACATTCTCTGTATGATGTACACTTTCACTTTCTTCATGCTGGATATCTAGGGAGGCGATGACGGCCAGGTGAAAGTCTAACCTTACAAGCGGGGCTGGTTTTTTCCTTATAACTTTAAAAATAATCAATACTGCACTAATCCATTTTTATTTTCTGTTGAAAGTATACTGTGTGATATCTCAAACGTACTCAGACAACCAATTTTACTTTGGATAAACAATATTCCAAATCAGCCTATAGCATTAAGTGATTTAAATGACTGATATCTCAAACGTACTCAGTCAACCAATTATACTTTTGATAAATTATTTAAATGACTGATTTGTTAATTACGAAAATAGATCGAACATAGTCTGATTCCATCCATCACCTGGTATGAATGAAAAAGTCATTTTATATCGTCCATGCTTCAACGTAGTGTAATACTTAAAATGATCAACACTGCTTTGCGCTAAACGCCGATCTCAAACGTACTCAGACAACCAATTTTACTTTGGGTAAACAATATTCAAAATTAGCCCATAGCATTAAATGATTTATATGACTGATTGTTTTAATTATGACAATAGGCCGAACATAATCTGATTCCATCGTTTATCAAGAAGATGTATCAATTATTAGTCAGTTAGTATGGCCAAAAGCATTGTCAACTATATTTCGAGATAATGTTTGCGATATGAAATCTGTGAAAGATTCAGTTAAAACAAAAGATTTTTCCTTGGGGGAGATAAGGGTAGTTACGGAAAATAGTAGAATGTTTGTCATTATCCACAAAAAAACTTTAATAGTATCGTCCTAAAAATGTTTTCTGCAATGAGGTACATGAAGGCATGCAGTTGATTATGCAAGTATTATAGAACCAAATACATGAAATAAAGTTTTCTTTGCGTGCAACTGCAACAGAGGTTTCAAGAATTTCTTGATAATATGAGTTTATTTCTCCATGTATTTGAATGAAGTTTGTTTGATGTACAAATCTTTCCTCGCCCAATGTTGAAGTACATTTGTACATTTTCAGATGGAAAAAGAATATCCCCGCTATTCTATAATACGAATTAAGGTGTAATAAATAGAAATGAACAAATATTTCAGCATTTTTCAATCTACGTGGATTCTGTAAAAGAACACGTAAGGTACGGTTTCAAAGTATACTGAAAAGGATATCTGCTTATACATTGATACATGCGCGGCCTTGACAGAACAAACCTACTAACCCATATACGTGGGCTACTAACCTAGATACGTCTAGCTAATTTGCATAAAGTTGTAGCAGTCTGAATCCACTTTTTTGCTCGAAACTCGCTGTATAAAAAATGGAATTTATTAGTCTTTAACTCTGCCGTTGATTGACAGACTTCGAAAAAATAATACCATGGCTTTGCTCAGAAGTATAGCTTTCCGATGGTTCCACTTTTGTAATGACCAAATTGCGAGAAAATGGAGGAAATGGAGAGTAAAGGTGATTTCTCGAATGCCAAGTTTCACTTAAGAAATGCTGCGTTCTGATTGGCCGACTTTCTTGCAGTCCCAATCCACTTTAGCTCTCCAAACTCACGTTTTACAGAAATGACACTTATCGGTCTTTTCTCCGCCATTTTTCGATCGATTTCTAAAAGCATAATGTCATAGTGAAGCTTACATTGCCAGTTTCCAGATGGTATCACTTTTGAAGCGATCCACGTGCGAAAAGAAGGTAAAATTTGAGTGGGAAAAAGTTTCTCGATAATCGAAGATTCACTTTAGAAATACTGAGGAATCTGGCATTCTGATTGGTCTGTTTTCCTGCATTCTCAAGCCACTTTTCCGACTCCAAACTGAGTTGTTAGAAATGGCACTTACATCTCTCGATTTTGTTTCACAAAATGACTAATATCTGAAACTGATATACCTGACACGTCAGTGTAAAGGATGAATCAAATCCGAAATTATTCAAGAAGACGAGGTTATATATAAAAACGATGAAATAAAACTAAAAACCTCTCTGGTTTTATGTAATTCTCGTCTCTGGAATGTCTGAAGAATACCTAAACCCCAAAGACTTTTGCCAAAAATAAATGAAACTAAAAATATTATTAGTAACTAGAACCCACGGGAGTAATTGTATAGGTTCTAAATAGCTGACTAACGCTGATATAATAGTTATCACTTTTGTTTGTTTTTGACTTTACTTGGGCCAGACCTCCATTCACTTCAATGCTAGAAACGTGCAATAGTCACTTAATTTCATGATTTATCAAAAAGTGTTGGTTGAATCTGTCTGAAACTCGAATGACATACTATTGGATGACCCTGTCAATGTACATATTGTGATTAAACATGAAATGTTGGTTGTCATACAAATTAGCCAAGGTTTGAATGAATTTTAGCATTGCTCCAATGGGGATTTGGCCCAAGTTTTTTCAAATGTCATGGACAATGATTTAAATGACACAACTGTGTAAATCAAAGCTATATTGGAGAAAAGTCACTGAATTCAAATATGCTATCAAAAATAGAGATAATAGAGATAAAAAAGTGCAAATCTCTTAAAATCTCGACATGAAAAAACGAGAGTTAGCGAGATTTCAAAGCTAGATTTTCTATTGCACACGGTAGAATTTAAATGCACGCGAGTAAATTGTTATTTTATATATGTTCTTCTAATATGAATAAAAAAAATTGATGCCATCTCTATATTTATCATTGCCGAAATTATGTACAAGGGAGGTACTGTATATTGTTGCAATTCACAATTTCAGGGAAAATAGGCTGTAATCGGCCCTTGTGCCCTGGAGTAGAAATAAGCATATCTAGGACAAAATATTTCGTATCATTAAATTTAAACCCCTTATTTATGTAAAATTCTTTAAAATTGTACTTACTGCAATATGATACTGCGAGCCCATCGTCTTCACTGGTAGGGTAAAACAGGTTAATTGTATTAAATAAACACAAAACTAAATAGTGGATTCTTTATATTTATGATCATTCAAACACTTTTTATTACTAGTGCATTTAATCATCTCAGCGTTTGCATATTCTTTGACAATATTGTCTGTAAATCCAGATCCCCTAAACGTATACGTATATTGCTTGCTATACTCACGAATGAACAAATTATTTACCCAAAGAAATATACATAATGTATCGCCTTTTTTAATGTTCACGGACGTTAAAAAATCAGATAAACTAAGGAAATGGTTAACTCATTTTATGTTTGATTTGTTTGATAAGGCATAATGTAGGCCTACTTGGCTACCGCAGCGTCCATCGTACAAACGCGAAAACGGACGCTCTTAATCAATGATCAGTTCACATTTCCACATCCAAAAGTATTTCATTTTTATTTTCAGTTTATACATAATATGTAATGTCATTTCTGTATATTCACATGGATTATAATGATGATAAATACATGTTTTACACTCTTACAGTTAATTTCATGTTTCAAAAATGTTAATAGTACGCAACAATTTCAAGACAACAGTAAGCGTTCTAAAATGCTGAAAATCATATGCGTTCAAAGTATAATAAATAATACACTCATTTACAAATAAGTGACTTTGGTATATTTGCAACGAGTTACTTACAAATCAACGTTTATAGGGACAACATTTTGGGCCAATATTAACGAAATCCTTGAATGCCAAGCTTGTTAATAAGCATTAATTTTTCGATATTGTAAGATGCCCAGCGTTCGTAAAATATAACTACATTGTATACTGTATATGAGGCATAGATCAGGTCGAATTATTTATAATGAAAAAAACAAACATTACGTTTCATTCATATTCATGCATATCTTATTTCCAATACACGAATTTCAAGTATTTACTTCATTTGCACACTAAATTACGTTAACAGATACAATCTAACAACATCAGCGTTTGCAAAAATACGAAAATCACGTGCGTTCATAGCATAATAAAAAGTTACCTCAGTTAGTTTGCAATACAATTTCTTTAATTACTTGACCAGTAACGTATTATTCACCATTCATAGGGACATTCAATCTACTATATTCGGGCCGATATGCAATTAAACCTTGTCAACTTTGTTGAAACGCGTTTACTATACGATGTTGTAAGATACCCAGCGTCTGTTAAATCAACTTAAATCAAACTGAGACCGGGTCGATTTATTAAGACCGACCTAAACAAACATAAATAAATAAGAATAGATTATTCATTCTCAGTTGATGACATATTTCCCTGTGTATATAAACGCGTTATTTTGGGCCGACTTTGGGCCGATCTTGGCACTTTAGCGACATACATTTTCCCATCGGCCGAATCGGCCCAATGGCACTCAAAGGGTTAAGAGTGAATTCCCCCCACCCACCCTCTATTACATATTCATTATAGAAAGTAATTGTGTTAGTGGCAGGTATACAAGGCCTGCGAGAATGAGGGGCTACGTTTTAGTATATACATGTAGCTACTAACTTGTCGTCCTGTACGCAGCCACCACAGAACGTCATACTCTCACAAGAACATTTATCCTCCACATTCCCCAGTCTGCCCCTGGCTTTGCCACATAGTATGCACTTGTTCGGGTCATTTACAGCCCTGAATGGCTGAAAGTGAAAAGCATAAATACGTTTTAGCTGATAACTCAAATGCCCTTAAAGATCAAAGACGCAGTCGATGCCGCCGCACCTTTGGTTTCACTCGGAACATTATGACATATCTTTTTATATCAGCTTACTAGCTAGATGAGAAGAGTAACAAATATCATTTGGTTTTATATTAATGTGTAATAGAAGATAATACATTGTCAATGTTATAAGAGATACACTTGCGATATAATCTCCACGGTTTTGTACTCATGATTAAAAATATGAGCCGAGATGAAACGATCTCAAAATACTAATGAGTTTACATCTAAATGATATAATAGCATATCATGGCTTTGTAAAAATGAGATACCTTCGTTTATTATGACGCTGAATACTGAACAAAGAGTCTAGTTACACCATCTGCGATATATTTTGATAGGAAGATCCAGATACTTACCTTAAATGAGAGCTCGAGGCATTCAAAGTTATCGCGAATAGGAGAATTGCCTTTTCTAGAACTTACATTTATATGTATTTGGTAGACATCATACACAAATATAGATGTCACTGCGATGACTTCCGCTGATCCCGTTGATATGACTGCCATGAAAAGTATGACAAGCATAAGAACACTTCCAGTCTCACCAAGCAATCTTTGAGCAACAATTGGTGCCACTAAGCCTGAACAAAAAAAATAAAGCAATTATTAAGCAAATAATGATTAAACAAAGTGTAAGGAAAGGAAATTAATTTACTTTGATCTCTTTTCTTTAGTTCAAGCTAACTTGATTACAACGGTATTATTAACTACCATGAATTCAAAAACAAGGGCGATGACTTCTGTTACATCAGGTTCACCATCCTCCTAAGCAGGTATCCAGAATCCGTACCTCCTTCTTCCCCCTGCTATAACCAATTTGGAAGCGCCCGATTAAACTGAATCACGTGATCTAATTATGCGCAATGACTTATACAAGATTTCTATCGCAGTATTGCGACAGCCAATCAGATTGCGAGTTCTTAATCGGGGATATGCTAACTGCTTATCGCAGGGGGTAAAAAGAAAGAATACATTCTGGATTTTGAAGCCCTGTGATCGGAGGATGCAGGTTCACCGCATCATGATAAACAGTAACATCATTTCTTTTCAGCCTTGAGATGCTATGGTATATTGGGTTTAATTCTGTGATTCAAGAAAGCCAAGATTTGAGGATTTTTGAGATATTTTCTCTCAGCTTATATTTGATCTAATTAGGGTCATAAAACGTGTATTATATCAACTGCACCTGTGTTGGTAATGGCTATAGAATACAATGCCTATGTAAGGAATGGACATTAGGGCAATAATTGCATGATAACTAACACAGTCATAGAGGAATGATCTCAGATCACAGAATATGGCTCATTATACCTGATCATGTTTCTAGCGAAACAAAAAGATGCTATGAGTATCAGAATTGGTTCACTGACAGTGTTTGAATATAGCTTCGTCTTTAACAAGATATCAGCAGCTTATTTGAGAAGGTAGAATATGTATACAGTAAAACCTGCGAACAAGGAACGCTCTTCGGACTGGACAAAACTGTTCCTTATTGAAAAGTGTTCCGGAGAGGGTCAGTATCCGTTTGGATCGTTAACAAATTAAAGAGATTTGACTCTCCAAGAAACAATTGTGTCAATCCCTAGATTATGTCAGTTGCAGTCAAGCTTTGTTGAAAGAAAGCATAAGTGTCATGGAAATTAATAACAAACAGATCAGAATCAGATATTGGCTTAAGCAATTTACACCCCTAAAAACAATATGATATACAGTGAAACCAATTTTTCATGTTCCATGTAAATAGGTGAATTTTGAAATTTGCCCTAAAACACTATTCATGCAGAAATGTGTTCCATCGGGCAAGTTCTTACTGTATATCACTCTAGCATATGTTCCACTAACATAAATGCGGAAACAGAGTGTATGTAAACCATCAGAAACCCATTTGCCATGATCAGGCTTAGCTGCTGCCGCTACCCTCGGACCAAATTTGGGGAACCCCTAGTGATCAGATAAAATGAATTCCATACCTGCATCTACGTCCCCGGGGCTTAGCATGGCACGTCCCTCTTCGGCGCTGATTGCAAGGTAGGCGAGCCCCATTGAAGTAGAGAAAGTAAATGGGACGGCAAACCAAGTCATACCTCCGCTCAGGAACCCCCATACTCCTTGCTTTGGTTTGGCTGCCACACTACTTTGCCAATAGCTTTGGTCCACAAACACAGTTCCAAAGTTTCCTAATAACATTTAATTATACATTACTATACAGGGTTATGCGGGATGTGGGACTAATGCTGCGTTTTTGAACTGCCCGCGGTGCAAGTCAATTGCAGAATATTAAATAAGTTATCCCCCTATGTATCACGAAAAACAACAATAATCCCCTGCGGTGCAAATTACATGGTCACACGTTTTCAACAAAAACAGCTTATCCAAGCGCACTTACACCGCTAATTACGATGTGTCAATCTTGTCGGCTAACCGCGTGTGTCAACCGCGTCGCCTAGTAGCTAGTGCACCACAGGAGTTCGATTCCAATAAACCGTGATGTTTTTCAAAGGAATTATGTGAGTGTAAATGCGCTTGTATGAGCTATTTTGTTGGAAACAAATGAGCATGTAGTTTGCACCGCGGGGCTTATTGTTCTTTTTAGTGATACTTGGGGCGAAAACTCACTAAAATATTATGCAGTTCACTAGCACTGCGCGTATACAAAAGTACAGTCTAAGCTTGTATTCACGGATGAAACTAACGGGTGTCGGCTACCGGATTAACCCACTATTTCATGGCCAACTCATTTAAATACGAATGGAATAGTGGCAGGTACTATTCATATTTAAATGAGTTACCAATAAAATAGTAGGTTAATCCGGTAGAGCTTAGTTTTGATAGCAGTTTCTTATTTGAAATTAATCGGTTGTTATACGGTGCCTTCAAGGGTCTTCCAAAAAAAATCTTTAATTTTCAGAGATTGGGATTCCTGTTTACTCCTGTTAAACTTTTTCTCTATGTCGAAGCATCTATTTTGAGAATCTACGGCCGGCGTACGCCCGCCGTAGAACAAATGTGACTTAAGTTGCAGAAAAACATTTTATGCATTTTAAAAATGGCTTATTTTTTCTTATTTTAATGTACCTGCAACTGTGTACTAATAATAATTAGTAATAATGTTGCCACTACAACCAAAAGAATGTTTTAGCCTTTGTGGCTTGTTTTATTAGTGAGCATTGCATATCTACGTATGTACATGAATGAACACATACCGACAATGTTAATGCAACCAAACATTAGGCCTGATGGGGAGATCATCGTCAGGTAACTTTTATCCAAGTTGTCTTCGGGTCCAGTTGAACAAAAAACATAGTTGTAAACCATTTCGATTGAACCTGTATGCCAAATAAATAAAACGTCATGTTATAGTCAGAATTACGCCATATTCTCATTAGGGAATCGAAACTGTTACCGAATCTCCACTCAGCATTGTCTTACCAATGATGCTGTTGGCCAGGAAATTGCAGGTTTCTCCATATAAGGGTGTTCCTAATGGATATGTTCCGACTTGAATAACTATAGGCTATGATAAGGTGTAATGTATGACATTTTTATTAGGAGTCAACAAATACTCATCTTACGTATGAGGCAACGAAGACAGAGATCTTCTTGAGGTCGAACCATTAAAAGGGACAATTGAATATAGGTACTTGTTGAGCTTACATGAAAGATAAAATACAGCTAGAGATGTAAGAATTACTTTTGTTTGATGTTGAGAAGTACTTTTTAAAAGAGATAATACCAGACATCAAACTCCAGAAATGATAATAGTTTGTCCTTCGAATGGCTCGCAAAAATTGACATTTTTGAACATTTGATGAATATAGGTATATGAAAGTGTTTGAGCATCCATGTTAAAAATAATCATTCATTTGCATAATATGATGATCCATAGGTTGTCTTCTTTAAGAATATTGATGTCAACATTGCAATATTTATGTCCATTACTGTTGTATCCGTTTTTGAGTGCACCCTTTAAAGGACGCACCACTACAAGGACTTTTTTATTCTTCAAAGCATTTGATATTTTCACAAATAAGTAAGGTGTGTTTTATAGCTGTGATGTTTGAATGTTAGCAAGTGGGTGCTAGTTACCAAGGGGACAAAAATTGCGAGTCGTTTTTCCATTTTCCCACATCGTTTTCCAACAACTTGTTCCATTGTTTTGTTGAATTTTGTGTTTTTTGTTTCAATATTAGGAAATACTTGAAATATATCTATACATTCAAGAACATGTCACAACTTACCGAGCTGGTTAGACCTGTCCGCCTCATCATTGTAAATTTTAATGATGAAAATGGTCATAATGCCGAATATGAACGCAGTGTTGAAATAGGAGACATAAAACGTGGCGCCTAGGCCCCCTATAAAGGTATAGGAACATATTACAGCTACTGTAAGCATCGTTGCATAGGGGACGCTCAAGTCTTTCACTAGGTTTGTCATCACTGCGGCGCCACCTATAAAAATGAATTACACACTCGTAAAACATACCGATGATCAAAGGAAAAAACGAAAATGTCCGTTTTTGTGTTCCAAATGTTAAAATTGCGAGCTATCGTTAATATCTTAATTGTTTTTACTACCATTCATTTTTAAGTGTACGTCAACAATATGCATCGAGACAATTGTTTCGTCAATACTGAAATACGATTATCTTGAATTCGTGTACACAGACTGGTATAAATGCTTCTCTGCTGGCATATTATTTTTTGTACATTTGTCATGCCCGATGATTTGACAACCAATGTCCTCTTATACATTTCTACAATTTATGCCTTCACACATCGCTCTGGAACGAGAGTGCTATTACGTGTTTGATTACATCAGAACTCCCATTTTAAAGAGACGTATTAGGAATCACATTGCAGCCATCCAGCGTCAACCATGTTTACAAAAGTATTAAACGATTGATTGATCTATATGATCCTGTAAATGTCAGTGGAATCCTGTCTCCATGTAGAGTTTTCAAGTGCTTGTAAAAAGTGCTTGAGTGGATCTCAACAAGTTATTTAAAGCAAATTGAGTCCAGGCCAAAAAAAATGACACTAAAAAAACAGAAACACAGAACATAACAAAACAAAACATTATAGAATATTATATAAGCCGATTAGTAATCAACATCACGAATGCGGAACTTTAAGTATATATTCACTTATCAGAGTCAACCATTTACAGGTAATCGAGTAATGTAAGTAATAGAGGCAACAAATAAAATCCAGGTCAAAATCCAAAGATTGATCAACTATAAACGCTACATCTGGGTCCACACAACACAAAAGGTATCAGGTTGAAATAGTGCTATTGTAATTATCCTGACTGTCAACTTAGGAGAGAAGTGTTCACGACAACATATTTTTGATTTAAAAGTTTTTGTTGTAATGACTTAAACAATTATTTAGTCCAGGCATATCTTTTTTGCACTCTTTGAAAAATAAGTCAGTCGCGTGGGATATACGAGGGTATATCATAAAGTTCTCATAATATCTCTCTAATTTTTTTATTTTTCAATATATTCTGATGAATTCTTCACAGAATGTGTAGTTTAGAATGCTGAATTAATCTATCAAAATATATTTGGCATAGCAGAAATATTATTTAAGAAATGGTTGCCATAGTAACCGGAAATCAAGGCAACCGGGGCAAATAAAAAATCGTGCAAGAATAGCCCCAACTAACCATGTTTAAATGCATAATAAGTTATCAAATAAGCTATGAAACACATCAAATTGTTAAATACCATGTATTCTTGACTGTTTTGAACAATTATAATGGTCATGTGAATTGTGTGATCTCATATTGGATGATTCTAATGCTTCATTAGAAGTGATGATAGACACTACAACTGTTTTGTCAAATATTCCAAGGAAAGTCGACTTTCCACTTAAGTTCATACAAGTTAAATAAATAATAGACCACACATAGGGTGTAATTTTGTTGATATCTTTGCAACATATTTGTTTTAGACCATCTTTAGTATGAGCAAAGGAATTTTCGAACTAAACTAAACTTTTTATCAGTATGAATATTATTTTTCTGATGATCCCTGCATCTATGCACTATCTTACTCATTCATTTCTGATCATTAAGCTTTGATTCTCAGAGTCTGGTATCACATCTAATGAAGCATGTAAGCATACCTTATGACATCACACAATTCACATGATCAATTTATTTTATAGTAAAAGCATTTAACAACATATTCAAGAAAACATTTTAATGTGTTTGATAATTTATGAGAGTTTATTATGTATGTAAACAAGGTTAAATTAAGCTCATTCTCTCAATTATTATTTTTTGCCCCGAGTGCCTTGATTTCCGGTTACTATGGCAACCATTACTTATCTAATATTTCTGTTATATCAAATATATTTTGATAGATTAATAGAGTATTCTATACTGCAGATTCTATGAAAATTTCATTAGAAAAAATATTGAAAAATGAAAAAATTTGAGAGATATTATGAGAACTTTATGATATACCCTCGTATATATGTAAAGGGTATATTACATAAATGTCTGAACATAACGATTGAAAAATAGGTATGAAAATCCACATGGTAAACCAATGAGGGAAAAACAAGGAAGTAAGAATTTGTTCCCCCGCGAATTGCATCATGGGTAATATTTTGTCCATATAAGGAAACAGTTCCGTGTCTCCTCGTTTGAAGAGCGAACCGCGAAAGGGAGAATTTAGATGCGTGCGATTCAGGCAAGTGAAATTGACACATAATAGAGTGATTACAACATATTGAATTTTCGATATTTGTCCTTTACATTTTAATTAACTCCTGTATGATTAGTTATAGATGTATCATCGTCATGCTACGTACATGCACTGTACACCCTTTTCGTCTCAGTCCAACTAGACATCTGCGCCGATGTCAGAAAGCCAAATGCGAATGGTTTTATTTTTGTTTTGATTTAATATAGAACAAAAACAGGCATACACGCCAACAAGATGTAAGGTAACAGAACCACAACCAAAAACACAATATCACCCCAATATAAATGCGAATGTAAAATATTATGGTATTAATAACTAGCTTCAGTAAAAACTTGCAGTAATGTGTGCGCTTTGCGTTTAATTTGCATGCGATACAGTGATCATATCACCAAAGTGGTTAACAGAACTCCTAAAACCATTGCCACACAACACTTTATGCTGTGTTTTTGTATGCCCTTGGTGGTAACAATGAGGTTTCTCCCTAGGTATCACTTAATAGAACAATAAGCCCTGCAGTTCAAATTAAATGCTCATGTATTTTCAACAAAAATAGCTTATCCAAGCGCACCACTCACACAATTCTTTTGAAAGCGACCATTGTTTATTGCAGTGGAACTTCTGCGATGCACTAGCAACGAGCAGACACGATTGACACCGTCGTAATTAGCGGTTTAAGTGCGCTTGGCTGAACTGCTTTTGTTGAAAACGCGTGAGCATGTAATTTGCAACGTATGGCCTCATTGTTCATTTTCATGATACCTAGGGGAAATTTATTCAATATTATGCAATATATTTGCGCGACGGGCAGTTCAAGAACGCAGTGCTTCTCGAGCTCTGTGCACCAATACCCCAAGGTCATGGCTGCTATCTCATCTTATAGTTATTTTGTTCGGATACCTTGCACGCACGTCTAGTTAATTATAAACTACAGAAGGCGAAGCTCTCTTTGAAGAAGCAAAATCGAACGAATGCAAACGGTATTGCTCAGGGTTACCATTGTTTTTATAGTTGCTTACTTTAAATGTATATATGTAGAGATGAAAGTAGTCCCATTAACTATTTGGATATTATTTGTAAACATTTTGGCACTCATTTTGTTCGATTTACGGCCAACAATAGATTTTGACATGCAGTGTTACATTCGTGACAGAACTTAAGTATTATTAATTAATCCATAATTGTTATGTCCTATACACGTACATAGTTGATTAGGTAGCGTCGTTTATATCTACGATTACAAATCAGATACTCGATCATCCATTATATAACTAAGTACCTCTGCGAACGTTGTACATTAGTCTTGCAATATCTGTAATGGGAATTACCCAGGTTAAATCACGCTATCGATGATGCCAAGCTCTATCCCGATATTAATTAGTACTCAATACTTGGTTTTTCATTATCCATATAAATTGTTTAGATTACTTACCTAACATTAACATGGCAGTTACTATCATATTTGTCAGGAGTGCGAACACACAAAAGGTGAGATGCGTTTTCTTATCGAACCTGGCCTTAATTAGCTGCAGGAATGTTTTTGCGCCAGGTGCCCGAATCTTCAACTTTAGCGATATTATTGCAAATAGCAAAATCTGGATTGTTGCTCCCGAAGCGTACCAGAAAGAGCCAGAGATTCCATACTTTGTCATGAAATAGAAAGTATATAACATTGATAGATAAAGCTTGACGACTTATATTCAGGCAAAGCACGGCCTCCAACGATATTCAGCTGAAATAGTCATCTCCATAAATCTGCTAAATTTTGTTTGTCAAGCTTGTGTATTGGAATTTTCATAAATCACTGTAATTACTAAAATAGTTTGGTACAACGCCAATATGTAAATAATATGGGTGTCCGAGGGGGGTTGCGTTTGGTATGACCACTTCTCCCTTTTGAGCCAATCGCCGAGGATTTCGTTCATGGTACTGAGAAGACTGGGGAGGAACTGGTGAAACATGTGGAGAATCTAGGCTTCGAGTGCAAGCTTTTATAATGGGGATTGTTTTTGTCTTTTAAGCTGTAGACGGACGCCCTTGAAAAAATTCTGGGACCACTGAATTCAAATACAAAATGCATTCAATAAAAACTCAGACTTATTCAAAGTTGATTTTTCCGAAATGTGCAAAGTGAAAATTTGACCTACAGGGTGGGCCAATAAAAACTAGAACATTTTTCAATCCATTCTATTCTTTTTATTTTTTCAGTTCAATCCACAAAAGTTCAGATACCGGTAAAATGATTATTTGTGAAAATGTTAAAGATTAAAGTAAGTATGAATGATTAATTTTGGCTTGTCATAGTCATGATCTGTATACTGCGTGCATCATGAAAAATTTCCAAATTTTCTCTGCTTGAGACATCACTGCTGAAAATACAACTATCTTTCATACCATACAATATGTACCCTTCAAATGGTCTTAACACAATTTTCATCAATTAAAACTATATGTACAGTAGTTATCTCTAGCAGAAGCAAGGCATGTCTACCTTGAATAATATAGCTTAACTGACCTCAAATCTTTTTCAAAACTGGCACAATAAGTGACAATATGTCTCAAGACCTGTCATTTAAGCCATGAATGACTGTCAAATACAGCTCAGACTGATTGTTCAGGTAGGTGGCAGACAAGTTCAGGAAACCCTTGTATTGAGTCAAAAAATTGGAACTTTTTTCCATCGATTGTAACTTTTTTGTTAGTCATGTATTATATTCAATACTTTAGAAAATTGAAAAACAATTCATTGTCATTCTGTAAATATAAATATACAAGCTCAACATTTAATTACTGAACATTTGGAGGGCATACATTGTATGGTATGAGATACTGTATTTTCAGCAATGATGTCTCAAGCAGAGAAAATTCGGAAATTTTTCATGACGCACACAGTATATAGATCATGACCGTGACAAGCCAAAATTAATCATACATTATACATATTTTTATCTTTAACATTTTCACAAATAATCATTTTACCAGTATTTGAATTTTTGTGGATACAACTGCAAAAATAAAGAGAATAGAATTAATAAAAAAAATGTTCCAGTTTTTATTGGCCCACTCTGTAGTCAACTTTCTGATTGCCATAAGGAATTTTTTCTCACCTTGCTGGCAACAGTGCAAGACTGCAATAGTGTCGCCGCCCAAGTCCATTGTGATACGATAGTGGCAGCCGTGAGCCCAGACGACACTGTGCCGCCAGCATCAAAACAAGTGTCCAAGCTGTCCTAAAGCAAAAAAGTTATTATGGAATCATATGGATCATATCGTTCTTTCTTCTCTAACAAACTATATCTGCATTGTATATCTCTAAAAATGATATAAGAAAAATTGATGTAAAAAGGATTGATTTTTTCACTATATGGCCAGAGACTTCAAATTCGAGATACTGTAAAAGCCCAAATTTTTGCTGAGAAAAAATTCACTATTTTGTCAGTCAGAAATGTTTCATGGGCATTAACAATGTTAAATCAAATTTTCACTATGCAAATATAGCAAAAATTAGGGCACCTTAAAAATTTGTGTTTTTATGTATCTGGTGTATTCATGGCACTGTCCTTTACATTATAATACGCTTTGTTGATAAAACGACCTTACTTTATCATTGTAGATGACCCTCCGTATGTAGTTAAACGCCGTAGCAAGAAGAGCTGCAAACACGCCAAAGCCGATGTACATACCCAATGCCTGGGATAGAGATACATTCGGTGTGATACCAGGCGGCTCTGACTGGTTTTGACTAAAAACAAAGATCGTCATTTTATTTCATATCATATCATATTTTCCTTCAAATGATATGTTTCAAAATGGGCATATCATTGTAATTCAGACTACATAACCGGTATGCGATTTATTAATTAAGTGCGTTTTGATATTTTAACAACCATACCACTACATGTACATGTGATTTATTCTGTACATGTTGAACATGAGGCGTCTAAAAAGGTCGACTCTTGACTGCTGTAAGCTATTTTTCAATTCAAGCTTGAATTTGAGAGCTATATTATACATACTTCATATCAACTAATTAGACTATCCATTACCTACTTTAAAGTTTCCATAGCTAAAAATCTACATATTAATTTGAACATCCAACACCTACCTTAACGTTTTCATATCTAAAGGTGTCATACTTATATATCTAATAAGAACATCCATCACCTACCTTAAAGCTTTCATAGCTAAAGGTATGTACACTATATATCTAATTAGAACATCCAACACCTACCTTAACGCTTTCATAGATAGAGGTATGTACACTATATATCTAATTAGAACATCCAACACCTACCTTAACGCTTTCATAGATAGAGGTATGTACACTATATATCTAATTAGAACATCAAATGCATACCTTAATAATTTGAAAGCTATATACAATATAGAGGTGTTTTACAATGATAATAGTCACGCCTCATTTACATTTACCAGATCGACTTTTTATACTTCCAGAATCATGTTATGTATGATGTATACATTATTGTTACTTCTAGTTCTGATAGAAATAAAAGCATTTGGGAGTGTATAAAAGACTAATAAGGAAGATAAGATGGACAGTTTCAACATCAAGAAAAACGGAGCCGGCAGGCAAAAGTCTTGATGAAAATGATGTTATCTTATTGACTTGCAATTGATATTTAGTTTAACACCCTACCCCATTTGTTTTTCTGAAAGTTTAATTTGGCTATATTGGACTTCAATTCAAAATTGTTGCTTCGAATAACAGACTGAGATCTGTAATTTTTCAAATAGACCCCTATTGTCTGTTTACTTTTATCACTCAAAAAACCTAGAGATTTATTACGCCCACTTTAGTTGGAACATATATAAAATTGATTCCTACATATCAAGCCAAAATTATATTGAAATCGATGCATTTTCAGCATAGAAAATACGGGCGTGTTTTGCCCACCCTGTTAGTGTGATGGTTGTCCTATTTTCATAACACTAAGTCGCAGTGAGGGGGGGGGCATTAGGACATCCCTCCCCCCCCCCCCCTCTGCGATTTGTTTTGTTATTTTATTCATTAACTCTTCACCAATGTATTGTATGCTTTGAAAAAGTAGGTCAACGAAGGTCAAATCGAGGTCAACGTGACCCAGGGGATGTCTATTTTTGACATTTTGAGATAGATGTACATTGGGATTAATGTTCGTTCATTCTCCCAAGTTTCATTTCAAATGATCAAGATTTTATGGCTATTTTACAAAAACGTGCTAAAATCTCTGGAGGCAAACTTGAACGCATCGGTTGAAGTTTTTGACTACACCCTCACAGATCTCATTTTCCTTCTAATCTCTTGTTTCAACTGCCTGATGATTCTAAGGTTATTCGTCAAGACATTTTCCTTGAAATAGTCCCTTAAGGCGGGGTTAATATTGGGTGAGTTTGGAATGTTTCGTTATTTGGAGGCACATTTTGTAAAATAGCCATGAAACCTTGACCATTGGGCAATACCACATAGACAAATGAAAATTCGTAGAATGAACAAGGTTAAATTGTGCCTTTGATTATAAATCCAATGGTGGATGACTGAGTTATAAACATTTGTTTGGGTTACATTTGTTGCCTCACCCTGTACTATATAACCAGAGACCTTTAATCATAGTATATGTCTCTGGTATAACTGATTAGAAGTTACCTTCACCGCCTACCTTAACGCTTTGATAGCAAGAGGAGTGCACACTGTATAATTCCGTATGGTCAGGGCTTTTGTCACGCCCAAACATAACAGCCCCAATGTGACAACAGCAAGGTTTCTATGCGTCATATCTGGAAGCATAAGTTCATGTTCATTAATGTTATAGACTACAGATCGTTTGAATTGGCTGAGTGGACATGACTGGAAAATGTTTTTTTTTCTTTTTTGCCTCTCTTTGAAATGTTTATATTAAAACCTGTTACAACTATTTTTTGTAACAGTAAATGTTTCTGTGACCTTTTATAGTAGAACCATAATAGCAACACAGACAGACGGAAGCTGTTAACTTTTGATAAAAACAAAGCTGGCGAGAGTGATGCACGTCTGAACCTGAAGAAGGATGTTATTCTAATCGGTACCAAGGCAACCAAGAAATTACTTTAAAAGAACGCAATTTATTTGAAGTAATTTAAAATCGATTCTATTCCTCTCAATCATCTCATCTCAAGATTCCTTAAGACATTACAAAACAACGCAATTGTGTTAGTGCAAATATTACATCCTGTGAACAGTCGGAGTTAAGCTCAGAAAACAAATGACATGTTCAATATTTCTTTGTGTTGTGTGTCACTTTACTTTGTTGGATTCTCAACTTGAAAGTGTCGGCATGTCAAAGGAGGAGAGCTTTAACACAGTTACATGTTTGATATCAAAGTGCTTTTCAATGTCATTGTGACAAAAATTGTTTAAAACAAAATTGACGAAGGGGCGAGGCGAGGCAAGGCGAGACGAGACAAGGGTGGGGCGTTTTTGTTAGCAATTTTGATTCATTAATTCATTATTTCCATGTTCTGTTCTAAGTCACTTAGTCAACCTAAGCCTTTTGCCTGAAATTGACCTTACCATTGCATTGGTTAACATGAGATGATGATTTCAAAAGTTCATCTGTCATTGGACACTTATTTTCAATACGGAGCAGATGGTAAGATGAAATAAGCCAGTGTTCATATTCACGGTGGGTATAGTCTGTCACGTGACTTAAGTTTTCTTATGTGGGCGTGTGGTGCATTTCGTTCCGCGCTTCAGGAATGAAAGTACACTTTTAACGTATTTTTAGACGTTATATCTCTGTGAAACTTGTCCCGTACCATCAATGTGTAAAGACGATTTGATTTACCAAATATTTCGTTCACGCGTGTCGCGGTTACCCTGCGTGCAGAGTCTAGTTAAACTACAAAGACGGAGCTCTCTTTTAAGAAGTGAAGTCAAACGAATGCAAAGGGTAGTCGCGGTTAAAGAGAAATTCACACTTTTATGGCTCAGAATATCGTATGTTGGCGAATGAATAGAATTTCAAGAAATGTTTATCCGCGATTTCGTTCATCAAGTTACAAATGGTGATCAAAAACAATATATAATCACCATGCAGATGTATAGTCTGTCACGTGAATTTATGAATGACGTGTAGGCGAATGGTTCGCTAGTCTTTCCACTTCAGGTTTAGAACGATATTTTAACATAATTTAAGACTTTGTCTCTCTGTGGAACTTGTCTTATACCATCAATGTCTAAAAACGATTTAATCTACCAAATATTTCATTCACGCATGTCGCGGTTGAAGAGAAATTTGCACTTTTAGTGTCTCAGAAAATTATTGGCGGGCGAATGAATCGAATTTCACGCGAGATATAATGCATTTGTGTTTTTGTTATAAATGGTGATCAAAAACATTGTAATATATCATTTTCTTTCTTTAGAGACATGTACGCCAGCTATCACTTTAAACCAACCCTAGAGTTAGAAAGCCTTGAGGATGTGGCCCTCCAAAAGTGATATTTGGGGCTTCTGCCATGTGGCGTATCTTTATTGGGTACTTTATATAATTAATAGGTGTTGGTGTCAACCAAACCACTAGAGATATTCATAGTTAACTGAATGAAAGAACAAGCGATATATGTATGAACAATTTTAACAGCAATTACAATTATTGGTTCCCATTCGAATCAATTTATGAACTGCTCGTTTGACTATTAGTCAATTACTTAACAGACACGATGTAATCAAGCAACTGATTTTGCTACCCTGGGGACACGTTAATCAGGTTATGGCCACATAGGTTTGGGCGTCAATTTACTCAATTCACTTTGACTTTGGAAAACAGAACAGTGCATCAATGTCTAAAATTGGCTCATAGCCAGATTAAAATAACTTGTAATGAATAAAAAGAAAATGTATAGCCAACAGCAATAAGATACAAGCAATTCTAAAGCTGTAGTCCATTACTTTCACAACTGAACACCCCGTTTACTAGAATATTGGTTTAGTTTGTTCTGCACACCCTGTACTATTCTATGTTAAAGTCAAGTGCTTGCTTTTTTATGATTGGTGATGGTAGCAATGGCTGGTAATCTGTGACGATATATCTCCTGATCTCATAGCATCAGTTGAACAATGGTAACCATGGTAACGGGACAGTTATTGCAGAACAAAAAACCGAATCTGTTTTTATTCAAATTAGACTTCTATACTTACTCTAGTTGTATACTGCCTGTTTCCACCGTTACAAAGTGCTTCATACTGACACTGTCAGATTAATAATTGAAAACCAACAGTCCTAGTGTGAATTCACGACCATTAGTGATGAGATGAAATTATTCAATTAGAAACTTCTACACCTGACTTGCTTTCAAAAATATGTCTACATTTAGTTATTGAGTTGATAGAGTTATGTTAGAGGTTCAACCATGGACTTCAAATGGTTCAACTTACCATAACTCCTTGTCTAGATCTTATAAGCTACGTTGTACATGATACTGTACGACACAGGGCACAAAAACCAACATTTCCTATTAGTCATGGTGATCTCACTGGTGTCATTAAAAAGACCCAAGAGAAATGACTTAGAGTAGGTTTCAGAATAGAATATAACGATTTCCTGCCTAGTAATAAAAGTCTTTACCTTGCACTCTCCCATATTCGATTTTCTTAGACATAAAAGTGCGAATTTCTCTTAAACCGGGACACGTTTGAATGAAATATTTCAGTGAATCAAATCATCCCTACACATTGATGGTATGGGACAAGTTTCACAGAGATATAAAGTCTAAAACTATGTTAAACGTGTACTTTCATTCTTGAAGTGTCGACAGAAATGCAACATGCGCTCACATACGAAAACTGAAGTCACGTGACAGACTATGCCCATCGTGCGAACGACTTTCTTTTCGTGCAAATTAACACTTTTTATTATGTGCATGAATAATAAAGCAGCTATAAGATTGCTTAATCACCCGGAAACTAGCATTTTGTTGCCCAAAGTATGTTGCGCATTAGGTTCAATTTTGCACAGTTTCAATGTGTCCTCCCGGGCCATCTTAACAGCAGCAATTCTTTTCAAATCGGAGGGATATTGAGCCGGAAAAATGGAACGGTGAGGGTAGAAACTCTAAGGAAACTCTTCTAAAATCCCTTAACAGGTTTTAAGAGGGTTATAAAAGTTCACACCCCTATTTGAAGGGCTTTTAAGGTCATATCTGAAAATAAGTGCTGCTGTTAACATGGCCAAGGGGGGGGGCACATTGACTAGTAATGTGGTGTAAAATTGAACTTTTTTTTGACAAAACACTAACTTTTAAAATGACTGTAACTCCCATTTTGGAGTTAACCCATGATACTTGGCAAATCAATGTAACTTTGGATAAGCTTCAAAATGATATATGACACATACTATGAGGACACTGGAATATGTCTGCTTAGGAGGGGCATACTTTCGGGACACCCTGTATATGTGAAAGAATGGCTCAAATGATGGCTACAATAGAAATCCCAATTTTTGGTATTTTAGATGATTTCACCAAGAGCATACCTGGGCGAAAAGCATGATACACACCCCTCCATAAGTTTGGCAGCCTTAGCTCCCTCATTGATCTTAAAGCCTCTTAACGTTTCTTTACGTTTGAATTTTTATTTACATAACCTGCGAGGAAAATACGTATAATATTGATGGAAATGTAATTTGACTTCATTTCCGATGCCTCCAAACTTTCCCAATTTTCTCCTCAATTGCAATAGGTCAAAAATTGATGATTTTGATGAATTTTTGAAAATCTACATTCCCATGTAAACCAATGGTAGGTTTGCCGCAAGTCATATGCCAGAATATTCATCCATCCGAGTTCAAAAAATACAAGTTAGGTAGTCAATTGAATTTGCCAACCTTATTTTAAAAGAATTGATACGTTTTTTCAGGTTTAAAATGTTTTAGGCCTCCCATTGAAATTACACAGGAGGTGAAAAATGATTTTCAAAAATGACTTTGATGCTCTGTAACTTAAGTTTTCATAAAGTAAAACACTAAAGTGTACAAAAAGGTTAGACAATTCAATTTTCTATATAAGACTTTTTTGGTGGATCATTTACTTGATAGATATCCTTCATGTATTGAATACTCTATCTACACACACAAATATGAAGATTTACTAACTGTTGTGAAAGTTATTCAAATTTTTGTGTCACTCTGTATTTAGCTTGCCATCAGCTCGTTAGACACACTAGCCATATCATTTACAATGAAAAACCTTATTAAACTTCATTAATCTGATTATGTCCCCGGGTTTTGGTCTTAATAGGCTTCATTCGATGTAATGTCGATTTATTCCACATAAATTAATTATTATCCTGTCAACAGTGTCAATTCTTGTAGTGTTCCCCCATTACTTATATATATAATTATTTCATATTTTTGGATGATGGGTGTTGTCCCCACTAATGGTGTGAGTATAGATAAAAAGTCAGACGCAATACTTTATTACTATACAAATAGAGATGTACAAATATCAGTCTTGGAAAAGACACCTGATGCTGGCTAATAATAATCATATAATAGGATCAATTGATGTACTGCCCTGTGGCATAATATGTTATACAACAGTGCAGATGAATGATTGATGAATGATGGAGAAAAAATAAGTTAAAGTATGGCATTCCTCTAAAAAACCATAACCTCCTTTTATTATTTGCTAAAACGGTCATCTTTATAAGTTACAGACAACAATTATATAATGGTAATATTTAATAACACGATTATAATACATGGTTGATTGCATGATTTGCTCAAGGTCCATACAGCTACAGATGTGACCGGGCAAATCTTGTCTGAACATTACATTATAGCATGAAAGCTTTGAAATGTAACATGGTGCATTTGATGTAAAAGGGCCAAGGTATCTGAATGTATCCGAAGCCCCCGCAAAGGCTGCGGTTATGCCTGTGAAGTAAGCAGAATTTCATTGATGAACCAGCTCTAAGATTATGACCATAGCAAACAAAGAGCCTGATGATGGTCGTATATTTATGATGTTGGTGAAAGGTGATTATCAAATATCGAATTCAAGTAAACTTAATTCAATATCACAAGCAACCTGACCATGATAAGTACTTGGGTGACCGGTGTACCGACCGACAAGATCTTTGTGGTGAACGACTATCAAAGCTCGATATTGCTTATGATGATCATAATCAATTTCAATATCAATAGCATAACCATCCTATGAACTTTGTTTGTCTTGTAAAAAGTGCAGAAAATTAAAATGAACTGTTTAATTTTCAGTTGGGGAAATGTCGAATTTTAAATGGTAGTCTAATCACATTTAATCGTAGATAAGGTGAACCCATATCCGGCGCCTCCTTTAACACATTAAGGAGGTGGTGGATAGTAAAAAATGAAATATTTGACTCAAAAGAATGAAATATCGTTTACACCGTTGGTCAACGTGAAACGCAGACAGCGTGTCTAAGGGAGTAAAGTCTTAAATAAGGGCCCCGCAAAGGCTGCTGTTATGCTTGTGAAGTAAGGAAATTTTGATTGATGAATCAGCTCTAAGACTATGACCTGTGCAATCAAAGACCCCGATGATTGTTCTTTACCTGTGATGTCGGTGAAAGGTGATTATCAAATATCGAATTCAAGTAAACTTAGTTCAATACCTTTTATATGAACATACTTTGAACATCAGATTATACGCCACTATTATATGAGATGAATGGATATAATGCCAGACTACAGTACAACTCAGGGGCACAACATTCATGTATTTTCATTCCTGTTTGTTGAAATGCCTCTCTCAAATCCCTTAAACGTATTTTTCCATTATAAATTGCTAAGATTGTTTAACGACGCGAAACTCGAGCAGATATTGAAGACATCGATCTGTTTGTCAAATCAAAGATAGTTTACTACCAATGAGACAAGAATTCTCCTTAGCGTATAATGACTTTAACCCTGTTGTAATTATTCAACGCTCTATTACTGAAAATGAATTAGTGACCGGAAAGTACCACTGGCCAGGTTTTTGTAAGTGGTGGTCTGTTGAAAGAAACAGATAAATAGTCAAAAAACAGGCATATGAAAAGATTTTTGATTTATTTTATCAAATTGCTAGTAATGCAAGATTCCTAAGCAAAAACAAAAAACTAATGCACATTTATTTGCTTTGTTCACATTGTTTTCCGTTCTAAAATTAATCAACGGCCTCGGACTACAAATAATTGGATTTCCTAATATGAGACAAATAGGTGTGTTTCATAAGTACATTGCATACAATGAAAGATAATAGAAACCTGCAATTCATTGGTTAATCAAACCGTTCTGTGATTGATTAAATTATTTATTCTTTAAAAGCATCAAACATCGATCCATCACTCCATTACGTAAGAACGATGCTTTTTTAATTTTGGAAAAATACTACAGAAGAAATATTAATTTTCAACGGAAAATGAAATAAAATATGCCCAGTATAGTTTGCACTGTGTGTTAAATATTTTGCCTCGCTTTTTCAAGTTTGCCTCGACTGTTCAAGTTTGCCTCGCCACATTTACTTTTGAATCATGAACTGATTCGATGCTTATACCGATAACTTACATGAAGCTTGAAAAGTGATACTTGTAAATAAGAGCCATCATTTTGAAACATGTTATGATAATAATTCCATTATTTATATTAACCCCCATGATAAAAAAAACTAATCGTGTGATAAATGATTAATTCGTTAGAAAACAGTTATGGTGGCTAAAGGTATTTCTACATTATGAAATATGATTCAGCTAAACTGATGAAACCATGGCAACATTTTATTGACAATAGACTAAACTGTCCATTCAAACATATAAAAAAACAATAATAAAACAAATAAATTAATTAGAAAAATATTTTAGACTGAGGATACTAGAACCTACCTGACTATCCGTATATGTTCCTGCTTAATGCATTGATAACACTACTGTATTGATCAATTCTCTGAATTTGAAAGAAAATGGTCCGATTGATATACCAAGAGGACCTCTTGATTGGTGCATTCTCCGAAATACACGGCAACCAATCTCCAATATTTCCATTTAACGTATAATATCCTCTTCTTTGTATATTGCGATTAACAATACATAGTTGTGTACATTAGCTGTCTGGTGGCCAGGCTGGATTACGTATTAATCGCGCATTAATAGTTTTCGTACAAATCCTCAATGGTATCTGTGGTGATGAAAATAGGAGGCTTTGTTCGGCTAATTGGTTCGGATGATGCCGATGCTACATGCAATATATAATACGAATTAACGGAGTGACTGGTTAACACTAGAACAGATGTAACAAGAGGCAATATTTTACGAATTTCAACAAAAATATTTGACATATACATTTACTAGAACAATTTACGTATATTTGGATTTTTCTATACGGCATGCAATTTAATTTTGGGGATTTGTAAAGTTAAAGTTACGATAGATACGAATTTTAAGCGAAGGAGAACTTCTTTCTCATCATTATTTATTTCGACAGCTTAAATCTTGAGTATGTACCTGTTGATCGCTAGTCTTTTTGTATTCTTTGGACAATCGTTGAGCTTGCAAGTGACGATATGTAGTCTTGTAGTTAAAGGGACTACGCTGCCATATGACTACAGCAAAACAGGAGTTGCAATAGCAATGGGCATAGAGGATGCACGCGTCAACCTAGGAGGATCATTGACCTTAAATTACATTCGCCGTGATATAGGTGACTCTTGCTCACAAACAGCAGCCGTTGGGGCTATCTTGGCAGAGGCTTACCTCATGGAGAACGCATCAATCTTCATTGGACCAGGTAATCAATACCATGCTATGTTTCTGTTTTTTACATCAAACAATTTACTTGATTATTTCCAAACTGGTTAAAAACATGCCAAATCTGTATATAGTGTTCTATGCAGTGTTTTCTCCACGATGCGACTAAACAATAAACACAGTGATTAAACCAATCAACCATGTCGACTCAATGATTTTTATCAGACTAATATAAGAATAACTTCTTGTTTTTTTAATTAATTAATTTTTGGTTAACCATTAGTGTTGTTATGGTTGCTACCGTTACCGTATCTTTGTATTGTACCTGAAACAATTTTGCTAAAATAATGCTTTTACTTTTGACGAATTGAATACCTGTATATTCCGCTCATCATTTAAACGCATGCAAAATCAGTTATTTATAATATCGCAATGTAATTGTGTAGTTGCTATGGTGATTGGTTGAATGTTAAATAAGAATAAATGTCACGTGCATACACTACCCTCCATAAGTTTGGCAACCTTACCTCCCTCATTGGACTACGTGTTAAAGCCTCTTTACGTTTGAATTTTTATTTACATAACCTGTGAGGAAAATACTTATAATATTGATGGAAATGTAGCTTGACTTCATTTCCAATGCCTCCTTTTCCAAATTTTTTCCTCAATTACAATAGGTTGAAAATTGATGAAGTTTTGAAAAGCGTCATTTCCATGTAGTAAACCGATGGGAAATGGTGGGTTCGGGGCAAATCTGATTTCAGGATATCTATCCAGTAAATGATCCACCAAAAAATATTCTTATAGAAAATTGAATTGTTTAACTTTTTGTACGGTAAGTGTTCAGTTTACTTTATGAATACTTAAAGTCATTTTTGAAAATCATTTTTCACCTCTTGTGTTTTTTCAATGGGAGGAGTTTTTTGAAAAATAATTTTGACTTTGAAGGTCTAAAACTTTTTTAAACCTGAAAAAACGTATTAATTTTTTAGATAAAGTTAACAAATTCAATTGACTACTTAACTTGTATTTTTGCAAATTAGGAAAGTTTGGAGGCATAGGAAATGAAGTCAAAGTACATTTCCATCAATATTATAATCCGTATTTTCCTTGCAGGTTATGTAAATAAAAATTCAAACGTAAAGAGGCTTTAACACGTAGTTCAATGAGGGAGCTAAGGTTGCCAAACTTATAGAGGGGTGTTTTCTATACGGGTATTCCCCTAATTGCAATTACAATTAAGAAAAACTGGCCTCTTTCGAAAAAATGGACGGGATCTGGACAAATGATTCAATCCAAATTAAGAAAATCACGAGACTTGACCTAAAATACAACAACCCTACTTTTATGCAATGATTTGTTCTTAAAATGTGTACTTAAAATCTAAAACGGGTATTTAGTCAGGCTCAGTAACTGGGTCAACTTCCGAATTTCATAATCGAGAAAAAATCGCATATCCCCTTCCCCAATTTTATCCCAAATTTTTGACGTTTTATCTAAAATACTTGCAGTCATGAGTACATCTCGAACCATTTCTGAACCAAGCAATTCCTAAGTAAGATTCGCAAATTTTGAGTTGGAGATGATTGCAAATTTGATATAGAAGCACAGGAAAACTGTTACATGGATGTATGAAAGATGTTTCGGAGAATAGCTCAATCTCAATTTCAATTTCTCCTTTTTACTGGAGATCTACATCTGGGTCCTGGGAGTATTACTCGTGCATGATACACGGTTCAATGATGATATCAATTATGATATCATTGCTAGAAATCGTGTAGCTATTTATAACTGGCAATTATATATAATGTATATATTAGAAAAGTTAAGTCTTTTCATGGATAAGCAGACGTGTGAATTAATATTGCAAGTATGATCAACATACGAGAATTATTTCTTAATTGACACTTATTGGAAATTACATTAAGATTACATTAAATTGCAAATGACGATGATAAAGGTACTAATTCTAGATTGTAATGGGATAGCTTGTCTATATTAATTTATTTTAAGAGTGTTTTCCCCCTCATCTGTTTAAGCAAATTAATCCATCATATATATTCTACGACAGGCAAACTCTTAAACGTCGTCATCTGGTTTCTTCAGATTTTTGTAAGACTGGATGATTGATGATGTTTTTTGTATGATTGGAATATATAAAAAAGATTTGTCTTAACAGCGTCTTACCTGGAATCAATGATTTCTTTACTTGAAAATTTAAATGTGTTAAAGGGATATGCGCTAACATGGCCACATCTATTTTTAATCTATAATTCATTTATTTATTTGGAAAACGCATTTTAGAACAACGACACTCAATCGGTTCATCCGGATCCAATACATCATATAAAATACGAATGAGATAAAACATATTGCATAAAAGCAACTAGAACAAGCATACAACTGTTGTGCTCAATGCACGCATAATTGTTTAAGAACAACTTGACATATTGTCAAACTTCACATAATAATTATACTGTCCCCACAAGATGAAATCCCAGAATACAACATGTTTTTAATTGTTCATTGGCTATTAGAAAGTCACAGAGTTACCTGTAGTCTATGGTATGAACTCTCTAGGACGTCTAATAAAGGAGCTGTTGGCACACTATAGCGCAGCGAAATTTGACCCAATATTAACATACCCACATATGTTCCCTAATGTTTATTATAACCGTTTTGAATATACTTCCGGTGTAAAAGAAATTATGGTCCCCTGGGGATTTTGGTCCCCTTTCTTAAAGGCCCTTACTGGCCCTGATTGTGGATACGATGATAAGGAAAAGAGTTGTATTTAGGTCACCACATAAATCAATGGAAAGTAGGACCATAATTTGATAGGACCACCTACCCTTTTACACCGGCTTTTAGGCTGAATTATGCCTGTCATAAGCAGAGGTCAAAAAAATAAAATCTCATTTTTCACAATTTGAAGTATACACAATGCGACAGAAAATAATACAAAATGATTTAAAATATATGATTTAGGTTTCTAAACTATAATTTTGGGGTTAATTTTCTCATCAATACCGTTTTGTATCATTTCTCAGCCATTGATGAGATAAATGATACAAATGAATCACTTTAATATTAGAATGACAAAGGCTCAAAGTATGCTAGTTTTTCACAAAATGTGTCTCTAATACGTTTTGAGATATGGACTTTTATTTCGCGATGAATGTTATCATTAAATGAGGGCCTATTACGCTTCCTTGACTAATTGCGACTACAGCTAAAATTCTATTTCTCGTAGTAAGATATGGCCAAGTTGAAACAACCGTCAGAAAACTTAATGACAGCCAGCAGTAATGTCGAGGAAGAATTGCAAGGCGTTCGATTGCATATGACTTAAATAGATTATTAGACATGCCCTTAGAATATATGAACATTCCAATACCTTTGTAACATTTAATTAGATATAAATCTCACCTATTTGTTATATGTATTATTTCTATAAAATAATTTGTCGTTTGACCCCCTGCGATAATATGTATAAATTCTAAAATGTTTTAAATGGTAAGAAAACATGTAAGAAAATATGTTCTCAATCATAAATTACCTAAATATTGTACACAATTTTGTTGAAACTGCTTGGCTCGTATTTGAAAAAATCAAACAAAATATGAGAACCACACTTGTGTAAATACACTAATTACAGATATTCACAGTAAAATTATAGTAAATGTTTAACATTATGATAATCTATTTTTGTCCATAAGCTTCGAATAACGGTCTGTGTCTCATTTGTTAAACATCCATGATGCTTCGCTACATGACATATTGGACTGAGGAATGGGAATGGCATGCCAAAGGGGGGACTAGAACATGCTTGAATATCGGTGTGAGGTCGGGTTCGGCCGAGTAAGCGCCTCCTGCTGTATACTCCCCGTCCATATGAGCTATCATATGGAACACCTGTGGTCTGGTGGTAGACCACATAAACAAGCATTGTTCTAGTGGGACTTAGGTGGACTGGGTCGCCTTTGGGTTCCACTTATCTCTTCTTCTGATCCACAGCCATCTGGAGCTGTCTTCTGCTGCTGAGCTGATAGACTTTAAGGCACTCTTGAGCTCCTTAGGTTGCAATCCTATCTTGGATAATAGGGTTCTGACTGATGTTGCTGGAAACCCCCTGCAACCAACTTAAAATGTATAAAAGTTCGAATCAAAATATTTACGTTTTTTGACCCCTTGTGTGATGAAAGACATTTTTCGACCCGAAAGCCAGACGTTTTTCAGCACATGGTATTAAAAATCAAGTCATATGCACCTCCTTAGATATTGCTTCAAATGTTGCTGCGCTATTGTGTGCTATGGATCCTTCGAATTCATATTCGGAAGTCACACCATGGACTGGGTTGGTGTTTGCAATTTGCAACAATATTTTCATAAACTACAGCACACACAAAAACGCTATATACTGCATTGCTAATTAATGTAAGTGGAACATTCATGTACAGTAGAGCTGGCAAAAGCATTGTATCATGCATTTTAATTCCAAGATTTCGCTCGCATAACAATACAATGTTTGGTTAAGGTGAAACTTATCATTCCTTATATTATTTTTGATTTATTGCTTAAAATATTATTTATGTGGTAAGAGTTCTAATCAACCTGCGGATATGATAAGAATTGAGGTAGTTCTCCTGGCGTATATTAGCGTTATATAATCACTTTCTAGATCTAAATTCGCTTCTGTTTGTATGTCAAAAGACCTTAACAATACATGTATATGTAACAACGTAATCAATAGATATAGTTATTATTTTCTACATAAACACAAGTGTGCATATATAAAATTAGGAATAACTATATGTAACATAATATAGTATACCTAGCAAGATGGATGCATCTGTAACCAATTTGTCGCCCAATAAAACAACTTTCCGATGGATGCAGCCATCTCACACAACTTTGGTATTGGGAATACTCAACCAACCATGCTGTCGGCTGTTTTTTATACTTTAGCTTGCCCGGTTATGCTTGAGAGAGTATGGCGTATGACGGAGTATTGGAACGTCCCTGTTATAACGCCAGGAGAACTGCCCCAGTCACTACCGTATGATGGCCTGAAGTTGAGTCCAAACATTATACAAATGTCATACACTGCTGACACTGTCGTGGGGTTCTTATTAAGCATCTTCAACAAATACGGTTGGAAACAGGTGGCTCTGGTATATGATGCGGATAGCGCATACTGCTCAAAGCTCGCAGCAACGCTAGATGAAATGGTAAATGGAACCTCCTATACAGTGACAAAGATATCAACGACGACAAGCAACTTCGACCAAATATTTGGTAAAGTGGAAAAAGCTTCTAAAGGTAAACATGTAAATATGTTTTGGACGAAATGCAGAATATAGGCCTATACTATTATTACATTTTCACACATTATTCAATTATGAACTAGATGATAAGAATGTGATGGTAGTCTTTGTAATTTAAGGCTGTTTGTTTTCTTTTGAAATTACATAATAGGTTCCTAAGTATGTTAATGATTTTTCTATCCATTTATTAAGCAAAAGCTTTAGTTCTTTATTCCAACCGTATATAGATAATCACGTTTAGTGAACAACACAACTGAATGACAAGTCACATTTTTTCCATTCTCTGTAATAATCCCAACAGAAGTATTTTTGAATTACGAGTGCAATAATATCAGTGTTGCATACATGTCCTTTGTATTTCTTGGCGTTTGGTATACTTTACCCATGATGATCATCATCATTTCGTCCCCGTCAAGTATGTCGATCGGTGGCTCTATGAGACCCCCTCCGTTGAATTAATTCTTCAAATATAGTTTTTCCTATTTAGTTTCGGAAAGACTTCTCTGGAATATAGAGCTATGTACCAGTCTTCAGCCATAGAAAAACAGACTGGGATTTCTTTCCCAGTGTCCTTCCACCGTTTCTTTGGCCTTCCTCTTTTTGTAGTGTCATGGTATTGTTCACCGAATAACATTTGCTTGTGAATTCTAGCATCGTCCATTCGGCTTACATGGCCAAACCATCGAAGCCTGGTTGACCTGGTGTCAGTTTCGACAGTGAGAAGCTTTGCCTTTTCCAGCACAGTTGTGTTTGAAACTTTCATTCGCTATTTTATTCCCATAATCTGCTGTAGATATCTCTGATGGAGAGTTTCTAGTTGTCTTAGGTGTTTAGACAAGGTTTCACATATATAAAGCAGACATGGTAGCATGTGTACACACCAATTTCAAAGTAATCATCCAGTCCAAATCCATTCATCCCCTTCTACTACCAAGCACACCCAATTTGTTAATTTGATTACTAGGATATTATTTTTTACATCCAACTCGAAACAGTATAGTTCAATTCACAACAAACAGTTCCATATAGAGAGTATCACAAGTATATGCAACTCAACTGGACTGACTGACAAGACTGATATGTTCTTAATACCGTATGCAGTTTCTCTATATTTCAGTTGTTTCTGTCTGCCTGTCAGAACCTGATGTCATTGAAATGATACGTGAAGCAGAAGTCAAAGAGATGACAAATGGTCATTTTGCATTTTTCTTGCTGGATGATCACGACCAACCATTTTTGACCAATCTCTTAACGGTTCAAGTGAGTACTTTAACCTTAATGTCTGCAGGACACCCCCCCCCTCGATTTTTTCAAGAGTCCTTTTTGCTGCACCACCGTAATTTTTTAGCTTGAGCCACAGATATAAGATACTTTTGGCATAAAATCCAAGGTGATTGGGGGTAAAGGGGCAAAGTTGTATGCTGTATTTCATGAAAATCGAGCCACACAATTGACCGTGTTATTAATTTTCAAAGGCAAAAATAGTCGCAAAACGCGTTCTCTTCAAGAATTTGAGAGAAAAACAGATTTTTCAAAAACTACTCTATAAACACCTCTGAATTTTTTTTACATTTTTCTAAATGTTTATGCAAACTTTGGTACCAAAATTATGGTGATACCTTTTTTAGATATCGTTTTTTTATTCTCCCCTATCCCCCGTTTTTCAATTTCACTATTTCGATGTTTGTGCCGTTGCTAGGCAACATCATGGATCGAAACTATTGGAACAATACTAAGTCATACATTCATACATCTTCATACTAAACAAGTTGAAATTGAAATTGTTTACGATTCAAATTGATATCAATGGGATTTCGCGATAACTGCTTTCTTTGAAAGTATGTAACTTACGTTCTAGAAAAGCTTTTACCATGATTTTAGTTTTATATGAAAGATAATAGATTATTCTTTAATGCAGCATAGCATTTTTTGGCACAAAAAATTATTGTGACAGAAACTTGACAATTTATCACAAAATGTTAAAGATTTACACCCCCTAGGTCACGTTGACCTCAATTTGACCTATGTTGACCTTCTTTTCTGAAGAGGTAAATTGAATAAGTTCTGCAACAATACTAACAATAATGAAATCAGACAAGTAATAACAATCGCAGAGGGGTTCCAAATACCCCCCCCCCCCCCTTGCGACTTGGTGTTTTAAAATAGACTACAGACATTACGGTTAAACAAGAAGGTATTTTAAAACGTCTAAAATTGTTCGAAAGGCAACATTATGAAAGAGCGAGTCACGTTATGATGCACTCAAAATCAGCGTTCCTGCCATGCATAGGGAGCATGATTGATTCCATCAAGACAATTGCTTTCAGCAACGATTATTTAATATCATGTAGCTATAAGCCATCAGTCATTCAATACTAATTAGGTTTCATAACACCTTATCAAGAACGGGTAATCGAATCATAAATGACTAAATTGATACAGCTTTCAATTTAGTAATATAATACAGCCCCAACAGCAAGAAATAATAGAATGATTTTTTGTTATAGAGTATTCAAGAGGCGCTTCGAGCAGCTTATCTGATAACAATGCAACGACCTGCCATTGATCAGGATTTCATAGATTTCAAATCGAGATTAAAGGACCGATCAGCTCAAGAGGGATATGTTTATGGAAGCACAGAAGAGGTAATGATCTTTGACCCCTGGCATTGACAAGGTTTCAGTAAAATATTGTAAAAAAAGCTTACCTAGATTTATTCAACTGTTTAGATGCTTCTCTGCCCAAATGGGTCTTGATACATCCATACCCTAATTAGAAATTGACCATCCGTTTAAGGTTAGTGAATATGCAGAGTTGTGGTATGACAGTGTCACGTTGTACGCCCATACTATACAAGGCATGGTGTCTCGTGGAGAGGATATACTCAACAGGGTATCTGTAGTCAGCCATATGTCAGACACGACATTCAAAGGTATACCCATAGAAAGACCTTGTCAGAATGTTGATAACTCTTCATCTCGACCTGGAAATGTAACAGCATCTGCCTGATAGTACAAAAAAACAATTCTATTGGCAATTCTTTGGAAGGGCTGTTAAACATCTTTCTTAGCTTTCTAAAGTTCATAGTTTTGGGATATTTGGGATTTATTTCACTAATGATTAGCTATGCTGTTTCGTATAATTTGAATACTTTGTGGTATTTCTCCTATCGGGATTCAAATTTACATATTTGTAAAATGTTTGATATTATTTTAGGTCTTAGAGGCAATGTGACGATGAACACACATGGTGTCAGAGAGGAGGATTTAGAATTGTATTCAATAGATTCAAGTTTCAATATGCAAGTAAGGATATGTACCATTAGATCATACGACTCTCTGTTTTATTTGAAATAAACGCGATTGGTATGTGGATTTGAGACTTTAGAATTCCCGAAATTGGCAATTTTCGTGTTTTGCAAAACTTATCCATATATTGTTAGAAATATGTTGTTAGTAATACATAATGCTGATTTCATGTAATATATTTTCATGTAAATATTCATAGACGTGTTTTTATCACGTGATCAATTCTTATATTATTAATTGGCAGTTGGTTGCCACATTTGACGGTTCGGAGCGTTCCTATATAGAGGTCAGTGAGATAAGCTGGTTGGGCGGAGTGCAACCTTCAGATGGACCGTCGTGCCAGTTTGAGAATTGTGGCGAGACTGGTAAGAATAGTTTAAAACTTCTGACATCATACATTGTCCCATCCTCGGTAAAAAAAATTTTAACATATTATTTATTTCCTTTATAATCAAAAAATACACAATAATATATATCGGTAATAACGTACCATTACACAGATTTATAATTGGCACTTTCTCCTCGCCTCTGAAACCTCTTGTGGAGTTGCTCCATGACGCTTACTTTGTATGTGCCATAGAACAATTCAGATATCATGCAGACAAAAAAAGTTATGCAACATTATGTTGATGTTAAAGCTAAGGGGAGCATAGTTTTGGACACCCTGTAGGATGTGAACATATCGGACAGGAGACTGAACAGAATTGCCTCATCGTCTGTTGTTAGTGTTGAATATGAAATGCACTCAGAATTATTATTTTCTTCGTACATTTATCCTCGTTAGTTAATGGGTTCTGATCTAATAGACAAAGTAATGGCAACGTTATTTATATCCATACGGATTAATTCTGCATATAAAAAACTTATTTTCTATCAATTTGCTTTTCAGAATCCATTTCTTTCATTGTGATAATTGTGTGTGTTTGTTGTGCTGTTGCGGCTGCTATAGCAATAGCTGGCTTCTTATACTATAGGTAAGGCTATAGAATTCGTAGATATATTTTGTTCAATTGTCATTACTCGTATTCAGATCTCTGTCGGTAACTTGCTTAATATGTGTATTTTTCTATAAATATAAATACTATAAATAGAGTATTTTCCTCAAATCAGATCAATTCACAGTCTGAGTAAGATTTGCATAATTTTAAATATTTGATTTCAAGTTTTTAGAGCTAACGAAAATTTTGAAAAGGCCCTAGTTATGCTTAAATGTTTTGTTTAATAACCTCTATTCTGACTATTGAAAATGGATTTTATCAATGCTGTCCCACATGAAGTTATTTGTTGAGACTCGATAAACTTGAGTTCTGGGATAATGAGGATTTTGTATATATCCCCATGATAAGAGGGAGGAAAGCCCCAGAGAATTAGAGATGACAGACATAATTACATCTCTTACTTACAATATTCGTTTGTGCGAATTTTCACCGGCTAGTTTCCAAATACTACACTTCGATGTGATGTTTTAATTGATGTAGGCACATTCCATACATCTTTCTTTGTCTTGATGTGAAACAAGAAGCAATGTTAGCCAACACGGCAGAAATGAACATAATATTATTCGAAGCGTATTTCGAAAATTTGAAGCCACCATTGATGACGTCATTTGTTTGTCGATTTCCGACCAATCAGACATGTATGTCATCTAAATACAGGTTTACATTATAAGCGTATGTCATCTTTGAACTCTGGGGTTATCACCCCCCCCCCTCCCCCGCCCCATGACCCACGCGATGATGCAGATTAGAAGTAAATAATATCCCCATGTTAAGTCAAGTCGGCGGTTGCCGTCTATTACAAACGGTGGTGAAGTTTTGCATGTTAATGCTTTGTTATTTTTGCAGAAGACAGAATGATGACGATTGGTGGAGAGTAACATGGGATGAGTTACGAATTAAAACCGTCAGGACTCTGTCAAGTCGAACAGTTGCTACTAGCCAAGTCAGTATTGGGTCTGAAATTTCATCAAAATATATACTCCTATATTTTCGGCACAAATACTAATATGAATATTCTAAAAAAAATCGATCGGCATTGCCATACGCGGGTCACCCTTCTTCTTGGTAAAGATTCAAGATGGCCGTCATTGACGTTAAAATATGTATTTTTCATAAGTTGGGTTATTCACAAGATATTTAAATCCTTAGAGTCCAGTCATTACCATGACAACCGTTTAACTACTGAGCTTTAATTTACATTCTGGTATAGCCTTTATAATAAGCAACCAAAGCAATACGAATCTATTAAAACCAACTTAATAATATCTTTTTCGAACCTGATTGCTTTAAAGCTTACTTAAAAAGCTCCCAGCTTATCTAAAATGACTGTTATACAGAAAAACGAGGCGTAAAACAATAACTAGTTCTCTGGCATGGCTACGGTACGAAAAGAAAGTTGTCAAATAATTCTTAAGATGAATTAATTAATGAATGAATTAATAGATTAGATAATTGACTGCACTAACTATAAACTGTAATTATAACCTATTCCGTGAGATTAATTTCACTTCTTTGAAAGAGAACTTCATTAACTCTCTTCGCATCAGAGATAAAACCTTTGATCGAGTTATATTTTCATATTTTCAGGGGTCTAGATTGTCTAAGGCTTCTGTAGGGGCAGCTTCCATGCAGCAGTTGTTCACGCAGGTGGGGGTGCTTAAGGGGAACCAAGTGGCAGTGCGTTCGGTGCCCCTTCACCCAATGGTTAAACTTCATGTGGATGACGGGCTGAGGCAACAATTACGAGAGGTCAGTTACTCCTATTAAATGCCCCATTTGTTAATTTGATTTATCTGTTGCCTTTGCCTTATTATTTATGTGTTATGTATTATTAGTGCAGAACTTGTTCAACTGCTTCGGTTTTGCATAATTAAAAAGCATTTGCATTTGAGTTAAGGTAGATCACACACATCCAAGCCTTTCACTTGTAAAGACTATTGATTGAAAGGATTTGTATTTTGATTATAAGGGAGATAATTACGCATCTAAACCTTGCACTTGTAGTGGCTCAGTACAGTACAGTGACTACTTATTGCAAACGTTTTTAGATGATACACTCAAGGAGATCACGCATTCAAACTTTGCAATTGTATTGGGGCTGTACAGTACGGAGACTAGATTACGTATCCAAACCTTGCACATGTCAGTATAGAGATAATGAATTGCAAATGATTTCTATTTGAGTAAAGAGAAATCAGGCAATCAAACATTGCACTAATTGCACTGCACACAGACTATTGATTGAAAAGGATTTGTATTTTGGCTATTGTATTAGGGAGATCACGCAAATGATATGCAAAAGATCGCACGTGTATTTTACCAAGCCTTACATGCGTGCAGTACAGAGCCTATAATTGTAGAGGATTTGTATTTTAGTTAAGAGAGATCACGCATCCAAACCTTGCACGTGTAGTTGGTGTAGTCATCGAGCCTCCTACTGTGGCAGTACTTACAGCATATTGTCCTAAAGGAAGCCTACAGGATGTCCTACAGAACGATGCAATGCAACTAGACTGGTCTTTCAGAATCTCCATTGTTCAGGATATCATAAAGGTAGTACTATAAAACGTTGCGTTTGTTATGCAACATGTGTATATTCTGTATGAATACAAACATATATATTAATGGTGAACACCAACATGTAACGTTATATCCCTATTAAGATAAGATGGTTGCAGCCGGAACTTTCTCATCTTCCAACAAACTAATTCCCGATAAGTAAAAGAAAATGCCTTCTTATTCTCATTAGGCAAGGCTATAATAAGACCCGTAAGACTAATTTGTTCAGAAAAGTAATATCGAATTAATCTGGATAATTAACATCGAAACAAAAAATTAGAACACATGTTTTTTTCAATATTGAACCATAATGTAAGCATCGTTTTTTTTGTATTGCGTTGACAAGATCGATTGCGTTTTGTATAAACACTGTGTTCCAAAAACATCCACATTTTTTATTTATACCCTAATTTTTTTTATCTGGAAATCATCATGTAACCATACTTTGAAGAGCTCTATGTAGCGAATTCCTGCTTTAGGCAGCCTTTTTTCAATTTTCCAAGGCACAAATCAGATATAAAAATAACAAAATTGTAATCTTCTCTCAAATTCCTCCAGTTGGAACATAATAAAGCCATACTTTGGAGAGAACAAAAATTGATTGCAAAATATTACCTCAGGCGGCCATTTTGAATTTTACGAGGCGAATCGGAAAAGGGTACAATTTTTTGCCAATTTTTTAATTAATTAAGAATATTCCATTCGCCCCCATGTTTTACATAGTACATTGTATCGATTTACATTATATTGATGTGACGAAAAGGATTGGACAAGAGGCTATTCTAAGTCCTCTCATTTGGCTGTCCTAAAAAGTGTTTCTGTATTTATTTTATAGTTTTATTTGTTTGTGCAGGATGGGAGGTTTTGGATGAAAGAGCGAAATGAAGAACTAGTTGTTTGAGAACCTTTCTGTAGATCTTATATAATTGTGAACAGCAGTAAAGTTGGCTTTATTTTCCTCATCTGTCGTCCCTGAATTTCCATAGATGAGTTCTGCTTGTGTTATCCTTGGTAGAGTTGTGTGTTGCCTTTGGTATAAAGGTCATTTTTTGAAATAGTAGTGGGCACTTTCAATTGGGTTTCCACATTCACATCTGGGGTTATCTTTGACATGGTTGAGGTATAGATCTTGGTTTAATTCACTGCATCCTTGACTTATTTGTGTTTGTCTTATTTGGGTTTATCTTTTCCCATGGTAATAGTTGTTTGTTACCTTATTTTTATGTGTTATTAATTTTTTGAAGTGCCCCTCGACCGGTAGTGCTTTTATTGTTGCATCAATGTCCTTCCATGCTTTTATGGTTGCTGGTAAAAATGATTTTCTGTAGGCTTCGGTGATACATACTGGCATTGATAGGTTGCATTGTTGGTTTTTATGAAGAGTTTCCGCCATTTTTAAGGCGGCGGCCATCTTGAACAAAATATTTTGGGTAACACTATTAACCAATATACGTATTTCCACCAAATATCAAGAAAATCCGTCCGCAATTCGAGTTATCTCCCCGATGGACGGACTGACTGACGGATGAATGGCTTCACTATATATCCCTACCGAACTTTGTTTGTTGGGATAATGATGCATACCAAAATATTTTTCATGCTATATGACTAATCGGAGAACTTCAATTAGACACAGATTTTAATACTTTCCTAATTCCTCTGACAAAAAAATAGAACAATTAACTTATTCAGAATTCGGTTTTTCCCATAATTTTGAACCAGCCCATCTGAATATTCTTCTAATGGTTCACTTTTCAACAGAGTTATCAATTGCAATTATTGAACGCACTCATTCAAATGCCGGTTTTATTATAATGTCATTTTGGGATTGATTTTATGATTGATTTCTGCATTCCATATCATTGAAATCCGTGCATTATAAAAAAGTTTATAGCAAAATGAAGAATATGGGCGTGTTTTCCCACCCTGGATATGCCTCGATGAATGGGATTGAGGACTTATCCCTTGTGCGGTCATGCATCTTAAGAAGTCAGACTTGTAATTTGTGGAGAATTGAAATTTAAGGGGCGTAAAAAACAGAACGATTGAATATTTATAGTTTTTAATCACGTTGTTAAATCGACCTTGTCGTTAATTTATACCTTCACGTTTTTGATGTGAACCAATACAAATTGTTCGTATTTGTTCTTAATTGTCACATTGCAATAGGCTACTTTCTTGATTAAAGGGGATGCGATAGACAAATAATTGAATAGATACCACTTTATATTGATTCTTGTCTTTGACACTCTAACATCAATAAGAATGGATAAAACACGTGAACAAAATAAAAACCATGGGATCGAAACAGGTGAAGCGCAATTGGTTTTCCAAAAAATTCACCATCGCTCATTTATTATTGCTCTTCAAAGTTCAAGATTATTGAGACGATTGATACAATTTTCAGTGCTCGATTACTTTTGATGTCCAACATAACTGCAATTGAAGATTCTTTTCAAATAGGTGGTTTTCATCTTTGAACCCAGCTCATCAAAGAAAATGTTTAAAAAGTATTGTCGCATGGGGCAACAGTTGTGACTACAATAGGTAGGAAAGACAACAATAACACATTTTTGAACATAGCTCATCGATAAGAATCCAGATAAATATTGAGGCCATCAGATGGAATTATATTTATTGGTCCAAGGTTGTCCTATTTGTAGTTCGCAGTTGCCATGGCTACAACACAACAAAAGTACTGTTACGAAACGCATTAACCGGGAACATGTATAAAAAGTGTTGCCCAGCCGGTGGTTGAATGTCCAACTTTTTCTAGACACCGTGTCTATTAAGAAGGACTTCATCGTCAACTACTGTGTTAGAAATACACTCCCTGGTCCTGAATGAGTTTAACAAGTCTAATGTCCTGCAGCACATTCACGCCTAACCATTGACAACGTACAGTGACAAAATATACCGTTGTACACTTTAGATGTACGGTGCCACTATTAAGACAATGATGTAGTTGTGATTTAGGTATTTAAAAAGTATCTGAGGAATACATTAAGGATTTCATGTTTGATTTCGTGTGTATTCGTTTAGGAAGACATTAAACTTTCTTATAACGTTAAAAGATTTTCAAACAGTGCTCGATTTTTTTCGTGGTCAATCTACCCCAAAAATTGGTCGGTTGGAAAATGTTGTTTTATTACACATTTCCTTTGATCATTTTCTCCCCTGTCGTCAAAGAGTGTCGAAATATTTTGTGAGATTATGTTTCTTTAAACTACATAATTCATGTCTTTTGAAGATTTAATAAGTATTAACGTTTTGGCTATAATTCAAAAATCATAAGTGTACGTTATCAACTCGACTGTACGTTGTCCCATTGAAATTACTCAATTCACAGTTAACCCTAATGCAGGCAACGTATTTTTCATAACACTTACAAGCAGGGCGGTCAGATGTATTAAAAATTGAAACTGAACAATTACAGTATTACTTCAATTTTATTGAACTATTGAAACTATTGAGCACTTCCCAGATATATGATAAACAGGATTTTAAAAAGTCATATTCGATAAGCTAGTATAGATCTGTCTTTCAGTGTAACTTAACAAAACGTAAGGTTCAGACGCCAAATAATCAAAGAGGCTGAAGGATACAACATCTAATGACCACAGATTAACCACCAAATTAACCACCACCACAACAATACAATACAAATGAAAAAGCACTCAAAAGAGGTCAAAATCACATTTACCTTTAAAATCATCTGTACAAAGAATACTTGAACATGTTTGTTAAAGATTACTTGTATTCACAAAACCTTAATGCATTTTGAAATGAAAACATTACATTATATCTCATGAATTTCAATTACAGGGCCAGGGACAACGTACAGTGGAGTTGACAACGCACATTTCTGATTTCTTAAATTACAATAAATACATTAATATTCATTAATTTTCACCCGTCCTAAATCGTGTAGTTTAGAGAAACATATCCTCAAAAAATATTCGACACTAGACGACAGGCAAGGAAATGATCTAAGGTAATGTGTAAATTGACACGAAAAAACATCGTCATAAAAGATCATATGACCTTTTGACAATTTAAACTGAAACTTTTCAGGATATGATCTGTTTGAACGATACTTCTCGTAAGTGTTATGGGAAACTGAGGAGCTCAAATTATTTCAAAGTGTTTTTATAGTGTCTTTGATCTTTCAAGGGATGGTCTATTAGCACGACAGTTTTCATTTGAGTCGTGGCTAAAAATGTTTCATAGACTGTACATTAATTATGGCTTTAACCTTTGAGGGAATGATCATTTGTGTGCACGACAGTTCTCATTAGAATCGTGGTCATTCAAAGTCCAAACGGAGCAGCTCAAAATGCTTCATAAACTGTACGTTTGTGGCTTTAACCTTTGAGGAAATAATTATCTTTTTGTACGACAGTTCTCATTAAAGTCCTGGGAATTCAAAATTCAAACAGAATAGCTCAAAAGACTTCATAAACTGTACGTTTGTGGCTTTAACCTTTGAGGGAATGATCATCTTTTTGCACGACAGTTCTCATTAAGAACGTTGGAATTGAAAGTCCAAACGGAGCAGCTCAAAATGCTTCATAGACTGTACGTTTGTGGCTTTAATATTTCAGGGGATGATCTATTTGCACGACAGTACTCTAAAGAGTCATGGGAAACTAAGAAGCTCAAAGTGTGTCATAGACAGTAGATTTGTTCTAAAGATCACAGACTATGGGTTACCCACGATAAGAGGCGCAGAATATCACGATGAGACATCGGTGTACTGGAATGGTAATTTTTAGATCATATGTTTGTGTTGGTTTGTTATAGGGTACGTGTAGATGGGTGAACATAGTAGCAGCCACTATGATATAAAACACCTTGGATAACGAAACCCCAGTCACATTTGCTCTTCGGCGGGCGTACGATGGTCGTAGCCTCCAAAAGTAGGAAAACATATGCAGCACAGAAGATAAGAATCAGCACAAAATCAATTTTGTGATGCTATAGCTGCCTTACGCCCGCCGTAGAGCAAATACTTTAATGCATTAGGCCAACTGGATGTTATTAGATCAATCATCAAATCCAAACAATATATATTCAGAACCCAAATCTGCAATCGAATTTTAAATGATTAGGTTCTGTCCCGTATCTGGAATAGTTTATCATCGTGAAAACGAGTTCTCTGATCATGATTTGCCACCATTGAAATGCAAAGATAAACGTACAATGGATATAGATCACGTGTTGTTATTTGTAAGAATGATGTGAGGTGTACTATGTTCGGTATTGGTAATGATCTATTGTTATCCATGGGTAGATGATGATACAAAATGTGAAATACAAGCCCCCCATACAAAGAAGATAATACGGTAGTCTTTTGTTTACTAGATTAATAGGTTGATTAATCACCATTAATGAGAAATAATTCATAAGTCTCACAGATATGTTATTTAGTATTCATCATACGCTGGTCCAATGTTCTATTCATACGCTCTGATTTTCTGCGTTGCGGATGTGCAAATGTCTACAACACGGTGACTATCCAGGCCCGTATATCGCGAGCAAGATCCTGCTTGGAGCAATGAGCTCATGTTAGAAGCGGAGCCTTGAGAGATATGATAAAATATAGATATAGTTGAAGAACGTCGTTGCCTTGCAATTGAAATAGCCATTGTACAATGAAATAAAGTTGTACTGAGTTTCACTTACTAAAGTTCATTAGGAACGTTTATATTTCAATTTTATCATATCTCTCGATGCTCCGCTTCTAACATGAGCTCAGCGGGGCCTGGATAGACACCGTGTACAATTAAGGTAAACATCGAAATGCTATAGCCACAACGAGTTATTTGCAAATAATCTGGATTTAATTGTGGTGAATATAAAAGTGAATAATAAAACAAATATTTCATACTTTTTTGGTGAGTACTAGACTACAATTTCAATGATTCTGCAAGGTATTCCTAGAATCATTGAAAGATGAACAGGTATTCACCTCAATAGTATACTGGCAACTGGTAGTAATTATATTCTGAATAAGGAAAAAATTGTTAAAATCATAAAGGTTTATATACAAAATACATCTTCCCTCTATTATAGCGTTCTTGTGGACTGCCCCTGAACATTTAAGAGGATCGACTAGTTTGTTAGGCAGTCAAGAAGGCGACGTTTACAGTTTTGCAATAATACTTCAGGAAATTGTGACAAAAACGGGACCTTATGAACATATGCCGGAAACCATCTCTACAGAGGGTAAATTGCGATTTAAATGTTATTTTCTAATCACTCTTGTAATTAAATCTGCTTGTAAACTTTGCTATATAGTTTGTTGGACTTTGTCGGTTCAATTATTCTGTTTACCTGCAAATCTCAACTCACCAATTTCAATTTAACAAAAAAGCACAATGGGTAATTCAATGAAACAGAAATAACCAAAGTTGACAAACAAGACCCATTTAACTGATTATTTTACTTTTACATCTTTGATAAATGAGAGCCTCGGCCACTTGTTTTACAAGGATCTGACACTAAGCATACCCATTAAACTTATCCACAATTGAGCATACTGACACCTGATATTACAAATTTTAGAAATTGTTTCGCGGATCAGGGTTGGGGAGCAACCTCCTTATCGCCCATACGTGGACAAGTCCGAGTATGAATGTGCAGATGTCATTTACGAACTCATGCAAGACTCTTGGGACGAGGAGCCAAAAAATCGACCTTCGTTCCAAAAAATTAAGCGAATAATGACCAAAGCTGGATCGTAAGTGACTACTCCTACTTTGGATATGAATTCAATTTTTAGAGATTTCAGTTCTGTATTTCAATCCCCTTTGCATTCGTTTGACTTCACTTCTTAAAAGAGAGCTTCGTCTTCAACTAGACTCTGCACGAAGGGTAGTATTTCAAAGTTTATATTTTCAATGTCAGCATTAGACATTAACAATACGATCAACTGAATCTTTAGCATACAACAAACTGTAACACGGTATTTATTAATTTATCTTCAGATGGCGAGAAACGGATAACTTAATGGATACACTGTTGAAACGAATGGAGCAATATGCCACAAACCTTGAGAACATGGTGGAAGAAAAGACACAGGCCTTTATAGAAGAGAAAAAACGTTCTGAACAATTGTTATATCAAGTTTTGCCAAAGTAAGTTGCAAACACACACAGAAAATGAGGCAAATACAAAGGGGCCTAAAAATTATTTTCAAAAAATCATTGCCCAAATTATTGGCGAATAAATGAGATTCCTTCACAAAATTCATTAAAATGAATGTAACCAATGAGCATCTGTTACCGAACCCGGAAACAGTATGAACAATCATAAATGAATAAGTTCTTTCATTCAGATCAGTCGCAGATAAACTAAAGAACAACCAAACAGTAGAATCAGAAGCTTATGAATGTGTCACCATTTACTTTAGTGACATTGTTGGTTTCACTACGATATCTTCTGAGAGTACTCCTATGCAAGTAAGTGTCTGAACTGTTGATATTCACTGCGCATCTATATATTCAAGTTAAAATTGTTATCAATCTAATTCATTTAATTTTCTTTCTAAATATAAGCTGAATACACATGTATACTGTACAGTCAGGTACATGTACATACTCGTCCAACCTCCATGCTTTCCCAACACGTGCTCCACTATTCCATGCTGTATCTTTCAGGTGGTTGGTCTTCTTAACGACCTCTATACGTGCTTTGATGCCGTCTTGGAGAACTTTGATGTTTACAAGGTAAATAGACAGCTAGGCTAACCTATTCTTTGTTTAAACTGATAGCTGCCATTTATTTATAAATATGTAAGCTATTTTCCGATGTCGCCATTCATTATTTCACATTATATTCGTAACAAGAGGGGGAAGCCCACAGATTTTTAGCGAGGACTGATATATTACGTCTTTTGTGGACCACATTCGTTTGCACAAATTCTCACCAGTTTTCGAATATAAGGCGTCGTTGTGATGTTTTAATCGACGTATGCATATTCGTTACATCTTTCTTTATCTTGATTTGAAATAACAAGATATACGCCAGAAATTAACATAATATTATTCGAAGCGTTATTAGAAAATTTTGAATCTGCCATTTTATATTGTCAATTTGGACCAATCAGAGACGTACGTCATCTCAATACAGGTTTACATTATAAGCGTACGTCATCTTTGAACTCTGGGGTTAATCTTCTCTGATTCGTACAATCTAATGAGGTATGATCAATTTCCATTGAGATACAAATGTATGTATAACATATTAGTTTAACACCATGTTCGAGAAATGCAAGATAAATGCAAAGAGATCGAATAAATATCGCTCTTTATTTTTGCTTTTATAGGTTGAGACTATAGGTGACGCATATATGGTGGTCTCGGGTTTACCCATGCGCAATGGAAATAATCATGTGCGTGAAATTGCCCGGATGTCACTCACACTGCTTCATAAAATAACTATTTTCAAAGTGCATCATAGACCAGAGGAGGTTCTGAAATTGAGGATAGGTCTTCACTCAGGTACTGGGCTAACCATGGAATAACTTGCTAATAAAATATTCACAGTTCATCGCTCGGTAAGGTCTGTCTAATTCCAGCCAATCAGAGCACGCTATTTCATATAACTACATTGCAATATACTTCTCCGATGCACACAAGATTATTTTAGATTCTAGTTAAACTAATGGAACCGATAGCTAAACTATTTCACAGTTGAGTAAAAATCTATAAATGGTATCGTAGGGAATAACAAGCCAAGTTTCAATCCGTCCCAGTCGCTTCTCATTATTTTTTGTGAAATCTTTCTGTGTGCAGAAGAGAGGAAACATGTCATGGTTGTATCTACTGTCTATAATCTATTTCTAATGTTTGATGGTAGGTCCAGTTTGTGCTGGCGTGGTCGGTTTGAAGATGCCGCGCTACTGTCTCTTTGGTGACACTGTGAATACAGCATCCAGGATGGAGTCGAATGGCCAAGGTAATGCCCGTCATTGTTTTTTAGTGACGCTTCTTTGGCAACCCGAGCCCCCTTTTACCCAATAGACAATAAATATGTATTCATTTCATCACCAATTTTTATTCTTCCATATGTGCAAAAAGGAACGGTCTAAAAAGATCCAATCCCTTTATAATTAGTAAATTGTTTTACGAAGTACCATAAAAACGTTCATTCATTCTGGTTTTTTTATGTATTTTTCAGCCATGAAAATACATATTAGCTCAGTAAGCAAGAATCTGCTGGATAAATTTAAGGGGTTTGAAATTGATCTGCGAGGTGACATCACAGTAAAGGTGAGACAGTCTTGTTGCATTTGATAACTTGTAAATATTATTTTGTTCTGGAGCAAGGTTTTTAGGGTAACTCTCTAAATAAAATAATCTACGCATACGATGCGATACTAATGACACTACTTCTACGTACATTTGTAACTATATATACCTGTAGCTACATAGCTGCTTTGGGTTTTCAGGGAAAAGGCGAGATGACAACGTATTGGCTAACAGGTGAATCTAATGTAGATTTTTCCGACACACAACAATTTTTTGGCCAAAGGAAAAGTAAGATTGAAAAAGAAAGTGTTGTAGAACCACCAATGTATGTGAATGCTGAAAATGATGTTAATGGATCACAAACGCATGTGCCGGACGCAACACCGGAAGTTAAAGATAAAGAGGCATCTGATGAGTTATTAACACCTGAAATTCCAGTTCTCCAAACAACGGCGCCAACACCAACGATCGATAAAGATGATGTATATGATATATAGACGAAATGTATCAATTGATTGATATTTGCTCAGTTGATCTACCGTATAACAGTAGCCATATTTTGGTATTAGTAGACATCCAAAATGAAACAGTATAATGAGCGTTCAAACGTTTACTCAATATAGAAGTGTCTTTTTGTACAGTTGACCAATCACGGGTTTTTAATGAACAAAACAAATACTTTAAATACTGTATATTTAATTTATTATATGATTATGTTAAAATATGAGCATCGTATCTCAGCACAATGTATATATTTTATGTATTTCAACCAATCAAATTGCTAAAATTATCATTTGCCATTTAAGTAAAGGTGAAGTAAAACCAATCAAATTGCTGAATTATCATTTGCCAAGTAAAGGTCAAGTAAAAACAATCAAATTGCTGAAATTATCATTTGCCAAGTAAAGGTGAAGTAATTACGATTTAAGTCAAAAGTAAATGGGGAACGTTCGAGTTAAAAGAAGTAATAGGGGTTGCCCATCCCCAATGGACAGCGAGACAAAGCATGCATGCTTTGCATCAAGTGTTCCTCAGTTACAATTGATCAGAAATACTGACAAAATCTATTTTAAAATTATCCCATTGTCATGAAAACATGCAAGTTTAACACGTGCTCCAAATGGAGACGTCCATTTACCTAATTTTTAAATGGTAGTGTATCTGGAAAACTACATGTAAAAGTATTTGTGTTAGTTGCATACCTTCGAAGATTCTCGGATGTTTAAACCTTTAAATTTTGAATTTTCCCAAATATAATAGCGGGTACAATAATGTCCTCATATGGCGACATGTTTTACGAATCAAAAACATCTATAAATATTGCACGCATTGAGTGTTTTTCTCTCCAAAAGAAATACAATTCATGGATTTTGCATTTCATCATTTTAGTATTTTTAAAGTACTTAAGTACTATGTACGTTTATAGTAATAAAGGACGTTGTCAGTTATAACTTTTTATGTTGATTTTTCTAGTTGACATTGAAAATCCTTCCTAGTTTCTTTAAAGATGGCATTGACACGATCGAGATCTTTTTTTATTTACGTTTCTCAATCTCAATATAAAGCCTATCCGATTAGTATAAATGAATCTCTGGATCGATTGCCGGTTCAGACTAAAGTCTGGATTGTATTTATATATGAGATGGTGTTTGGTTGAGTGGTCCATTATCGTAATAAAGATGGCGGTTTGTATGTGTAGTGGTAATTTATATTCGGAAATTTTGATGGCTTCTTAATTAGAGATCCTGCATGGTCTACACTACTTTCAATTTTGCATGCATAAGAAGCGCATTTTACATAGAATATTAATATTCTAGCTATACAAGCAGGAGAAAATCCAATGACCCATGTGTTTTCAAAATACATGGGACTCAAGTAAAGGAGCCATTAAAAGGACGATTCTCGGTTTGGAGAACGAAGTTCATCAATCTAAATGAGCATCATCCCTGCTTCGGACAAGTTTGATATTTTTACATAATATAGATTTGAATGTTTTCTTTTGAATAATCATGCTTTAATTTGGGTAATATTTCTAGACTTTTCGCAAAATAATATTAGCGCAGTACACTGATGAACTTCTTTCCCCAAATCGAGACTTGTATTTTTATTGAATCGGTCTAATTGAGCGTTATCCCTGCTTTGTTATTTTTACATCTTGTAGATTTAAATGTCCTCTTTTGAATATTCATAGTTTAATTTGGGTAATATTTCTATATTTTTCATGAAAAAAATTATTAGCTCAGGAGACTGTTCTCCAAACCGAGAATCGTCCTTTTTCTAAACATTACAGAGCTTTTTTTGTCATCCATAAAAGTCCATCCGTAAAACACATAAACAGCAACTGCCATCTTTTTATTGGTTCAATCACTTTGTTTTCATATTCCACAAAATGACAGTCTGAATATTTTCAAAAATGACTTTGAAGCGCTTTAACTTTAGTAATCATCAAAATTCAACTAACTAACCATTTAGTGTACAAAAAAGTTAGACAATTTAATTTTCTATATAAAAAATATTTTTGCTGAATCTTTTACTGAAAAGATATCCTGATTTCCGATTTGCCCCGAACCCTCCATTTCCCATTGGATTACATGGGAATAACGATTTTCAAAAATTCATCAAAATCATCAATTTCCGACCTATAATTGTAATTGAGGGAGAAAATTGAGAAAATTTGGAGGTATTGGAAATGAAGTCAAGTTACGTTTCCATCAATATTATAAGTTATTTCGATTCATCGCAGGTTAAGTAAATAAAAATTCAAACGTAAAGAGGCTTTAACACGTAGTTCAACGGGGGGAGTTAGGGTTACCCAACTTATGGAGGGGAGTGTATATATTTCCAAAATTGTAGAGTTCCGATTGTACACAACGTAAATATTTCTGATTGGAATAGCATGTTGAAATTAAATTCGTTCTTTGTGTTTACCACATTCTGTCAATATCAGATCAACAGTGTTATTGCAGGGGGACAAAGACACGACTTCCAAATCCAATTAAAGTACACTACTGTATAATAAGTTGTGTCTATTGATTTTACAAATTTAACTCAATGCCACGAATTCGAACTATCGATGTGATATTCCTTTAGGACAACAGTGTGTTAATTTAATTTAGAAACCTGACATTGTTAGAAACCGGGCATACTAAATACTAGCTACCGTCGTTTTTATGGGCATCAGTTTGGGAGTTTAAACTAATGACTAATGGCCTTAGATAAGACATTTCGAAAAATAATCATCGAGACTGATAAGACACAATAACCTGTCACAACGAAACGGACACTTAGATTTATATCCTTATTTGCCGATGCGTGGCCGGTTGCTATGTTAACAAAGGCCCATAGTGATCATTTGGAATAGGCTAGTAAAATGAAATTGAGACTTGCACTTTTATTTGGACTTATTTGCCAATGCATATAGGTCGGTTCTTTGGTTTATACAGGCCTAAAGTGCTCAAAACTGAATCGTGTACGAAGTGACATTTATTGAAATAATATTGATATTGCCATTGGTTTTTTATTTATTCAAGTACAAGATTGTGACCTAACTGAAAAAACACAAGCACACCTTTGCCACTTCATACATTTCATAAGAATTTCTTTTCAGTAGCAATTCCAACTATTGAATTGTTATTTACATTGGTAGTTAGTGAATATTGAATCCGAGTTTATGAGTTTTTTGTTATAATGAATGAGGTAAGCATCGCGACATTCGATAACTGGTTGCACTAAACAACAAACAAACATACAAGAAACATTGAAATGGAGCCGAAATTAATTAGCACGCGACTAAGAATAATCAGTGGTGAAATGGACACCAATGTTGCTATGGAAACGGAATAGAGACTTGACACTGACACCACTCTAGAGATCAAATGATTTCTATCGGAGGTGAACCAATCCAAACAATAAAGGTTTAGGATTTACTTTATAGGAGAGGATTTTTTCAACTTACTGAAGTAGTTTTTATTTCAATTATCTCAACAAGTCAGAAGGCATACAAATGAAAAAAAACATTTTATGAACTTGAGAACTATTGACTTACACTTTTTATAACATCTTAAAATAGCTGGATCAAAGAATATGCCGGGTAATTGCTATTATGAAGTCAGCATACCATTGTGTACAAAATACTAAATTTAGATATTTAATTTGAACATTTTCTCAACTTTAAAAGATTTAGAGACATTTGGACTCTCGAACTGGAATACCATGTTGCGAAGAGCATTGAGCATCCAGCCAAACAGTTATGACCTGGAGCTGAATGCCATCCGATCCCGACCACAAAGAGGAAACGCCCAAACGAGTGAACCTTATATCCAGACCGGCCATCTTGGATACATTGGGCTTCCAAGTATAACGCAGCATCCATGCTATGTTCAACATAACAGGTGAGCGAATTTTCAGCAATCGTGATTTCACAAAGGTTTTCTTGGTCATCTTTTGAAATCATGAGTTGCTACGTCCATGCAACTTGAGTAGAAAAAGTCTTTATTTACGTCAATACAAATTCAGTCAAAGTGATATCATATTTGAAATCTGCATGTAAACTTGCATTTAAAAATGTGGTGTGTTTATCAACTTTGAAAATTCAATTTTCTTTGAAGATGTGTCGTCTAGATCAAGAAGAATCTTTTCTTGTATTGGACAGATAATATTTTTTCTGGGCACATTTTTATTTGTATACACAGAGACACAAGGGTAATATGAACATTAAACCACTAAAACTGAGGAATATTCAAGTTTAAGTGAACTTTCTCATACCCTGCAATGTTATCTGCATGAAATTGTATAACTACTGACTCACACCTGGGTTATTTAAAATTGACATCAGAAAAGACCAATAGCTCTCGGTCAATATCATAGTTCAGTCAGTCGATAATTTTTTTGTCATTTGGAACAAAACCCACATATAATTTAAAAAGCCATATCCCTTTTTGGAATTCGCTTCGCTAGCAGTGATACAAACCCCACGAAAGCTCACCCCCCCCCCCTTCCTTTGACACTGGCCAGGCCCCTGACTTGCATCTAGTCTATAGTCAAGGATAAAATTCACATTCTTTCCGAAATATGAATGACCTATTTATTACAATGCTCTTAGCTTTTTTTATTCATTATTAGATTTATTTCCCCTCCATTGATTGGAGATAATATAATAATTATATATTACAGTATTATTGGATGCGGATCAAAATTTAAATAACAATAGACAAAATAGAACTCTAATAAACACCAATGGCATTATAAGTAAGATCTGAGAACAACGAATGTAAATTTCTATCCAATTTTCCACTAGAAGGAGAACTTCTTAAGAATAATTTTCGAAGCCCAAATAGATTGCAAAATACGAAATAGGTGAAATAAATAGTGTCACGAACTCTGACGACATCTATAAATAAGTCGGTAGTTCTAGACTCAAATTAGGCCTTTGTAAAATATAAATTGAAATAGTGATTCCAATACAGGGATTAGATAAAGGATTTGATACGAGATCTATGAGAAGAAGCCAAATGCCGGTTTTATTGTAATGATTTTTCCAAGGGAAAAGTGACACTCATGGAATAGGTGTTTAGATGAAAATTTAAGGCCCATTTTTAATTATCTGGCTTAAAAGTCCAAATTAGGCCAAGTAAACCCCCAAAAAGGCCCACTAATGGAGGCCACTACAATTCTTTTGGGCCTAAATTTTTTCCTGGGCCCACCCAAGGGGGATCCGCTAGTGTACTACCCCCACGTTGATTTTACCATTAAGATATGTAAACATGGTCTGTGGCTAGACTTTTAAGTTTGTTTTGTTCTGTTAGCTCTATAGTAATAAGTAAAATCAACAAAACTTATCAATAGATGTCGTATTTTCGTATACGATGTGATATAAATAAAACTTTTCTAAATCGTAACTCTTGATTCTGAATTTATCTCACGAATTAGCTGATTTAGATAACCTGACTCAGTTGAGATAATTTATCAAAGGGATTATAGACCTTATAACTTAAACAATGAAAACCATAGCCAAATCATGAATATGAATAAATGATTTACTTATAAACATTCAAAACTTGACAAACGTTTCCAGTTTGTATAATAACATACAAATCTTTTAAAGAGACTCTATTGAGACTACTCTGTGGCATTTTTTCTTTATTCCTTTTTGTTTTGAATTTTTAACACCATCACATTAACTAACTACTCAATATGCAACTTTTCACCACGTAGAATTTTAAAATATTAAGTTTGAAAATTCCATTTTTATAACGGAGCTCAATGGGAAAAACTAGATAATTTGAATTATTTTCAAACGTAGCGGCGGGATTTTCATAAAGTTGACAGATATAATAAATATTGGTAAGACGAAATGTTTGATGAAAAATGAAGAAAATTCACCGTCCTGGTTACGCAAACTATAGAAAAATCTGAAATAATCATAAAAACCTGTAAAAATAGATTGAAGGGG